GCCGCGGGAAAATCTCTTCCGTTCTTTCGGTTTTAAACCAAAACCGAACTCGCAACCTGCCCCCCCCCCCCCCTTTCCCCCCCCCCCCCCCCCCCCCCCAAAAAAAAAAAAAGGCGGGCTGCGCAATCGTGGTGGTTCCCGATTCTCCCCCTCGGTTCGCTGGGCTGGCTCAGAACAAGCGTCTGAGTCGGCAGGAGCGTATGCCTCGCGCTGCTTCCTCGGCAAAGCGACAGAACGGCGCCGCCAACAGCCGCGACACCAGACACGAGAATGGCCTCGTAGGCCCCGGGAAACGTATCACGAGACAGAAGAGCCAGAGCCAGTTCGATGGCATCCCTAAGCCGGCTATCGACCATGCCGCCGCTCCGCCTATGCCTCCGATGCCCTCCTCGACTACGAACGGTTTCGCACGGCACCACGACGACATGGCTCCCGAGCGCAAGGAAGTTGAGACTCTGAGGAGGGGCTCGGTGGGCACCCATTCCGAGTCTTCCTCGGCCGACTCGTTGACCTCTCCGCCCGCCCACCCCCTCCCCGAGGAGAGCCACCGGTCCATCAACGTCAACGATGCCAAGAACACCAACGTCCACCGTGACCCCGGCCCGCTCGGCCTCGCCTACACCGTCCTCCGCTCGTGTCCTCTCCACGACACTATCGCCATCCTTATCATTCTCATGCAGGTGTCACCGGTCGCCCTTACAACCATCTACATGCTCTTCACCTTCCTCACCTTTGTTCCGCCCGTCACGACCAGCTCCGGCCTCAGCATAACCGAGATCTTTGACGGAAACCAAGGGACCCCGTCTCTGACGACGCTGCTCTGCATGGACGTAATCATGCTCGGGATATGGTTGTTCTTGTGGGCCCCGATGCAGCAGTTCATATTGGATCTTGCCCAGGTTGTCATCTCCCTGACACTAGGTGGCGGAGGGGCCTCGAGACAAGGGACGGCGAACAATATTCTCCTCTCGGTTGCCATCGTTGGCTTGTCCCACTGGACCCGTTACTCCAAATGGTCGACCTTCACCCCGCTGAACTCCATGTTTGGTTCCAAATTCTTCACTTCAGGCGCCGATGGCGGCCCCTTCGAGTCCACTGTTCGCTCTTTCGAGAAGAAGAGCTCACATGGATGGATACGAAGCATGCTAGCCATCCATATACTTACCCAAGGTTTGGTGCGGTACATACGGGAGTGGTATCTGAGGAGAGAGAAGCGGGATCTGCAGTCCCAAATCCAGGATCCCGAGGCCGGGAAAGCGCCATCACTCCCCATCGAGGTTTCGACCGACGCTGGACTCGCAAGCCAAGATACGGATCCCAGCCAACCACCGAGCAGCACGACTTTTGTTTCCGGGAAGAAGAGGCGAAAACAAAGTGCGCAGGTGCGGATACGGCAGCCACTCTGGGCCGCCCTCGCGAGCACGAAAATCGTCATGGTCAAGGAGTATGAGTTATCACACGCAGCATCGGAATCAGCGGGATCGAACGCCACCGATATTCATAACCTGGGCAATGCGCCGTTCAACACGCAGCCCGAACAAATCTGGATCGGCTACGTCGGGTGCGACGAGGTCTGCTTTAGCACCAGCCATTTCCCGGATGCAGTCAGCACCACCGACAACTACGACGAGGATAGCAAGTCCGGGATCGATACCACGAAGCCCTTCTACGTCAGAGTCAACAATGCCACCTGGCAGCCAACCCGCATCATCGCCCTCGAGGAAGGTGAGGAGGAGGAGCCGCTCGGGACGCGGTGGACGGGGGATATCTACGGGCTGACGCCGCTGTCCAGCTACGAGTGCGAGTTCATCAGCACTCGGACCGGCGAGGTTCTCTTCTCGACCAGTGTCAGGACCATCCAGGCGAAGACCAAGGATTCCGAGGTGACAGCCAAGGCGCCCAGTGGCCAGCGGTCGCACGTCCGACATGACTCGCCCGCAACGACGCTCAGGGCGTCGATTGCGGCCTCTGAGGCGAAGCTCGCTGACGAGAAGGCAAGGCTGAAAGCCGCCCGGAAGGACAACAACCGCAAGTTGAACGCCGTCAAGAAGGAAATCGAGAAGCTGTCAGCGGCCGTCCAGTCGGCAGGAGGGAACGACGAGAAGCTCAGGCAGAAGGTCGCCCAGAACAAGATCCAGCAGAAGCAGGCGGAGCAGTCGATGCGCGACCTTGGGGACGAGCTGAAGGAGTTCGAGACGGTTCCAGAAGAGCTTCTTGGCCAGTATCGCACAAAGCAGGCCACTTGGACATCGGAGAAGGCCCAGTTCGACGGGGCGCGTGCCTCGTTCAAGAGCTTCAAGAGCTCCATCGACAAGGAGATCAAGGCGGTCGAGGAGGAGCAAGCCAGCCTGAAGGGGAAGCGCGGTAAGATCGCCACGAGGTTAGCCAAGGTCGACAACGAACAGGCCCGCATCACCGACGCCAACGCCCGCGGTCTAAACGAGGCCGAGCGCCGCCGCCAGTTGCGTGCGGCGCTCGAAGCCGATGCAGCCCGCATCGAACACCATTTCCGCGAGCGGATCGACCGAGCACGCGCCCTCAACACGGATAAGCAGACGCATATCCAGGGCATGGCGGCTCAGATGCAGGCCTACCTATCTAGCTTCCAGGACGAACTCGGCCACGAGCAGGGCTCGGCAGCAGCGGCAGCAGCAGCAATAGCAGCCCCGACATCAGCTCCAACGCAGTACAACCCGATTCCTTGGGTCCACCCGGCTACTGCCTACACCCAGCAATCGATATGGCCCGCCACCTCGATGGCCCCCCAACTCCCGGCCCTCCTCCCTCCCCACCAGTTCTCACACTTCCAGAATCCGCTCCAGCCGGCCATCGGCACGCCCCCGCACAAGACCAGGGGCCGTTCCTCGTCGATGCTCAGCGACGTATCCGGCTTCACGCAGTCGAGCGACGAGGACGCGAGTAACCCGACCATCGCGGCCCGGTCGACTCACACGAGCGGCCACCCGAGCCTCCACGGCACGCCTTGCTCTGTCTCCCGCGGCCCGCCCGGCTACGGCTTTGTCCAGACCCCGCAGCGCGGCTACGGTGGCTCGGGATCTGGATCTGGCTCCGGCTCGGGTTCCGGTCTCGGGTCGGGACCACCCAGCGTGCGGAGTGGGAGCGGGAGCGGGAGCAGGAGCGGGGGGAGCGTGCGTGATCCTACGAGTCCTATTTGAGAAGATGGGCGCTGGTTGGAGCGTTCTGGGTGGAAGATGGGGGGCTGATTGCAGATGTGCATGGCTGGCTGGCTGGTGTTGTGGTTGTCCCGGTTCGGGATGGGGCCCCGCCCGTCCGAGGGATGGGGATTAGCGGAGCGTCGTCCCGCCGCTGCCGGGTTGGGTTAGCTCCTGTGGCTTGGCTCGATGTAGGTAGACTGACTCGATGATGTGCGTGTGGTGAATTCAAAAGTTTTCCGTCCTTCCATGTGGTCCCGTGCCTTGTTTGAGCATGCTCTGCTCTTTCTGTATCGTCTGTCCGCGTGTCGCCTGCCCCCCTTTCCTCCCTTCTCTTGAGGTGGTGGACACATCCATTGGACACCTCACCCGTGGTCCTCACTTCGACTGCCTCCCCTCCCACCTGACGTACCTCGCGCATCCGTGATAGCAAGCAAGCGGAGGATAGCGCGTCGAAATCCGTACCACGCACAATTGGGCAGGGTCATGTGCAGCCACGTCGAAGGGGCATAGGTTAAGTAGGTGACTGTAGAACTCGGTAGCGAGCAGGATTCCTTGGCGTAGTTCCGGTCTTGGGCCTTCGCTAGAGTGACCTTCTAGCCCGTCTATTTTTGGCATGGCAAGTTCCGTAGCCAAGACTGGGCGGAACTGAGGTCCAGATACATAGTAGTAGATTCTTGTCTGGTTAGGACTGTTGAGATGGCTTTGCTGGGGTGTCTGTTGTAGCCCCTGTCCTGGTAGTTTTGAGGAGGGTTATGGGGAGGTAGGACTGCTGAGGAGTGTTCTCGTGTTGATACTCTGGATTCGCAGCGCGCTGTGAAGCATGCGGGTTCAAGTCATGGTACCCTTCTGAGCTATATTCTTGACCTTCTGCCTTTATCTTCTATTTCGTGCTATTCATGGAATTACGCCTTGCTGAGCCGCATAGAACTATTACTAGATATATACACCTTGGCTAACAAGTGACGAGTCCTAAAACATGCCTGTATATCCTAGCATCATCCCAACTCCTCTATAGCACAACCCCCCTGAGTAGAGGTAAGCAAAAGCCTACTACTCATCTATAAGCTCTCAACAATCTCGTCAATCCACAGCTTGACCTTCTCGGCCACCATCTCACTGTGATCTACACCTCGTTAGCAATCATAATGTCCCCGTATCCAGGGCGAAACCGATCCGGTTACGAGGAGGGGGTCACTCACTGATACAAAACGCATGGGGTATATCATCCTCATCCACCACGATCCTCGTCCTCCCACGCCTCCTCCCCTCCCCCTCTCTACTCGCATGCTCCCTCCTCTTCTCAATAAACCGATCCCGACATTCATCAGCAACCCACTGGTCCTTCTCCCCAAAGTAAAAGAAGAACTTGGGCACCCCCTCCTCCTGATCCACCACCACCCCTCCTACCTTCTCCCCCTCCCCGTCCTCCCCGCCCGCTACCTCCCACAACTCCTCAGGCCAAACCTCCTCCCCGATGACCCGCATCTCGTCCGCCCCGAGGTGCAAGGCCTGCCGGATCCCGCCCCGGCTGCGCAGGAACCGCGCCGTCACGCCCGCCGCGGCCCGCGATTGCCTACCCCCCAGCGGGCCCTGGAGCAGGAATGACAGGAGCGCGTCCGGGGCCAGGGACGCGGCGGCGCGGGCGAGGGACAGGGCTGGGGTTAGGAGGGTTGGAGCTATGGTGGAGGTGAGGAGGGTCAGGCGCCTGCCGGCGGGGGAGAGGGAGATGTGGGTTACGGTTGGGAAGAGGAGGATGCCGGAGGTGAGGTTGAGGCCCGGGGGACGGCGGTGGAAGGTTTCTAGGAGGATGTAGGCGCCTACTGAGTGGCCTATTAGGATGACGTTGTCGAAGGGGGTGCTGTGCCGGGGACCCGGGGTGGGGACGGTGTGGGAGGTGAGGGCGGAGAGGACGTGCTGGATTTGGGATTCTAGGTCGTGGGGGGGTTGGTGGGGTTCTGTGGCGGCGTTGTCGTCGTCGTCGTCGTCGTCGAAGCCGGCGAGGTTGCGGCCGTGGATGTGGAGAGCGGTGGGGCGGGTGGTGGTGGTGGTGGTGGTGGTGCTGGGTGGCCCGTCTAGGAGGGTGCGGAGGGTCGAGAGGAAGGGCTCGTAGTAGTCAATTAGGCCCGGGTTTCCCGTTATGAAGTAGATGAGGACGTGCCGGGTGTTGGGGGCTTCTGCTTGGCTGGCTTGCGGCGGCGGGTGTGAGAGGGTTTGCGGCATGTCTTCTGACAATCCCGGGGTTGGGGAGAGATCAATTGGTTGATAAGAGAAAAGTTGAGTACGAACTTTAAATTAGATGTGAACAGCAAGCAATCAAGCCTATTTAGTTGTCTCCTTGTTGCTGATTCAGTATCGACTTCATGTCGGTGGATGAGCTACGAAACAAGAGTCAAGTGGGTCAAATTTTCAGTAGCTAATAGAGGACAGGTAGCACCCGGATGCGCCTGGATGGCGACTAAAAGTTGCCGAGGCATCATCAATTCTTCCTGTGTATCCCATGTCAATGCGAAAATGTATTATTCTCAAGTATATGATTGAAAGCTAGGAAGTTCAAGTAGGAAAGGGAGAACGGAAAATGTAAACAAATAAGGAGGATGTAATTAGAGTATCAAGAATGATCTGCAATTAATTGCAGCTCATAATATGCTAGCCGACTTACACCTCCCGAGATTACGTGCAGTCCTTGGTACATTTTCTCAAGCCTGCTCAGGCGCGAATCACCCTATGGTAGGCACTTACGCTGGTAGGTTGCTGATAAGTTACTACTCATAGGCAAGGCAGACTCGTGGAGAGGCCGATTCAAGAGGTATAAGACCAACGAGGAGGCTATAGGCCGTCTTGTCTGGGATGAGAAGAAGCGGCGATGATGACAACTATGAGACTGGTCTTCTCATCTCTGCATGGGGCTATAGGATGAGTTGTCAAAGGATTGGTTCCAAGCAGGCCATAAGGAGGCATAATGCATAAGAGGCCCAATCAGGTCATCTACGTGGGCTACTCTGGAAGTGTCCATGAAGCCTTCCAGGTATATGAGACCAACTTGCCCCTGAGGCAGGTATGGATGTGAAACTCCTTAGCTGGTTACCTCAAATATGCCTCTCTGTGCATTATCCATACGCATTCTTGACCGCCAGACCGCGGGCTTCAAGCTCTTGGTTCGCCACTTCTCTGCGCCCTTTTTGGTGGGCCTGTATAGTATATGTGTTCAGCATACTACTTGTCGATATTTCAAATGGAAATCAACCATGCCAATTAATTAGGATCTAGCAGATGGAGGTATAGGAGAATACGGGGCCTAGAAGTGGCCGCTTCGCTGTCTTTCATCAAGATTCATTTACTTTCCAACTGGTCAAGAACCTGGCTCAGCCACCAAGCGTGGACCCGAACATCGTCGGTAAGCTCCGGATGGAAGCTTGTCCCAAAGACATTGCCTTGCCTGACAGCAACAATGTCGGTCACATGGCCGCTCGACTCGGCCTCGACCTCACCTCCCTTGGCTCTCACAGTCCGCCCAGGCAGAACGGCAAGGACATCGACCCTGCTCTTGGCCTGCTCCCTCCCCTGCTCCTCCTCGCCTACCGGCTGCCCCGCGCCGTCGCAAGCCAACAGCTCCTCAACAATGGGCGCCCTGATGAACACGCCCGGATAAGGCGCCGGCGGCGTGTTGCCGTCTCCGCCGCCGCCGTCGAGTTCCGCCAGGAAGGGCAGGTCCATGTCGGCGACGAAGCTCTCAATCTGCCTGCCGAAATGGTTGCGCTGCACGCGGACGTCAAGGCCGCCGATGAGCTCCTGGCCGCCCTTCTTGGTCGCGTTCGCCTGCTCGGCGAGGACGATGAGACCGGCGCAGGTGCCCCAGACGGGCTTTCGATCGATCCTGCAAGGGGGGGGTTAGGGGGGTCAGCGCGGCGAACGTTGTGTAAGAAGACGCCCGGGTGTGAGGTTAGTTTCGTGGCTTGAATTTACTTGACAAACTTCCGGAGGGGCTCGAGGAGGCCGGACCGGGCGGCGCTGAGGACAATTGTCGTGCTCTCGCCACCCGGGATGACGAGGGCCTCGCAGCGCGAGAGGTCATCGGCGTTCCTGACCTCGATGAAGTCCAGTTCATGGTTCTTCTGCTGCCACCTGGACCAAGATTTCGAGGCTCTAAGATGGGCTGCGGCCTTGACGAGGAGGGAGATGTGTTCCTGGAAGCCCCCTTGAAGGGCCAAGACCCCGATGGTCACAGCCATGACCGGGGAAGAGAGGGAGGTGTCGTTGGCGGGGAAAGTGACGATAATAGTAACGAGGTAGGTTATCAGTTATGTAGGTCCCCGTGTAACAGTAGAGTAGCTCCCCCGTTAGCCCCCTAAGTCGACTACCTGGCACCTGGCATTTTCCATTTGCCGCGAAAAAACTTTTGCCTTCCCGATATCGGGCGTTTGAGTCATTTTGACTTCTGGAACCTCGATAGGTAGGCACGATAGGTACATTGAAAGGGACGATAAGCAACTGGATAATGGCACGAGTGGATAGTCGCGGCTTTAGGGTCTCCTAGCATGCCAAGATGCATGAAGCATGTGCTTTCTTGACTCTTGGTCCCTGAAAATCCCCGCAATTCTTTTTCTCGCGCATCGCCCCATCCTCCAATTGTTGTATTTCAATTCGGCCCCGTTGAGTCACTCAGAAGCGGTTCCACCAAAGTTTTGTGCTTCCCCTTTCCAAACCCGGCCACTCTCTCTTGCCTCTCATCGTCACTATCCCCTCTTCTTTCTCCCCCATCCTCACATATAATAATAAAAATGGCCACCACCAACGGCTCCTCCGCGACCGCTGAGCCCGCCCAGGCCACGACAGTGGCGGACAAGAAGTCCTTCACTGTCAAGGCGGGCCTGGCGCAGATGCTCAAGGGCGGGGTGATCATGGATGTGACCAACGCGGAGCAGGCGCGCATCGCCGAGGAGGCCGGTGCGTGCGCGGTGATGGCGCTGGAGCGGGTGCCGGCCGACATCCGCAAGGACGGCGGGGTGGCGCGCATGTCGGACCCGGAGGTGATCCGCGAGATCATGGCGGCGGTGACCATCCCCGTCATGGCCAAGGCCCGCATCGGCCACTTTGTTGAGTGCCAGATCCTCGAGGCCCTCGGCGTCGACTACGTGGACGAGAGCGAGGTGCTCACCCCGGCCGACGAGGCCTTCCACGTCGAGAAGTCGGGCTTCGGCGTCCCCTTCGTGTGCGGCTGCCGCAACCTGGCCGAGGCCCTCCGCCGCATCGCCGAGGGCGCCGCCATGATCCGCACCAAGGGCGAGGCCGGCACCGGCGACGTCGTCGAGGCCGTCAAGCACATCCGCACCGTCAACGCCGACATCGCCCGCGCCTCGGCCGCGCTCCGCGAGGGCGGCGACCCGGCCATCCGCGCGCTGGCCCGCGAGCTCGGCTGCGACGCCGCCCTGCTGAGGCAGACGGCCGAGCTGGGCCGCCTGCCCGTCGTCAACTTCGCCGCCGGCGGCGTCGCCACCCCGGCCGACGCCGCCCTCATGATGCAGCTGGGCTGCGACGGCGTCTTCGTCGGCAGCGGCATCTTCAAGTCGGGCGACGCCGCCACCCGCGCAAAGGCCATCGTCGCCGCCACCACCCACTTCCGCGACGCAAAGGTCCTGGCCGAGGTCAGCAGCGGGCTCGGCGAGGCCATGGTCGGCATCAACGTCGGGACCATGAGGGAGGCCGACAAGCTGGCCGGCCGTGGGTGGTAGTTCTGTTGCATTTACGGGGGGGGGCGGGGGGCTACAAAAGAGAATTGAACCAAACACAGGAGACAGGAGTCTTTACATGTGGTTGATATGACAGGGGCTTGATGATCTTTGTTTCTGTCGGCAATCTGGGCCAGAGTAAGTGCCGAAAAGGAATCCCTCGCCCGTATCGCAAGGAGCACAAAATTTAGATGTCTGGGTAGTCTGAGCCACGATTTGCATCATAGCAGTTATTTGGTATTTGGGATCAGTTTTGGGAACATAAGACAGCCGAATATTCAAGACCGATCAGCCTTCAGAACTCATAGCACTGACTTACCAGGTTCCAGGTCTATATATGCCAGTCTGGGCAGGATCTAACATCTTCTCAACCACATGCAAACCGCTTCCAATCGATCAGCCCTTGAAGAAGATTATCCTATCTCAAAGAGTGTGACCAGCCATTCCCTTAGTTTTATGAGACATTCGGAAATTCTGCTTGTTGTCCATGTCGCTATCTAACATCTAACAACTCAATCAGTTAGGATTCAAAAGCCTAGGAAGACTATGGGCCCCTGGGCGTCTCGGCTGTAGGTTGTTGTCGGTTTTTCCTGTATCTAGGCTTTCTTCTTCGCCTATCACCATCTAAGGACTAGACCACTGTTTTACTACCATGGTTACCGCCCAGACAGAACCCCAGTCAAGAATATGGAGTCCATTCCACTTGCCCCCTTGCCTTGTTTATTTGCTGATGGTGTAATTACACCTCCTATTTCCAGGGAAGGCCCACGGCTTGCCCTGCTCCAGCGGTTGTTCTCACAAAAGGATCCTTGCTAGCTTCACGAAGCTCAAGGCCATAAACGCTAAGCGGGAGTTTCGCCAATTCTGGTCTTCGATGCTGATCTAGCCCCGGGACGAGCCAACGCCATCAGATGCCGACAGGCGCCTGGATATGAGCAACACTCTGGATTATAGCCTCAGCGCTAATCGGGGACATATATTCGTCTACTGCACTCCAGGCCTATGAATATCGACCCTTGCCAAAGCCAAGGCTCTGCCCTGCAGCTTCCGCGGGCATGAGACTGTATAAGCATCGGGGAATCTTGGCTTTCTCGGGCCAGCGGGAACTTGAAGGCAACGCTCTTCAAATCTGTGCTTTCTTGAGGGTCGTCCGGCCCCTCGGTGGCAAGTATGTTAACATGTGGTAGGAACCGTTGCGCGGTTGGAGTGGCCAACAAACACGTGGTTACCGTGTGGCCAACTTTGTATTAAACCGGAATTGAATGGAACTTTGGGGGCATTGAAACCGCCACGATCAGTCTGTAAAATAATTTGGGAAACTGGCTAACTCTAAACCTTCTGATAACAGAGCTGTAGACCCCTGGAGCAGTGGAGGGTGGCGTACGACGTCTTAGCCACGGTTAGGGGCCTCCCTCGAATGGGCGAGACCGGTTGAATAGCTGAAGGCTTATATAGAAGCCAATACAGCAAAGGCTGGGGTGTGTAAGGTGCCAGGAACGGCGAGATACAATTACTTGCTCGGACACACGATGTTCCCACTCCTCACATAGGGCCAACCATTCTGGCACCGCTCAATGTAACCCGGTTATTGGATATCCAGCCGAAATTCCGGTACCGACGGGATGAGATCATGGTTTTAGAGAAAGAGTTCGTCTGTTAGGGGGTATCGTGGAGTACCAGAAATATAGCAAACTGGGTGGCTCGACGGCAGCGTTGGAAATCTCTGGGGGTTTGGTGGCAAAGTGGCTCGAAAGGCACCAGTGAGGGAAGTGCAATATCGGCTGTAAATTGGTACTAGCGGAGGAGTCCAGGCTCTCGACGGGATTCCGTCCTGTTCGAGACCCTGCCGTCGTCAAAAGCTTGTGATGGAGACATTTACCCGGGAACTTGCACCAGGTCATGGGAGTTTAAACCTATAATTAGAAGCCCATTAGATTAATGCCTAAATGGCGGTCAGGTCCAGCAACCGTGATATCATGACACGGACTGTTTTTCTCGCCAGTCAGGGCCACCAAATGCCCATCCATCACGCCAGGCCACTATATCCGCGCGTTGAAGCGAGCTGGGTCCGCCAACGAAGGCAGGTTTACCCAGCCATGTCCCAGGGAGAGGAAAGCAACGTCGGGACATCAGGTTTCTGTATCTCTATCGGTTAGTGCGTCATTGTAACCTTGTCTGCAGTTCACATCGGCCCTGATTGTAGGCGTGTGGAGATGAAGTTCCCCCCTCGCGCCCTCGCCCCTGGCCTCTCAGGGGCGGGGGCCATGGACTATATATCGCGGGGCATATCGCGATGATGGGGCAGGATGAGGGAACCCGAAGAAGACCTTATCTCAGCCTCCTATTACGAATTCCACCACCAAAAGTGAAGACCACCCCGAGTTCGGTGGACCCTCTACAAACACACCCCTCTTCCAGACCAAAATTAGATCAATATCGTCCCAGCCCGCAACATGAAGGTCACCATTTCCAGCGTCCTACTCCTGGCCGCCGCCACCCCGGCTCTAGCGGCCAACTTCCTCGGCTCGTGCTCGGCCGACTCGGTCGTTGTCGACGGCAAGATCCTCACCGCCAAATGCCGCACCATCAGCGGCCAGCTCAAGTGCACCAAGCTTGACCTGAACAACTGCCTGAAGAACACATACGGCAGCCTGCAGTCGGACCCGGAAGGAGACGGGTGAGCACCAACACCCAACACTTCCCCTCCCCCCTTCCTCTTTGCTCTCTATCTCGCCCTTCTCCTATGCCCCAAAACAATAGAGGGGGGGGGGAAATAAAATAAAAGCAGCAGGGACTAACCAAGTGGATGAACAAAAACAACAGGCCCCACTTCGGCGACCAGTGCTACAACTGCAGCAACGACAAGACCACCAGCGGCATCCTGATCGACAGCCCGGGCCTCCTGCACTGCCAATGCGACCCCGGCACCGGGGCCGCGAAAGCCAACTGGCCGACCGCCATCTTCGACATAAGTAAGACTTGTCCCTTTCCTCCTTTTGCCCTCCAGTCCGCGATTGTTCGGGTTGGGAGGTGGTGATATGGCAAACAAGAGAGTATCCGACAAACAGATTACTGACATGCCCCCTTTTTCGCGCAGACACCATCGTCGACAACTTCAACGGGAGGCTCGAGTGTTACGGCAACAAGGCCAAGGACTGTTAATTTGTCTGCCTTTGGGAACATCAACGCGGGTCGGGTCGGGTCTGGGGAGGCGATATATCAAGAGAGTGGTGGGAGGGATATCACTTCACAAAACAAACTTCGCAGGCGTATAACCGTACCTTGTCAGGGCACCGCTCAGAACTTGTGGGCCAATTTGCATTAGGTCGTTGCATCAATGTCGACGGTTGGGGGGGGTGGGGGGAATTTCTATAACTTTGTTGTCCAGGTAGTGTTCGGGTCGGAACTTTCTGCATCAAGCTAGGCATAAGATGAAGGGGCAACTAGTCCAGGGGCAAGCTGCTTCTTTATTTGTGTTGCCACATGTTTGGTCTGCACTTGATACCACTGTCCTTTGGGTTTAATACCTAAGGCGTGCTGATCCAGTGCTTCCAGTTAGTTAATTAGGGGTATCAACAATATGTACAGATACAGGGCATGTTCAATGTCTAACGAACTGATAGACCGAAGGCGGTCTGACGGGGTCCTTAGGGTTGTCAAATATCACAGTCGCAAGTCATAATTGTTCGGGGATCGCACGAGTGTCGAACATTGGCAACATTATGTGCTGTTTCGCGAGAGAAGAGCCATGTAACTTGTAAACTCTCCGAGGACCAAAGGTAATCGTATCTGCGCTGGCAAAGCAGACTCGATGAGTAACTGGATACAGACTCAGAAACAAACCATAGCCATTTATAAGATCGCTTGAAGGGTCTGCTTCGAAGCCGGAAGGTAGTTGCCTCGGGCAGTATAACGACAAGCTCATTGCCAGCTAGAAAGTCGACGACAAACCAACGAGTTCTTAGAAACCAACGCATACGGGGAGGGCATTAAACCACTCGAAACCACTGTCAAATGAGCAGGTGAGCTACAGCACGCTGGAAGATAGGAAGCATAGCCTTGCCATTTACTGGTCCAATATCTTCGGCTAGAATCACTCTTCGCAAAATACCATGACCGCCAATTCAACGCTTGTCACGGATGATCAACAAAATAGGAAACGAAGCCCCAAAACGAAAGAAAGCCGGACAATTGTATATGACGCGGTTTAAGATAGATGACTGCTAAGAAGGGGAGCATCGAGAATAAACAGGCCCCATTAGGGCAGCTCGTGGTCAAGGGGAGACCATCCATGGCTGTATTGGGAATGGTTCAAGCAATGACTTGACAGCCTCTGACGCTCAAAAAAGGAAATACACAGGTCTGTACCCATCTGGCCTGGCATCAAGGCCGAAAAATGGCAAGTTCCGTGGATGCCATCATTTTGTTCAAGACGGGGGAAGTCGAGCAGCCGCTAGCCAATGGAAGAAAAGCGACTCGGCGACGGTAGTATAAGTAACAATCATTCCCACGTCTCATGGATAAAGGGGGCGGGAGGGAATATGTACTTGAGTTGTGATGGTGATTCCGACCTTCTATATATCCGCATTACTTCTTAATTCCCCGGTGCATTGAGCCTCAGAACCCATCAACCAGAGGATGGTCTACTTATTGGTTGGATTAAAGACCGGCTTGGCAGCTTTATCGGGAGCTGGGGAGGGGGGGAAGAAGACGGGACCCTGGGGGACGGGATCAAATACTGCTGGGGCTGGTATTGTCCGACAGGGACGAGAATTTTCCGAGACGGCCGGTCTAGAACTCTCAACAGCAAAAAGGGAAGATCAGAAACGATTGCTAAATAGCCCAAATTCTCCGGAAAGGGGAGGGATTGTTGGCACGGGCACCCCTGGAGAAGATCAGCCGCTGCATCAGAATTCAGAACTCGACGAGGTGCGACATGCTATGGGCAAGTCCCCAAACCTAAATCCCTAATCGTGCATGCTTAAAATCCCCGGGCCCTGATCGTTGGGTCCCGTCCCGAAAACAGAGTTGGTGCCGTGGGGCAGGAAGATCTAAAACGCGGAGAGGTTCGTTGAAGATGTGGTAATTGGTCCTAAATTGGCCCTTTCTTTTCCTGGCCGGATGGATCTGCGATTCGCGACAGAGCTCGACTGACAGCCAACCAATTGGGATGGACGGAAGTTGGCCCGCCAGAATGCTACACCAGATAAAGGGTAGCAGCCGCCGAGCCGCCCCGGACAGGGAAGCGGTTGGGAAGCGGCCGTGCGGGTATTGAGGGTGGATGGCTTTTTCAGGCTATTCCAATATGGAACGGGACTGGAACGTGAACCACAACAAGACGACTCTTTGCTCCCGAGCGCGTTCGGGGAGGCTACAGCGTGTACACGGGCCTGAATCTGTCAGAATCTGCCGCCTAGGCCTTTCCAGACGCGTTCAATGGGGGTTGCTTGGGGGGGAGGGGGGATGTTGGGGGGGGGGGGGGGGGGGAGGACACATTAGCGAGAAACATGTGTGTGCCAGGACTGCCGGTCAGGACTTCGTCGTGGTCGAGACTGATTGCACCTCGAAACCCAAAAATATGGTCGTTTCTTCTCCTTCTTCACATCCACTTTTTTTTTCCTTCTCCATCTACACCAACCCGGGCGGTCCTCGTCGTTCCTTGCCTTCGGAGAATAATGTAAAAGGCGAACCAGAAAACACATCTCTGTCGAGAGATCGCCTTCGAGTGTCTGGGACATTTCCCTCTTTTCTAACTTCAATCTTTTAATCATCTTTTTATTCCTCCTCACGGAGACTGGGGTCGCTCGACAGATTTCCCGCTCGTTGGTTCGCCGCTCTTGACAAACAGTCATTCTTTACATCTCCAGTCCGCCAAAAAGTATGGGGTAAGGGAAGATGAACAACAATATATACGATTCAGACGATGCCAGCGGCAGCATCTCGCCACTCCCTCCGGTCCTCGTCCACGGCCTCGCGGCCGTGTCGGTCCTGGCCTTCTTCTCCTTCTTCTCCTCACTCTCCTTGTTCGTCTTCCTCACGCGCAAGTTCTACATATGGCAAATAAAGGAGCCGCCGAAGGAGGAGAAGCGGCCGAGTACGCCGGAGCCCGAGTCGCCAACCTCGACGGACGTCAACGGCTTCCTCGTGCCCGAGTCGCACCTGTGCCCGCCGATGCAGACGACTTGGGAGCCCGTGAGGGAGACCGTCTGGGAGCGGTTCAAGAGGGATCCGCCGAACCAGTTCCTGGTGCTGATCTACAACCTCCTGCTCGCCGACATCCAGCAGTCCCTGGCCTTCATGCTCAACATCAGCTGGCTCACGAGGGACGCGTTGGAGGCGGGGACCTCGGTCTGCTGGGCGCAGGGGTGGTTCATGTCCATCGGGGACCTGGCCTCGAGCGTCTTCATCTCCGCCATCGCCGTGCACACCTACCTCGGTGTCGTCAACGGATACCGTCTGCCGTCCTGGGCCTTTTACTCGGCAATCATCGCGCTCTGGTCATTCGTGTACGGCACGGCGCTCCTTGGGATGATTATCACGGCGAATGGACGTGACGAAGGGGGCTTGTACGTGCGAGCCGGTGCCTGGGTAAGTCAGCCCCCTAACTCCACCCCCCCCCCCCCCCCCCCCCCTGATTACCCCAACTATCACTTTGGCGACGATGCGTACGCAGGAGAAACCAGCAGTGTGTGTGCGTATGTGGACGTTAGACTGACATAACTCCTCCCCCCTGAAAAAGTGCTGGATCAACTCGGCCTACCAAACCCTCCGTCTGACCCTGCACTACCTCTGGATCTTCCTCTCCCTGACCCTCACCTCGATCATCTACCTGGTCATCTTCTTCCACCTCCACTTCCACCGCAAGCACAGCCCAACCTGCTGTCTCGCCTCCGGATCCGACCACAGCCCCCCAGGAGAGCACTACCCGAACCCCGACCCAAACAGGCTGAAACCCACCTCCTCAGTAACAATAACAACAACCGCCCTCCCATCCTCCCCCCGCAGCGCCATGACCGACACAAGCAGCATCAGCACCATCATAGCCAAGCGCCTTCCCCCGATCCCCCCCTCCTCAGCCCGCCACCCCACCTTCCTCCTCTACCCGCTCATCTACATCCTCTGCACCTTCCCGCTAGCCGCCGGCCGCATCTCCTCCATGGCCGGCCACAACGTCAGCCTGGCCTACTTCTGCTTCGCGGGGAGCATGGTCGCCTCGGCGGGGTGGCTCGACGTCGCCCTGTACAGCATCACCCGCCGCTCCATCGTCTTCGGCGGCGGCGCCGCCCCGGGCCAGGACACGGGCATCGAGACCTTCGCCTTCATGCGCACGCCGCCCGGCCGCCGGTTCGGAAACGTCGTCTACGTCAGCGGCGGGGGGCCGGGGGGCCGGCGCGCGAAGCGCAGGTGGGCCGCGTGGAACGGGGATGTTGTCAGGGGGGCGCGACTGCGGACGCTGACGGGCGGGTTGGCGAGGGGGGATGGCGCGGGTGGGGGAACTGGAGGGGGAGGGTTGGGGAGCGGGAATGCGAGTAGGGAGGCGCTGGGGTCGATGAAGGGGTTTGGCATGGGCGCCGGGGAGGTCATGGGTATGGCGATACAGTGCGAAACGGTCACGACGGTGGTCATTGAGGAGGCGTCTGATGAGAGTATCGGGCCTGGGAGCGTGACGAGTACGGTGAGCTCGACGAGGTCGGGGACGATGTAATGCGGTGTTGGTGAAAGGGGGTATATGTGAAATGGTAACGAATGATACGCACGCACTGATGGGTATTTGGCGTTGGGATAGGGGCTTGGGATCAGGGTGGGGGAAAAGGAAAAGACCCGTGACTTGGGAAATGGGTTTCGGTCGAAAGCTAATCTACGACCTGGGGCAAGGGAATTGGATGTCGGGTCACAACGGTTGGTGTAAGATATACCCTGCTTTTTTTTGTGTCTTCTTTTGTTGCTTTTTCTCTGTGTGTCTCTCTTCTTTTCTCCTTACCCCATATATTTTTTTCTCCCGTACAGATGGAGATAGCCACCCACAAGGGGAAGTCGTGGACCGGCTTAGTTTAGATGGGTTTATGACGCTACATTTTGTACTTCGAGGCAGGACTGCACCAGGAGTATTACTAGGTAGTGAGTGATATGCTCAAGTCCAGTTCTCAACACACTATCTACGTAAGAGCGCATATGGCAGAGGGTGACGGCGGTTGAGAGTTTGGTAGGCGGAATCAAGACTGGCTGGCTATCACTGTATACGGAGGTGGTGCCCGGCTGTCCAATCACCTCAATGCGGATGTAGCATCGGGGAAGTCCATGCATATCCGTGTGCCACATTGTCGGGAAATAACTGAGGCTGCAGGTACATACTTCCAGGGGGCATGGCCTACCCCGGGCCTTGTCGCAGATCTCACGGCGATGTTGCTAACTGCATGGTTCAAGGGGTTTCCACCGATGCGGTACTTGGTCGAGAGGAGAATAACCTCTCGGGTATTATACAATCTCGGACATTATACAAAACAAAAAAGAGGAAGGGCCCTCACTGGGATGGATACCTTGGTGACCCAGCGAATGATAGGGTGAAACCCCTGGCAACGCCGTTCCCCTGAGAAGTGACCTGGATACACAATGCTCGGTGCCAAGAGATCTGCGTCTGTTGTTCCGATTTTTCTGGAGCCCAAGAGACAGTCATTCTATATCAAAGACGAAGTCATTGGCATGGATTACAACCCGCTAGATGCTGCGTATCGTTTGCACCATGCAGAACACTAGCTTGCTGACCCGGTGCACAAGCTTAGGTAGAGTCCGCAACGAAGATTAGTGGACCATGATAACTGACGCATAATCATTTGACGGCAACCTCCATCCCGGTCTTCACACTTGTCCTGACCGCCTCAATGATCCGCAACACATCTGCCGCTTGGGTCGCTGGCACGGGCACGTCGGCCTCCTTCCCCGTCTCGAGCGACCTCGCAAAGAGCTCGTAAAACTTCAGATACGTCTCCGGCTCCGCCGCAGGAAGCGGCTCGTCCACGACACTCCCATCGTCCTTGGCAACGCACAGCCTGCCGGCGCGCGACGCGTCCTCGTGCCCGAAGTCGGCCTCAGACGGCTTGATGCCCGCCTTGAGCTGGCCCTCCTGCGGATCCAACCCGTACTTGTGGTAGCTGCCCTTTGTGCCGCGGACCCAGAACCGCACCTGCTTCGTCTCGACGCTCATGACCCCGATGCGCACGTGCGCCAGCGTCCCCGTCTCGGGGTAGCTCAGCACCGCCGTCAGGCTGTCGGGCTCCTCGTCCTCGCCGCCGTCGCCGCTGACCAGCCTGCCGTCCCGCTGGCTGACGAAGCGGGCGTACACGGCCGACGGCATGCCGAGCAGCACGAACGCCTGGTCGATCAGGTGCGTGCCCAGGTCGTAGACGACGCCGCCGCCCCACTTCATGGGCAGCGTGCCCTTCCAGTTGGTGGGGCGCCCCGGCCGGAAGCGGTCAAAATGCGTCTCGAACTCGACGACGCGGCCCAGCGCGCCCCCCGCCACCAGGCGGCGCACCTCGAGGAAGTCGGCGTCCCATCGCCGGTTCTGGTACACGCACAACTGGACACCCCGCTCGCGGGCCAGCGCAACCAGCGAGTCGGCCTCGGCGGCGGTCGGCACGAAGGGCTTCTCTACCAGCACGTGCTTGCCGCTCCGGATGGCGGCGCCGGCGAGGGCGAAGTGGGTGTCGGGCGGCGTCGTGATGACGACTACGTCGACTGCTGGGTCCGCCAGCAGCGGGCCGACTGAGGTGTGGTGGTTCACCGTCGGGTGGTCCTCAGGCGCGGAGCTGCCCGGCTTGGGCGAGCGCTGGACGATGGAGTGGAGGACGAGGTTGTTGGTGAGGCTGATGAATGGAATGTGGAATATGGTCGCCGACATGCTAGGTCGGGGGAAAGCGTCGGGTCAGCACACTATCTTGTCTCGTCTTGCCTGCGGGGTAGCTTGCTTCCACCATGATGACGACTTACCCATAGCCTATGATTCCGACATTGAACTTCTTCTGTCCCTGGGTCGCCATCGTGTCTTTACTCTCGGCGTGACTATATGGAAGCAGGTGATTGTATTTGCAGCTTGTCTGGGGAGGTCAGGAACGGGTGGATTCTAGGCAAAAATCTTCTTCCTGATGATGGATGATGATAGCTCCAACTCGCAGCCCCTCATCTAACAAGGTATCTATCTACCTACCCCTCATCACAGCATTGTAGTGGGGGGTTAATGCTTGCTAGGTTTTACAATAAGTGGATCTGATATACGGGATGGTGGAATTACCAAAGCCTTTGGGAGTCCACTCTTGAAGATAAATAAATAAATCAATTAGGTACCTTAAAATTCAGGTAAATATATATCCAATACCTGCAAGTGACAAACCCTCAAAAACAACAACAAAGTTCGATTTTTCAATGTTTTGGCATGTACCTTTAGAGAAAATTTACTAGTAAAAATATATTGGACTGCATAAGTGCAAAATTCTGCCACTGTGATTACACTCAACTCTTGTCCACGCTGTAGTAGGTATGGACCCCCGCCGACCTACTCTATATAAGGAAGGCATCCGGAAGGTTAATCCGGGCCCGGCGTATATCAATAGGTAGGTACTGTACATGGAACCTACCTAACCACGCCAATAGACCACTTACACCACCCATTTACACCTGCCTTCCTACCTTCCTGCCAACGTATTCAATGGATGGCAATCAACCTCTTTTTGACCTGCCTTACGAGGTCCAGATTGACGCCGGCGACCTTTTTCACGCTGAAGATAACTTCACAGTGCCTTCCAGTACGTATATGACCCTCTGGGAATGCAGAAAACTAACTCTTATAAGGCGTAAGGCAGGCAAAGTCCAAGTCCAAGTGCGAGTCCGAATTTATACCCCGTCAATTACTTTCCAACCCCAAAGACCTCCCTGACCGGCGCAAAGAACTGTTTCTTGTCGACAACGCGATTGAATTCACCACTGCCGAGTTCAATATACTGGCCACATGTAGATAACTTTTGGACCAAGCAAGGCAGTACGCGCTGGCTTAAAAACGGGTCATATTATCAACAATACGCGTGCCTTCTTCACCGTACGAGGGTCACAGCGCCTGAAAACATGGGCATGCGCGCTCGTCACCGGACTATGAGGACGGCGATTGGGTGCAAGAGGCGGATCAAGGTCACCCACCACCTTTCCAGACAAAGACCAGGTGGTGATTGTGGCTACAAACAACTGCCCTCATAACCACGACTTGGCCCAACTTAACGCTATTCGCAAATCCAGTTATTTGAAGCAGTTAGCCGAGGTTGAGGTGCAGCGTGAGTATGCTCCGGCTGCTATTTTCAACAATCTATCCCGGAATGATATTCCGGGGCGTCGTCAGGACCTTCTTGACGCAGGCGGCCAGTGGTTGACCCAACAGGACGTTATTAACGCTGGTCTGAAGTTCAAGGCAGCCAATCCTGGCTTTTGATGACAAATACCACACGAGGGAGAAGCGCAAAGACATGGCTGCCCCAGCTAAGTAGTCGAGGAGTTCGGGCCGAGTTATAAATTGAATCGAGGCATGCCCAGCTGGTTGGATTGGGTTGGCAAATACGTCATGTCATGGAAGGGTCCAGTCGGAGGGCAGCGGCAGCCATGCCGAGCCGGCAGAGTTCCGATTAGCACCGAATCCAAGTCCGTCCGCGTCCGTGGGCTACAGTCCGACGTACCTGCGCAACTCCAGGTCCTGGCTCGGGGGCACGTCCTTCTGTCCGCGCAAGATCGAGGACCGGATCCACCTTCATCGTGTTCGGGTGCACCTCAAGGCCAGGAGCACGAGGACACTCGGCCGCGTCGTGTCTTGAGGCCTCGATCGCCTCGACAAGGTCGAATTGTTCGCCCGCGGGAACCGTCGACTGGAGCGAGTCGAATCAACATGCCCAGTGAAGTAGTCAAGAACCCAAAGAGCAGAGACCATCCCCACTGGGCGCCGGTGAGACGGACTGTCTGGAACGCATCACCACCGAGGAAGATGATGATGACTTGGCCGGCCAGCGTGGTCGCTTGGACCAATATGAACCAGGGATTGTGCGGCACTCCTCCAAGGGTATGCCACTTGTTACCAACGCGCCGCGAGCTGTCCAGTTTGGTCAGAATTGTATGAAGGACATGTATGGGGGCAGCAACTGGCTTAGCCTGGTTGAAGGATTGCATCCATACGTAAGTGTTGAAGGCTATGGTCTGCAACTGCTCCCGCTGGTGTTCGGTGTGGTAGTTGAATATCGATTCGCTGGCGTAGCAAGGTGAAGACTACGGTCATCTGGCATATTGACTGCCGAGAATCATCTTCCACATGGTTGTATTCAAGACCGACGCCGTCCTTGTTCCGGCTTCCGTGCAAGTAGATCACTGGTGGGGAAATCTGTACTCAGGGTCAGGGCAGTGAAGAGTAAGTCAAGCTTCGTCGAAGGCTTGGGAGGATGTGATGTTGGAGCTCAGGAGGTAAATAATTACAACAGGGGGGATTCCTACAACGCGATTGGCCAGCGCTGCCCTACCCAGCCCTCTTCTCAGGGCCAACCAACCACATCCACCCACTTAACTTAGTGGAAGGCATTAGTCCCTACCTAGGATCCATTGAGACTTCTCGACATTGCGGAAAAAGGTCACCTAGATAGGTTTACGGGCGAGCGGTGTCTCGGCCGCTGAAACGGGCTCAACGGCCGCTGAAACGGGCATTGAGCCATGGGACTCCCCAATGAAGAGTTTCCTTGGCATCATGGCCGTCGCGATCACTTCTTCTCCTGCACAATTGTTGCCTAAGACGGTCAGAGCTATGAGCCTTCGTAGGCCATCTTTCCGGAGCCGAGGGAGCTGCCGTCGCGACTCTGTTGACTAAGCACAAACTTCGTGTCGCGGCGCACCATTACCTGTCTCGCCAAATCGCCCGGAGATTGTCATGACGTGGCTCTCTTTGTCAAGCCGCACCCCGGGCTGGTGCTGGAGTCGGGCGTAACAAGACTATCGCAGGAACCATCCGGGAAGCCTGCAATGTCTTCAGACAACATTCCCGGCGATGGGCCAAGGAATGCGGCTGAGAGGGATCCGGTCATTCTCTCTCGCCGCACCCAACGTCGGCAGAAGAAGCAGCTCAAGCAGCTGCAAAATGATCTAGCCACTGAGAAACGAGGCATCATTGATCTCCCCTACGAAATCATAGTCGAAATCTTGCTGCTCCTTCGTCCAAGCGACCTATTTAAACTGGCCCGGACCAGCAAGGGCTTCCACGACTTCGTTATGGAGCACCACGTCCAGGACACATTGGCCAGGGGCATCATTAGCCGGCGTTACGCATGCCTCGCGAAGTGCTTTGGCCTACCAGTGCTGCTAACGAACCTCGACGCATCTGTCCGAGCAGCACTCCAAAGTGCGGAGCGGCAGGAAATCATGGCCATCCACAGGAAGCCATACCAGCACCTCGCGCTGCCAGACCCGGACGTGATCTGCACCTGCCTGACCTGCACGCTCCGGTGGAACTCCCTCTGCCTCGCCGTCGACTTCGCCCACTGGCAGCCGCACCTCGACGCCGGCGAGCCGATCCGCATGACGCCCCGCGGCCCCAACCCGCAGTGGAACCGGGACCTCGTCGACGCCGGCGCGGCCGTCGTCTCGAGGGCCCTGCGCCGCCCGCTCTGGCACGCCCGCATCCTCGAGGCGCACCTCGAGTCCACCACCCGCTCCGTCCTCCGCCACGTCCAGAACAGGGGCAACAAGCGCCGCCACTTCGTGCTGAACGAGCGGGACCGGCTGGCGGGGACGGACGCATTCCTGGAGAGGAGCGGACCGCCCACCCTGGACTTCCCCTTCCATAGGGATAACTACTACATGCTGGAGGCGTACCTGCCCAACCGTAGCTGGAGTAGGGAGAAGGGGAGGTGGATGTACATGCCGATGGACCAGCATGATCAGGATGTCCGGTTCTTGGTGGCGTGGGTGGAGCGGAAGCGGAGGGAACGGGCGCAGGAGGAAGGGGAGAAAGCGGGCGAAGTGCCTCGCCGGGAGGACTCGCCCCGGGCAGGAGCACCCACAGGCGGAGCTGGTACGGGGAGAACAATGACGGGGAGAGCACGGAGCGGAGACGAGCACCAAGTGGTGGAGCTCAAGACGACCCCCGTCTAGTTGCAGGTGGGCGGCCAGGAACAGGGTCGTGTCTATAACGGTCGCAACAGGGGGTTTTGACAGGGGATCATCGGTAAATGCTTGGGTGACGATGGTCAAGTGCAAGAAATCTTCAGGTCAACGAGGAGGCACAACGCCCCGAATCATCTATTAATGACGCTAACTGTATCGCATGTGAACCCCTCCCGATGACCGCTTTTACAGTGATCGTACATACAAAAGCCCCCATCTACAAGTACAGGCCCTCTGGCTCACCCTCCTGCTTGGTGCGCAGAACCCTCTCGCGGGCCGCACGGAAGTCGGCCATCTGCACGCGCATCCGCCGCTCACGGAGGGCCATGAGGCCAGCCTCGGAGCAGATGGCCTTGATGTCGGCGCCCGAGAGGTCGTCCTTCTGGGCGATGAACTCCTCGAGGTCGACGTCCTCGTTGAGAGACATCTTGCTCGTGTGCAGGGTGAAGATCTTGCGCTTGGTGTTCTGGTCGGGGTTCTCGAAGAGGATCTTTCGGTCGATACGCCCGGGGCGGATCAGGGCCGGGTCGAGCGTCTCGATCTTGTTGGTCGCCATGATGACCTTGACGTCTCCGCGGTCGTCGAACCCATCGAGCTGGTTGAGCAGCTCCAACATGGTCCGCTGGACTTCACGCTCACCCCCGGATGTAGACTCGTAACGCTTCGTGCCAATGGCATCGATCTCGTCGATGAATACGATGGAGGGTGAATTCTCCGCAGCGACCTTTTGTTGATTGTTAGCAACGGAATTCTGGTACTCCAGGGCAGAGAGATCTTACCTGGAAGAGTTGTCGAACCAAGCGAGGCCCGTCTCCGAGATATTTCTGAATCAGCTCGCTCCCCACAATACGCAAGAAGGTGGCGGATGTCTGGTTCGCGACAGCCTTTGCCAGCAGGGTCTTTCCTGTCCCCGGAGCGCCGTAGAGGATGACGCCCTTGGGCGGCTTGATGCCCATCTCCTCGTAGAGCTCGGGATGCAAGAGAGGCAGCTCAACCGACTCTCTGACCTCCTGAATCTGCTGCTCCAAGCCACCAATATCCGCGTACGACTCGGTCGGCGCCTTGTCGAGCTTCATGACGCTCACCAGCGGGTCCGTATCATCCGTCAAGACACCAACAATGCTGACGCTCTTGTGGTGCAGAAGAACGCTGGCGCCGGGCTCGAGGAGATCTTTGTCGACGAAGCTCATGATGCTGACGTAGTATTCAGGCCCCGTGGTGCTGGACACGATGGCGTGGTCATCGTCAATCATCTCCTCGAGAGTACCGACCCCCATGGGGCTGCCTCTCATGTCGTCGACACGGCCACGCTCATCGGCAAGTCGGTCGGCGGCGTCGAGCTCGGAGCTCGGTGCGTTGCTGTCTTTGGCGGCCTTGGCCTTGCGCAGCCGCTCCTGGTTCTCAACATACTCCTCTTCGAGCAGCAGGTGATCGTGGATGCGCTGCATCCGAAGGAGGCGCAGCTTGCATCGACTCGTCGGGTAGACGGGCGGTAGTTTGGCCGCGGCGCCCATGCCGCCGGCCTTCCTCTTCTTTCGCCCGACGCGGGTCGTCGGTCGGGGAGGAGGCTCGTATTTGGGTTTTTCCTTCTGCTCGGCGAACGACGCCCGGTTAGCCCAAACCCAAAACAGGGGAACCTGCGAGATCATCTACAGATGAATCATGTTTGGCAGTCTTACCTTCTTATCCTTCTCATCTTTGCCATCCTGGCCACCGCCCATTCCAGACTGATTTTGGCCCTAGAATGTGACTGTCAGCGATTGGGCCATTGTGTCTGTTTTGAGGCGAGGATAGCTCACCATCTTGACTACTCAGCTTCAGACCTGGGAAAAAGGCCTCGAGCCGTTCAAAATAAGCGGATAGGCAAGGTGTGTATGCCTTCTCTACTCGTTTTCAGATGGGATACGAGGATCGACGATGAAGTTGGTGGAACCTCGACGACGCAATTGATGGGCTTTGAGGCACTGCGTAGGTTGGAGATACTTTCAATCAGGCGCCAGGGAAACGCGACAGCAAGCAGAGAGCTTTGGCCAAGCCCAAGCGACCGGTCACGTGTTTGGCAGCTGAGATGATGCACCTTGAATCTTTAGCCTTCTCATCAGCTGGCCAATAAAAGCCGCCTTGCCACCCAGCTTCGGCAACAATCCATCAAAAGCAAGCCTTGCGCACGAGCCAGGGCTAGACGACTAGGTACATCTGCCTCTGGTAGGACAACTCTAACTCTTCTTCTCTGCTCTGGGCTGCTCCTATTTGGGCTGCCGATCTGATTCCAGTGTGTTTACACGTGTAGTGTGACCATAGGCTCCTGTTTGGCCAGCCTACCCAAGGCAGAATGGTAAACAAATGTTGTAGAATACGTGCCTAAGTACCAATGAAAGTTTGGCGGTGCGTGAGGCTCTCCGATAACTCCACTTGCTGAGCTGCCTCCAACATTAGTTAGGTACCTGCCTGACGCATGATTTCTGTCAGCTGTGCTTGTGCCCCATCCTCCCCTCACCATTTAACTCGGCTCACGGCGACTACAGGAAGAAACTAGAAAGGTTGTGGGTAAACACCAAGCTTATGTTTCCTTTCACCTTTTCATTACCGGTAATAGGCATTTTCAATCAGCAGCCTTAGATTCGCTTAGCCCCTCCCCGATATCTTTCGCCGAGCTTGTGCCCCTCAAGGTGCCTTAAACAACCTAGTTCCTTCCCCAAGGTGCTGCTTTGTCGTTTGGACAATTCTGATCCCGACCTCGCCTCACCTTACCGGAATCCCGATATGGCCTCTACACGAGAGCGCCGTGTTGCCAAAGAGCTTGCCGACATCTTTGCCGACAAGGATAACTCGGGCGTCCTGGCCCAGCCCGTCGACCCCGCCGATGTCACCCATCTCAAAGGCACCTTCCCCGGCCCTCCAGACTCACCCTACTCCGGCGGTACTTTTCAGGTCGATATTGTGATTCCCGACATGTACCCCTTCAAGTCTCCCATTATGAAGTTCGACACCAAGATTTGGCATCCTAATGTCAGCAGTGTGACTGTGAGTGGTGCCATTTCTTCGGCTGAACCCCGCAGATATCGATGTAAGCTGACTGTGACGAAAACCAACAACAACAGGGCGCCATCTGTCTCGACACCCTGGGCAGTGGCTGGTCCCCGGTCGGCACTATCAAGATGGCCCTCATCTCCCTCCGAATGCTCCTCGAGTCCCCCAACCCCAAAGACCCGCAAGACGCTGAGGTCGCCAAGATGCTGATGGAGGACCCCGATGCATTTGCCTACAAGGCACACGAGTGGGCCGTCAAGTACGCAGGGGCACCGATGAGGGAAATGGCCTTTAGCGGCAATTACGAGAAGAAGAAGAAAGCCGAGGTCAAGAGGGACGATCCAAGCAGGTACGAGGGGGTTACGGGAAGATGGACGACTGCTCGGTGTACCGGATGGCTGACGATGAATTATTTGTGATTTCAGGTACCAGGGCTACAACAAGGATCTCGTCGACCGATTTGTCGTCATGGGCTTCGACGTCGAGGCCGTCGTTGACGCCTTCAACTTTGTCGGCATCGACCGAAACGGCGGCGAGGACTACGAACTGGAGGAGGCCTACATGGGCGATATCACCGCTCGACTGCTCGGGGAACAGTAGGAATGAACCGACCCGCCTCTGCGTCGGTCGTTGCGTTGTGGCGGTAAACCGGCCCCGACCGGCGCGTCTGGAGAAGACGGGGGATCAGGCAAGATAGCTGGCAGGATTGCGAGTCAGGTTCTCTTTTGAGGCATAAGAACGGAGTTTGGTGCAAGTCTGCTCGATATCGAGAGGTTTGGAACAAGGCCGGATTTTACTTTACTGCTTTTTACTCTCTTCGTTTTACTCCCCTCGCTGCATTACCCCCACCTCCTCAGCCCTGTTGCATCATCAGTGGCCTCAGGATTTGGCTTTGGCGTTGCATCTGGGAGTCGGCAGGTTTAGGAGGTAGCATTGCTTTTTCACTACCAGCCAGGGGTACCATACAAGCTTTGATTACGCGACTTCGCTGCTCGTGAGTGTTGTCCCCAAGCCCTGAAAAACTCAGCTTGATGGCTCGTCACCTTTGCCCGAGGCAACCACATAGTACCCCCCCGGGAGCTGTCTCGAGGGGAGAGTGACCTGACTTTTTAACCACGCCGCCCCCCTCGATATATAGGCCAGCCGGGAAAGGGGTCTTGAACACGCACGGCGCAGCAGCAATGGAATGATATGACCAATTCAATGTCTTGACAAATACAGCCAGGAGAATACAATGTACGATTTGTGTTGCCAGGCCCCCGAAATCCCAGCCGAGTCTATCAGGATCATATTTATGCCAAGTAATGAACAAAGTGAGGCCAGCTGCCCGCTCGCCTCAACTCGCCTCAACCCCCTCCCAGACGCACGGCACCACCTTCAGCAGTAGAACGGGGACGACCGACCTCCATTACAACCACGAAGCCCCGAACGACAAAAGGAACCCCCGCGCCATAACCGGAACAGCCCTAGAGCAGGTCACGCCTGACGAACTCGTCCCGCAGGGCCTTGCCCAGGCTGGCGGGCGAGCGCTCGACAACGACGCCGGCGGCCTCGAGGGCCTTGATTTTGGAGTCGGCGCCGCCCTTGCCGCCGGAGACGATGGCGCCGGCGTGGCCCATGCGGCGGCCGGGGGGCGCGGAGATGCCGGCGATGAAGGAGACGACAGGCTTGCCGCCGGCGTGGGTGTTGTACTCGCGGAGGAAGTCGGCGGCGTCCTCCTCGGCGGAGCCGCCGATCTCGCCGATCATGATGATGCCGTCCGTCTCCTCGTCGCGCAGGAACACCTTGAGGCAGTCGATGAAGCTGGTGCCGCTGAAGGGGTCGCCGCCGATGCCCACGACGAGCGACTGGCCCAGCGCCGCCTGCGTCGTCTGGTTGACGGCCTCGTAGGTGAGCGTTCCCGACCGCGAGACGATGCCGACGCGGCCGCGCTTGTGGATGAACCCGGGCATGATGCCGATCTTACACTGGCCCGGCGCGATGATTCCCGGGCAGTTGGGGCCCACCAGCCGGGTTTTGCCTTGGGTCTTGAGCATCGAGGTGAGGCGGACCATGTCTGTTTTACGTCATCGTTCAGGAGGCTTGATCTGATTATGTTCTCGGGTCGGGAGGATTTGAGGGACTAACCATGCTGGGGAATGCCTTCGGTGATACAGACGACAAGAGGGATCTCAGCAGCGACGGCCTCTTCGATGCCGGCTGCCGCCAATGGGGGCCTAGAAAGGGGGTTCCCCTGTTAGCTTATATATCCACGGTCGAGTTCGATCAGAGGGGGGTTGCTCTTACGGGACGAAGATAGCGGTAGCAGTCGCGCCAGTCTCCCTCACGGCGTCCGAAACGTTCGCAAAGACTGGGAGGCCAAGATGTGTCTGGCCAGCCTTCTTGGGGTTCGTTCCTCCTACGACCTTGGTGCCTAGGCAGGGAATTTGGGTCAGAACCGTTTGATCTATCCCCCAATGCTGTCTTTCCATGTTCGGGGCCGGAGATCTATTTACCATATTCGATTGCTTGTTGTGCGTGGAAGCTGCGAGAACCTCAGTGTCAGCTTGCCATGTCCTTTGTAATTTCAACTTCAATTTTTTTCTTGCGCCCGTTTCTGCGTAGCGCGGAGCTCCAGGAAAGGGGTGCGAGGATGACGGAGTTCCCCAAAACAAGAATTCTAACATACGTTCCCTGCTTTCCAGTGAATCCCTGGTAGATGACCTTGGTCTCGCTGTTGATGCGCAGGTTCTCGATTGTCGCGGCGTATGGAGAGCTGGACGAGCTGTAGGGCCTGCGCGAGAGCTGGCGCAGAAGCGAGCCCCCTCCTGTCCGGACCTGTCTTGAGATTGCCTGCATTGTGATACCTGAAGCCAGCAGAGGCAAGGGATGAAGGGACTGAGGGAGAGGGAAAAGAGTGAGAGAGGAGATGGTTAAATGTTTTGTCGCCGGCTTTCGTCCTTCACTCGCGTTTCGTCATTTCCCCAAGCAACCGAAGCTGTACCAAGCAAAAACCTAGCCTCCCAATTCTAACCGGGTGTCGGAGAAATGCCGGCAACCACGCTAACTGGGACCGGATATTCCCGAAAACCAATGCCACTTCTTTGCTGACCAGCTACCGGGGTCAGCTTATCACGTGATGGATATCGGCTGCCACGCCCACTGCAAGGGAAGATCTAGCGAGAGGAGTTCGGCTACACAAGCGACGACGATAGATACGTGGGAGCCGCCCGACCACGTCGACGATGAACCGCTCATCAGGAATACGAAGACCGGATTAAGTGAGGCAGGGACTTGTTATTTACGATCGCCACGGAGCAGCGAACGGATCGCCCAAGTACGAATCGCCAGATCAGTAACAGAACCTCGGTCAGGATCACCATCCTCCTCAAGCTCGTCCTTGTCCCCATGGGAATCATCTATACAGCGCCATAAGCATCGTGGGCGCAGCACCATCCCACTAGTGACATTCCTTACCAAGTGCGTGCAAATAGCCTCGACCAGGCGAAGGCATCGGCGCAGCGCGTGCGCATCGTCGTCGCTTAGGCCGCCACCAGCAGCGGCAGCGACCGCGGCAGCAGGGCGCGCGCGAGCAGCTCCAGCACGCACCGCGCGCTGTGCAAGGACGCCAGCCTTCTCGTAGTCGCCCTTTTTCTGTTGCAAGGATTAGTATACGCAGCGCCCACGCAGCGCCACCAACTCCTACTCACATCATAGTCTTCGAGATAAGCCGCAGCGGCGGCAACGAAACGGCGGACAGGCCCCTGAGCAGCGAGACTGACCTATAACGCTGCGCATAAGTGGCGCACAAACGAAGAAGAAGGGGGAGGGGGTTAGCAGTCATACATCGCGGCACGAATGGTTTTGGTTTGCGCATTCGCAGCAGCGTGCACCAGTACCTAAGCTGAGAGTAAGCCACGCGGAATCAACACCAGAACAGCGCAGAACCTACCGATCTGGTCGTGGCAGACATGAGTCGGGTTGTTGGCCAGACGGGAAACGCACGAGGCGCAGCTAGGACCGGATTAACATTCGCAGGCGCAGCCCAGGAGCAGCAGACTTACGGGATGGCTCGCTTCCTTCCCTCACAGGCCTTCATTTTCTTTGGCTTCGACTCTGTCAGCGCCGTGGCCACGACTCGCTCAAGCCCCACGCTCGCAGCATAAAAATCACTTTTTGAGGCCGGCAGTGATGGCTACAAGGCAGCATCAACGCTATGTACCTACATAGATAGCGACTGCACGCAAGGCAGGGTATAGGCGCGCAGTGCTTGGAACGAAGGTGAAGTAGCGCCAGCGCTGCAAGGAAGCAATCGACTGATCTAAGACTTCACTGAACTCTACCTTTCTCAATCTCCTACGATATCCTCGAGCTACTTATACTCCTAGGCTTTTCAGGGGGCCGCCCTCGCTGCTCTGACACTTTTTATCCCCATTTAGCCGCCTATGTCACAGGTTTGATTCGCCTAGCCCCGTCACCATATTTGCTGGTCAATCACTAGCTGAGTCAGGTGAGTAGGCACGTGTAGATTCGACCCCACCAAAAGAACTTCTTTGCAGATCTAGGTGTCAAGGCTCCAAGACACTGGCCCGGATTTGAGAGAGTCGCGAGCTCTTCCTGTTCATCCAAGAACCTGACTCCGACTAATGACCACTCCAAGATGGCGACCACTACAATAACTACCACCGCGCGGAAGAAAGATGCGAACCTTCCACCAGAGAACGAGCGGTACTTGCGATGCTGCGCAGACATTGCGAATGCCCTCATCGAGGACCATGAGGCGACGAAGAATCCCTCCCAGCCCAAAAAAGACATCAACCTGAACAGCCTGCGAGCCAGGATTGCGAGGAAGCACAAGGTCGGAAGCCTGCCTGCGCTGACGGCCATCATTGCTGCTGTTCCTGAGCAGTACAAGAAGTACATCCTGCCGAAACTGGTGGCAAAGCCAATAAGTATGTTCCCGAGAAGAGACGGACTCAATTTCCTCGAGAGCCTATGTACTCTAACCGCAGTTGCAGGAACCTCCTCCGGTATAGCAGTCGTTGCTGTCATGTGCAAGCCGCACCGATGTCCCCATATCGCATACACGGGCAACATCTGTGTCTACTGCCCGGGCGGCCCTGACTCGGATTTCGAGTACAGCACCCAGTCCTACACAGGATACGAGCCGACATCGATGCGAGCAATCCGTGCGCGCTACGACCCCTTCGAGCAAGCCCGTGGCCGCGTCGACCAGCTCAAGGGTCTCGGCCACTCGGTCGACAAGGTGGAGTACATCGTCATGGGGGGGACCTTCATGTCGTTGCCCGAGTCATACCGGGACGAGTTCATATCACAGTTACACAACGCGCTGAGCGGATACCAGACGACCAACGTCGATGAAGCCGTCGAGGCTGGGGAGATGAGCAACATCAAGTGCGTGGGGATCACAATCGAGACGCGACCGGACTACTGTCTGCAGCCGCATCTGTCTAGCATGCTGCGGTACGGCTGCACCCGCTTGGAGGTCGGAGTCCAATCACTGTATGAGGATGTCGCGCGTGATACCAACAGGGGGCACACCGTTGCCGCGGTTGCGGAAACATTCTGCCTGGCCAAGGACGCCGGCTTCAAGGTGGTCAGCCACATGATGCCGGACCTACCAAACGTCGGCATGGAGCGGGATTTGGATCAGTTCCGAGAATATTTCGAGAATCCAGACTTCCGGACAGACGGCCTGAAGATCTACCCGACGCTGGTCATCCGCGGAACGGGCCTGTACGAGCTATGGCGGACGGGGCGTTACCAAAACTACACGCCAAACGGCCTGATCGACCTGGTGGCGCGGATCCTGGCGCTGGTGCCCCCGTGGACGCGTATCTACCGCGTGCAGCGCGACATCCCCATGCCGCTGGTCACGTCGGGCGTCGAGAACGGCAACCTGCGGGAGCTCGCGCTCGCGCGGATGAAGGACTTCGGGACGACATGCCGGGACGTGCGGACGCGCGAGGTGGGCATCAACGAGGTCAAGCACAAGATCCGGCCGAACCAGGTGGAGCTCGTGCGGCGCGACTACACGGCCAACGGCGGGTGGGAGACGTTCCTCGCCTACGAGGACCCCAAGCAGGACATCCTGGTGGGCCTGCTGCGGCTGCGCAAGTGCTCGGCCAAATACACGTTCCGGGAGGAGCTGTCGGGCCAGCAGACCAGCCTCGTGCGGGAGCTCCACGTCTACGGCATGGCGGTGCCGGTGCACGCCCGGGACCCGAAGAAGTTCCAGCACCAGGGCTTCGGGACTCTCCTGATGGAGGAGGCGGAGCGGATCGCGAGGGACGAGCACGGGAGCGAGAAGATCAGCGTCATCTCCGGCGTGGGTGTGCGGAGCTATTATAGAAAGCTGGGCTACTGGCTTGACGGACCCTACATGAGCAAGTGGCTTGACGGGCGACCTGGGCCGGTTGCATAGGAGAATACTGGAGGGTGAGGCTGCATGGGTGTTTCCTCCCATTCCTTGTTTCTTATCTTGCATACAGGCGCTTGGGGTACTTTGTGGGAACAAGGGAAAAAAGCGATAGGGGCGTTCAGGTATGAGGCTGGACGATCCGGCTTCCCCTGGCTTAATTATGCATTCTTGACGACCAACATTGGCTCACTCTCGCCTCTGCCAACGCATCTCGTTCCCAGACCCACCTGAGGACCTCATGCGCTAAGGTTATCGACTCCGGTCCTCACTGTGCGGCACTTTGAGCGAGTTCCTCTCCTACCTGTGAATCTCCAGTTTGGGGGAGGGGGCAACACTCGGGGTTCCGTTGTGGGGCACCACTTTATGGACCAATCCCCAAGGGATTATCTTCCCGATAGGCTTCCGGCGGCGCCCAATGGTTCCCGTCGTTTCTTGACGGAGCAGATGACATTTGGACAAACTGCTGGATGCCAAGTCCGGCTGGCAAGATGGGGGCTGAAAAGGGGCCTCAAATACTTGGCCTACAGAAAAAAAGCTCGCAGTCATTGCTCCATCTGGATCAGGACGTGCGTCCCAACTTGACAATTAGTTATATTCGCCCTCTTCATACCCGAATATGACAATTGTATTTACGGACGCTGCGAAGTGGGAAACAGTTCCTCATCAGTTCAGGGTTGGAACATGTGACGAACCACGTGCCGGAGATGGACGGAGTAACATTAGACCTTGCAGGCTTGCACTGCCCAAAAAGTGTACTGCGCCGCCTGCTCCCGTCATCAACAGAGTCACGCAACACCTGTCCTGCCATGAATTTTGACTAAGGAAGTAGTCTCACTAATAGTGTTCCCTCTGTCCGAGAGCCTTGTCAAACAGTCTGCCCGAGCCCGCACCTATCATGCATACTGACTGCGCTAAAGCGGGCCTCAGGACTCCCAAGTCCTTGTCTGGGAGCCTTCACAGTTCAAGTTCGCATCTGGCCACCGAGCTCAGATGCCTTTTCCCAACCTGGGAGACCGAAATGGTGCACAGGATCAACGTAGCCATTGGCAGTGGTTCACCGAGCCCCAGAAGTATATGCAAGCTAATGTTCAGCTGCCTAGATTGCCCAGTCATATAAAGTTGCTACTCGGTAGTGGTGGTATATCTCTTTGGCTGCAACCTGGTCTGCCTTGGGACTCTGTCGAGCGGGGTCAGGCTCTCTCGCCCCTTTACACATCAAAGAAGTTGATATATACCGGAAGCTCCGTCCAGGGCTTCTTCTGTAAAAGGGGCCTATGATTATTCTGTTTGATGACAACAATCCTCTTGTCAATCTTGTTCTAGTGCGATCAATATATTGTCACTTCTTTATGTAGACTTCCGTCCGGTCAGCAGCATCCAAGACGATGATGGCCTCTAGCCCTGCCCTACGCAGGCCCGCTCTGGGCGAGGTGGCACGCATCGGGAATCTCTACGATGCTCGACGAGACTCGTTCCTCCCGACCTCGGTTCTGAAACCTGATTCGGCCGGCAGCGTCGTTCTCACGGGCCAGACCAAAATATCCGAATTCTCCACAAGCATCGATGGATCATACCAGGCCCGATCCAAGATTCTCGGCCTAGACCGGGGACTCGCCGCCTCCTATCTCTGCGGCATGGCTGGTGCCCCCGGGTTCATGGACTACCTCGATGATGAGGAAGACAGCTCGCAGTCTCGAATGCTGCTGTGCAATATTTCCTCGAGCCAAGAGAAGTTAGACCTCGTGGGTCCTGATCTCAGAGATGCCCTGAACTTGGCGGTTCTGCAGGATGGGTCGGCAACCCATATAGTGACAGAGGTCCGTTGGGGCACCCAGCTCGCAGTTGTGGCTTCTGCTGGGAACCGGCCGCCGACTTCCGAGTCCGAGGCTGAGCTGGAATCCTACTTCTCTGAGTTCCAGAAGATGATCCAGCACGCGGGTGCGTATGTGCCCTCGCTTGTGCCAAACTCGTGTCACACCTTCTCCATTCATGGTAACGACAGCCTCGCCGGCTTCAACACCTCAGACGTCAACGCGATCGCCCGATCTCTCGGCGATTTCTCCAGAACAACCCCGGACGGTTCTTTGGCACAGTCCGAACCCCTGGCCTACGTCTTGCTCCCCCTCAGCTTCCTCAGTCTTCTCTTTCCAGCGGTTACTCAGCCAATGCTTGTTACCCCTGATCCAGACTGCCTCGACCAATTCACTCAGGTGTTTGATGAACTCCGATCGAATCGGAAGAAGCTTAGCGGCTACCTAGGTGTGCTGCAAGCACATCGCCACTGCGTTCCAGACAGCCACACAGACGCCATCTCCATCGCCGACGCCAAAGCGACGCAGTCGGAGCAGCTCCTGAGGTCGAGATATTCGTCGCTTCTAGTCTCGGTCAGAAGCGGTGATGTGGCCATGGATCAGCTCTGGTCACTCCTGAAAGAGTTCCAAGACGGCCCCCTGTCGACTCGCCAGCTCTCCGCGTCCATCGGGGAGTTTGAAGCCAAGATGCAGTTTGTCGATATGATGATCAGTAAAGGCGGCAAGTACACCTCTTTCAACCGCCGGCATCCTTGGAACTTCCTGGGCGACGAAGATACTTACGTCCTCTTTTACTACAACGACGTGGCGAGGAAGAACCCAGCACTCTGGCAGAGCCACCAGAGCCTTATGATTGACCTCCTCGATAACCGGCGGGGAAATTCCAACATGGTCTTTTGCGACTGCGACACCGACGGTCCAACTCCTCCCGTTATCCGGATAGCGCACATCAAGGATCGGAAGGTCTATGCGAATGACCTCGTGGATGAAGAAAGCTTCGCTGCCGACAAGTCTCTCGCCATGTGCAATACCCAGCTGTTCTTCCGCGAGGACCGGCCAAAGCCTCAGCAGCGCCGTGCGGTCCGGATGCACTGTCCCGGGCAGAGATGTGATCCGTCCATCGCGCACGAGTGGTACTGCAACCGGTGCAGATCTGCCATCGAGTTCGGGGACCAAGACCAGTACTTGTACTGCGACTGCGGATACGGCAGCTACAAGGGCTACTCGTTCCGCTGCAAGGAGGCGATGACGCACGGCGGGGCCTACGAGAAATACAAGCCGAAGGAGCTCCTCCAGCAGCTGCAACGGCTGAAACCCTACCGCCAGATGAACATCCTCATCCTCGGCGAGACCGGGGTCGGGAAGTCGACCTTCATCAACGCCTTCATCAACTATCTCACCTTTGAGACCCTCGACGAGGCGGTGGCGCATGACGGCCTACAGTGGATCATTCCCTGCTCCTTCTCGACACAGTTCCTCGACGAGAAAGGCCGCTTCCACCAGCAGGACATTAGGATCGGCACAAGCAACGAGGAGGCCGACGGCTCGCTCGGCCAGTCGGCCACCCAGGGCACGACCGTGTACCGCATCCAGATGGGGGACCTCCTCGTCCGGCTCATCGACACCCCGGGGATCGGCGACACGCGAGGCATCGAGCAGGACAAGGTGAACATGGCGGGCATCCTGTCGACGCTGGCCAGCTTCGAGACGCTCGACGGCATCCTCATCCTGCTCAAGCCCAACAGCGCGCGCCTGACGCTCATGTTCAAGTTCTGCGTCACCGAGCTGCTGACCCACCTCCACCGGGACGCGAGCCGCAACATCGTCTTCGGCTTCACCAACACGCGCATCTCCAACTACATGCCCGGGGACGCGTTCAAACCGCTACAGTCGCTGATGAACAAGTACCAGCAGGTTAAGATGTCGCTGAGCCACTCCAACACGTACTGCTTCGACTCGGAGTCGTTCCGGTACCTGGCTGCACTGAAGCAGACGGGTCGACCGATGGACAACGAGGACGACTTCCGGCGCAGCTGGCGGCGGTCCGAGGAGGAGTCGCGGCGGCTCCTCGCCCACTTCGAGGGGCTCGAGCCGCACCTCGTCAAGGGCACGCTGAGCCTGAACCGGGCGCGCGACCTGATCACGAAGCTGACCAAGCCCATGGCCGAGATCATGGACGTGATCAACCGGACGATCCGCATCAACGAGGACCACATGCAGGAGCTCAGCGACGAGAGGTGCAGGGGCGACGACCTCAAGAGGCGCCTGCACTTCCAGAAGATCGACAAGCTGACCAAGCCCCTGAGCAAGCCGCGCACCGTCTGCACCGAGGACAAGTGCGTCGACTATGTCCAGGGCGTGGACAAGACGGTCATCAACTACCGGACTCACTGTCACAAGTTTGTTCTTCCCCCCCCCCTATTGCGTATTGCCATTTAGGCCAGAAAGAAGGAGCGCCTCCAGCTAACCCGCTTCTTTTTCCCACCTCCCCCCAGGGTATGTTACCTGACGGAAGTCCCCAAGGAGATCAAGGGCGAATCCCGGCTATCCGGCTGCGCGGCCTTCGCGGGCGGCGCGGGCAAGTGCAAGACGGCCAGCTGCGGGCACGAGTGGCAGAGCCACATGCACGTTTGGTACGAGCTGGAAGACAAGCTGATCACGGAGAAGCACGCGGGCATCGAGGCCATGCTCAAGAAGCACGAGTCCGAGGTCGAGGTCAAGAAGGCGGCCGTCCGGGAGCACGAGCGGCGCGTCAGCGAGGCGCGCGCCGAGCTGAGGGAGCTCGAGGACGCCGCCGCCCGCTTCGGCCTCTTCCTCAGGGTGAACTCCATCACCCCTTACAACGACGAGATGCTCGCCTACCTGGACGAGCAGATCAAGGAGGAGAGGCAGATCGTCAACTCCACCCGCGCCGGCCAGGACCGCCTCGACGGCCTGCTGCGCACGCGCGCCGAGTACGAGCAGCAGATCCGCGTCCTGGAGAAGGAGATGTCGGCCGGCGGCGCGGGGAAGAAGCCCCTCGACGAGCGCGACGTCGAGAAGCTCGTCCTCCGGCTCTACCGCCTCAAGGGGTGGGGCCAGAGCCTGAAGGACATCAAGACCGCCGCCGAGTACTACGGCGGCAGCGCCACCTACCACGAGCGCCAGTTCCGGTCCCGGCGCACCTGGCAGCACGGCGGCTGGTCGCGGAGCTCGTACTCGTCGTCGTCGTCGTCGCCGTCCCTGTCTCTGTCCCTGTCTGCCACCCTGGTCTCGCCGTCCCGGGGTTTCGGGCACGGCAGAATCGGCAGCGGGAGCAGCAGCAGCAGCGGCAGCGGCGGAGGTTACACCCTGACGGCCGGTCCCCAGAAGTATTCGTCGCTGCTGCCTCCAGAGTACGACGACTCCAACACGGAGGGACAGGCGGCCGGGTCTGAGTGGCGGCCCCGATCGCTCGTCTCCGAGATGTCGATGCGGTCCGCGCCGGTCCGGGAGGTGGAGCCCGTGTCTATCTCGAGCAGGCTGAAAAGCGGGCTGTTTGGTCGTTTGAGGAAGTCGAGCAAGTGAAAGTGGCGCCATGTTCGAGTGGTTTTATGGCCCTTTTTTTCTATTTGTTAAATAATTAATGGGTATTTTGCCATGTTAGTTACTGACGATTCTCCTTTTTGTATTTGCTTGAATTCCATCAATTTTCCTGTGATCATGTTCCAGGTAATTCGGCCATTAGATCCTCAGATCTCTTCATGCATCCTCTGGTGATTAACATCTCCCCCTTCTCTCCCCCTTCCGTTATCGTCCTCTCAACACAACCGGCAACTTTGGGTCTAGCCCTGATTCACCTCTCAATGCCGAGATTCCAGCCGGGCCATGCATGGCCTTGGCCAGGTCCCTGGTTTGCTTGAACCCCCTACTCCCGAAAGCCCGAAGGGTGTCCATGTCACTGCCCTCGTATTACCCCCTCAAGTAAAGACCACTTCAGGGCGCTCAAGGGCGGAGGCATGGGGAGCTGCGGGACCGTCAAGACGCACCCCACCGTCCCGGGATGTCGACGAGCCGAACTGGCAGCACGCCGCATGAGGCTTCAACCACGACACCCTGCACGAGATCAAGAGCAAATGGGATTCTGCGGGCGTGTTATGGACCAAGTCGAGCCCCGGGTCGGAGAAGTTGTAATTGCAGGACGAGTGGTGGCCGCACAGGATCACGGAGTAATGACATACATGTGCATACCTCAAGATGGAGATAAGACCTACCGTGTCGAGCCACTAGTTGAATATAATCGGTTGCGGGCCCCCAAGGAGCTGTTTACCCTGCAGGAGCTGGGTTTTGAACAAAGGTTGATGCTTACCGCATGGATACCCTCAGTTGAGTAATTGATGCCGCCATCCGGTCGGCCATATGCAAATCGAGCAACATACGCGGACAATTTGGATACAAATACCTTCGCAGCCTTCAGTAGTCAATGTGCGGGTGGCCCGGCATCCATCCAGCCACGCCATGGCTGGATCACGTCCCAGAAGGCCATACGCTTATGGAGGGTCATGATGAACCGTTGGTCCCGCGTAGGTGACGTGGTGAGACTGGACTGTTTAGCCAAACTGAAGATGATAGTCCCTGGCGAAGAGCAGTGCCCTGTCACTAGTTCGAGGGCTGGAAGGGTGAATGAACTGGGGGTGAGAAAGGGGGCAACTGTCTATCGGGGGAACGGGGACGCAAAAGTGCCCACGCTTACCTGGAATTCCGAGTCGATGGCTCGGAGTGAATCTACGAATATCTGCCAAATCCCTGTCCATGTCCGACTTACCGCCTGTATCTGACCTTACGCCCAGGCGGGCAGTAAGCAAGCCGATCGATAAGGGGGGGGGGGTTAGTAGGTTGTCGGCCTAGTAGTGGAGAGGTTGCCGCGGCCTAGGTTACGTTCCAGTGAACGTATCTAGATGGTGTGGGTGGCATATCGCCAAATGAGGTATTTGCTCTTCCAGGTAGGCAGGCAGGCCACAGGTGGCCCACCCCTAGCAGCTCCACGCACCCAAAGTATCCCAAAACCATAGGTTGCCATTCCGCGGGTATCAGCTCGAGAGGTCCGATCGTCCTAGTCCTTCCCACTATCCACGCACACACTCATCCCTCGCAGGTGTTGCTAACCAGCGGCAGACGATGTAGGCTGGATGGTAGGACCAAGGAGGAAAACAAAGAAGAAGAAGAAAAAATAGGAAAGAAGAATGTGCCTTCCGCACTGCCCTGCCCCATCCAATCTCCCGTGTCAGGATATTGTAATCTTCGACATGATGGCATGCAAAAACAAGAAGAAGAAAACTCCGAGGAGAAGGAATAAGCCGGATATTTTGCCCTTTCCCAGCCCAGCACTCATAGACCATTGGTGGCGCAGGTGAAGACACTGCCCACAAGTCCGGACTCGAATTCATCAATAATGCTTTGCACGCTGGCGTATGTGCCGACGGTGAGGAAGAAGAAACCGATGATAATGACAATGGCGTTGATGGCAGCCATCGTATAGCCAACGACACTATGCTCTTTGAGCAAGGCAAGACTGCCATCCACCTTTCGCATGCGGAAGTAAGCGATACCCCAGAAGATGAAGCCGAAGAAGCTGTCGAAGAGGGAGGACATGAGGGAGAGAACTGCAGTGTCACAGTTAGTCACATGCCAGGGCGATATGAGAGAGCTGAGGGGGGAAAGCTGCTTACGGGATGAGAAGAATGGGATCACTTCAGCGATGATGAAGGCCATGATCCAAGTGCAGACTGGGCAACTATTAGCGGCATGAACAACGTTGGTGGATCAGACGGCTCGCGACTTACGGAGAATCCCAGACCATGTGGCCCATCCGACAAACGTATGCTCGTTCTTGTGCCGAGAGTTCTGGAAGATGCGGAAGAAGATAAAACGGGCTGAAACGGAAGCATACAGAACTCCCAGGAAGATCAGAGTCGGGATCATGAACGAGAAGGACACCTTCTTGTATATGTTCTCGAGGGATCCGAAGGCCGGAGCCGTCATGTATTGGTTTCCGGTGTAGGCATAGACGACAGCACCGACAATGCTGAACACAATGATCTCGGCAATAGTGCATGCCCAGAGAGCCTTGGGGAAGTCCCTAGTCAAAGCGTCAGGTCTGATCACGCCCGCCCTGAAGGTCAAGATCGTGCAAGTACTCACCTCGGATCTTTCATCTCGGCAATAAAACTGGGGAGAGTAATCTGGCCAATGAAAGTATAGCTGATGTTGAGGAACGCATTGAGCGCAGCCACAAATGTAGTACCGGCAACCGGAAAGGCCGTCACAATTGGTTCCCCTCCAACAGCAGGCTCTCCCGAAGGGGTCGTATAACTGTCTCGAGGGTCATAGCCGGCTGGGTGAGACTGCACACCGGCAAAGATAGCAGCAAGAAGAACGGATAAAAAGGTGAAGAAGGCCGATGCTGTGCCGAGCTTCGAGAGCATGTTAAACGTTCGAGGGAGGGAGCAGACCCAGCAAATAATAGTAACAACAATACTGAAGGTAACAGTACGGCATGCGACGTTGTCGGAAGCAGTCATGGTGTTGAGATACTTGGCGCCGACGAGGACGTGGAGAGCCTGTCAAGATTCTTGTCAGCTCCAGATGAACCGTCTTCGCATGGCGAACTGGAGACCAACCTGAATGAACTATTCTCACGGTTAGCATCGAGCGACACCGTGGCAGGCAACGGGCGAGAGAAAGACTTACTGTATTGTTGAGAAGGAACATGACCGCCGTGGCCCACCAAGCCCACCTCTTGTTGAAGAGGAGCATCTGGCCAATGTCGCAAACATCGCGAACTTCGGGGTGACGAAGACAGAACTCCCAAAGGACAAGGGAGCTGTGATACAAATCAGCGAGGGATAACGGATACATGCAAAACCAGGAACGACTTACGTGTATAGGACAACGCCAGCAACGAAGACGGTCAGGATCAAGCTGCACAATTGGTCAATATTGAGCGTTGGGGTGAAGAGATGTTGCCTTGTCGAGCGGACTCGCAGCATACCCTGGTACCAGACCCAACACGCTGTAAGACCACGGGAAGCTCATAATAGCCTGGCATTATCACCGTTAGCGGTGTGCGACCAATGCGGACAGAGGATGGAGGTCAATGTCGGCTTACAAGACAGATATATTCAGAGAACAGCAGGCCAGCAGTCTAAACAGAATGCGGCTGGTTAGCAATCAACTGTTCCGAAAGTGGACGACAATGCATACCTTCTGCCAGCTACAAGTTCGGTACTGGATGGCGGCACCGCTCTCGAGGGCAATCTGCTTGTCGAGGATGGCACTACTACTCTCGTCGCTGTCCGACAGCCCCCCGAGCGAGATGCTGTCGAGTACGGGCCCGATGCGGGGTCCCACGGTGACATTCGGGCCGCCGAACCAGGCCGACCAGCCTCGGGGTGCAGCAACCACGGTGTGGCCCGCATGGCCCGTGTGGCCCCTTTGCGTCTCACCCTCATGGTCGCTGGAGTCGGCGGTCTTATTGTCTGCCGACCGAAGAAGGTCTGGGGGGGAGTCGTCAAAGCCCATGATCGCGATACGAGTATAAGATAGGAAATGTCTCGCTCAGGAGAAGGTTGCAAGAAGGGTAAGAAGGGGGGTAAGTGTCGATCCCGAAGAGATGGAAGGAAACCTAGTATGCAAGACGGAGATTGGAAAGTGGGAATCAGATGGAGAAAACCAGGAAAACATAAGCAGGTCCCGTAAGGCGGACGGGGTACTGCAACCCACCTTTTTGAAGAGAGACCTTGGCCCCGGGCTGAACGAACAATCCCCTTGGCCAATCTTGTTTGCTAATCCATGTATAGATGTGGAGGAAAAAGGAACAAACCTTCCCTCAGTCGACGGGCCTACCGCGGTGGTGCGTATGCGACATGCGTATGTCGTTCCTACCACATCCATCCATATACGCCACCGCCTTCCCCACGGACGGGGCTCAGGAGTTAGTTCGCCCGATCCCACGCAGCGCGCTTCTGCTTTCGGAAAGCCAGTGTGTCCCAGCGTCAAGGATCGCGGCCGCCGTTCTTGCCGGAGGCCGAGCTACCCACTCACCAATAGGTACTTAGGTAGGTTTCTATTACTTACGTATAAGAGTTTGGCGGCGCCATCACCACCCAGCAAGCCACAAATCGAGATACCCTGCAAGATGGCTACAGTCAAGCATTGAGGCAACTCTTGGACACCACCGCAACGTCCAATGAATGACCAGATAAAACGGCGTGTGGGCGAACAAGCTTTTGCTCAGGCGAAGACGAGACCGCCCCCCTTGGTGACGTCGTGGGAAGTCGGTGACTCCGGCGGCAGGCCAAGTAAGGCCAAGCCAGCCACCCGGACGTAGCCAACGAATTGCTGGGAAGATGGCATTCGGTTGCCCTGAGATGACGCCATTCGAGCTGGGTGTGGGGGTCCACACCGTTTCCACACCATCTCCAACCAGAAGATATTTTTCAGGGATTGCAGCCAATAGGATGCATTTCTTGCTGATGCCCAGCCGGGAGACGGAACCAATAAGATCGGCAGAACTTTATACGCACCATACTATGGATCGACGAAGCCTATTTTGCACTATGCCAGAAAGAAACTGAGCTTGCACTAGGTACCTGTACTACGCAGTATGCGTATGGAGATTCGAGACCCAGCAGCATTGACTGTTGCACAACAACCTATCAGCCCAGGCCATTGATATTCGTCACAATGTGGTTTGGTTGATATAGTGCTGAAACGGTCAATATTCTATTTTGTAACTGAATCAGACGTCGGTCGACACATTGCATTGCATGGGTAACCACCTGACCTGCCTATCGAAGCAAGCGTGTAATGTAATTATGTGGGGGAATGAATTCACATCCAAGCAGCTCTGTCGTATCCGTCCCAGTTACCCCCCAACGACGGCTGATGGCAATGACGACAATGACTCTCTAGAGCTACACTTGCAAATATCAAAATACTGTCCGCAAGACAGCGCTTCCTGGAAGCTTCTTCCTTCCTGAGAGCGGGAGCCGCGATTGGAGTGTTTTACCAAATGAGAAGAGGAAATGGAAAGACCAAAAGATGGTCGGTCACACGTGCAACGTCACGCGACCTAACCCCCTCAATCCGGCGATTGACTCCCAACCAGCCACAACTCCAGCCCCCTCGATTTCTCGACACATCACAGCCATACAATTTCGAGCCAATGTGGACAAAATGGAGGCTTGGATTCACTGGCTCTGGCCGCCGTTTGGCGCCTTTGCCATTCCTCTGCTACGTAGAATGTGCTAACTCTAGACAACGAAGACACTGACCATTTGACCATTTCCCGCTCAGCAGTTCGCGGACTGAAGCGGAGAGGAGATGCCCTTCTTTGCGAACACCCCCGAGTCCTTGATCAGCCGGTCTGATTCCAAGAACCCGTCAACGACATGCAGGGGAATTACTTCCAGCGGCCGACCATGTAGAAGACCCATCGCGGCCTCGGTCGCAGCATCAACTCCGCCCCCGCGATCCAAAGCTAGTGAGCTCCGAGTCGACGATCCTCAGGACGAGCGGCTGTACTGTTGGCAGCACAAGGAGCAGGCAAGCCTGTCGTCGCGGTCTAGCCCAGGTCCAAAGGTGTCCGGAAGCCCCATCGTTGAAGAGAGGACGAGCCTAGACACTTTGGCAGACCGTCTGGGGCTGGTAGCACAGGCTCAGGGAAAGAAACCACCGAAACAACGGCACTCTGGACGTCCGAGTGGAAGCCATGGCGAAAAGCAGAAGCAGCGCCCCGTTAAGATGGCCCGGCCGAAGGCGACGAAGACAGTCGAGTTCTGCTGCTGCTTCCGGGTCCCCATCGAGGAGGTCTCACCACCACCACGCCCAGCGCCGCGTCCCCTGCAGCCTCCCTCGTCAGCTCCTGTAACACCGACCTACGGCAATGGCAGGAAGGCGTCGAGCCAGCAGCAGCATCTCACCCCCTCACCATCCCCATACCGCCCACGGCCAAGTCACTCGGCGCCGCTACCCGCCGGGCGAAGCCCGCGCCTCTCCTCGACGGCCTCCACCTCTTCCCAGACCGCAGCGTACCTCGCCCTCATCCCTCCCACGGCCTCCCCGCAGACAGCATCGCTTCTCATGGCAGAGCTCGCGAAGCCCTTCTCCCATATCGACGAGCCGGGCTACATGTACATATTCTGGCTGACACCGGAATCGCAACCGTCCACGCCCCCCGCCGAGGCAGCCCGCTCGCTCCTCACGCCGCCCGCCCCGACGACGCCGACGAAGCGCCCGCCCGGCCAGCGGCGCCCGAGCGACGTACTCGCATCCTTCGCATCCTCTCCCAGCGCCAGCCGCGGCCCCGGCGCGGCGGCGTCAGGCAAGAAGAAGGTGGTGCTCCTCAAGATCGGGCGGGCGACCAACGTGCAGCGGCGGCTCAACGAGTGGACGCGCCAGTGCGGCCACAACCTCTCGCTGATCCGCTACTACCCCTACATACCCTCGGGCGGTAGCCCGGCGGCGGCAGCGGGGACGGGGACCGGGGTGACGCCGCGCAAGGTGCCGCACAGTCACCGCGTCGAGCGGCTCGTCCACCTCGAGCTGGCAGGGCGGGGGCTCCGGGTCGCCGACCGGGGCGCCTGCGCCGCGTGCGGGAGGGAGCACCGCGAGTGGTTCGAGGTGGAGGCTACGAGGAAGGCTGTCGCCGACGTGGATGAGGTGGTGAGGAGGTGGGTTGCGTGGGATGAGGGGATGGGCTAGGTAGTTGGTTTGGCATACGACTTGATGAGGAAAGGAAGATGGGGGGTCATAGCATTAGGGTCTACGGTATAGCATGCATGGGGGCAAGGCAAAAGGTACGTAAGGCGTAGCAGTTGACGTCGGTTCGACGGCGTTTCTAGGTTTGCAATCTACATGAACAACAGTAAATATCAGCTACTGAAGTAAACTGCCTGTCCAACTGCCTTTGACCAAAGGTTTTGATATCGTCGGTCATTTCTTGCTCATCAATGTCGTCATAGACAGCTCAAAAGCATAAAATACCAGAACATCAAGATCTATTTTTAACCAGTCCTAGCTGTATTACATGCCCATACAAATTGATCCACCATGTCTTGAGAGAATGTCGTCGTGGGCATCATTTTGTCAGGGTAGGTAAGTCATGTCAGTAAGTAATTAAGACAAAAGAATCACAGGGGTGAAAAGGAGAGAAAAAGGGAGAAACCCCAAAAGGGAAAGGGGGGAAAAGAAGCAGCGCCGGTCAAGGAGTGTCGAGAAGAGTAGAAGCAAGGCCCCCCTTCATCATCACATGTCACACATCGCACGTCACACATCGCACGTCACACACTCACACACATCCGTCTAACTTTGTTCCTCCTCTCCTCCCCTCCCCCCACCCCCATCAAATTCCAACCCTCACCACCACCACCCCTTTCGACCCCCACCCCGATGCCGCCCCCCACCACCATACCGATGCCCACCCGCCGCCCCACCACGCCCCGTCTCCCTCGCCGTCGCCCCGGAGCCGGAAGTCCGATTCCCACTCCCACTCCCACTCCCTCCACCCCAAGCAGGCGCCGTCACCAGCGTAGAAGGCGCGCTGCCGATCCCGGTCCCGGTGTCGGCGGTGTCGGTGCCATTGACGACGAAGCGCGCCCGCGACTGCTGCTGCTGCCGTGCTTGGTAGGTGTAGCCTCCCGGGGAAGGGGCTGCCGATGACGAAGACGATGCGGAGGCCGAGGTCGAGGTCGCGGTTGTGGGCTCCGGCTGGTCGGTTGTTCCCGCGCCGGCGGAGGAGGACGACGCGGCGGTGGTCGCCTCCCAGCTGCTGGTCGAGGACTCGGCTGTCGTCTGCGCGTCACTGCTGCTGCTGCTGCTGCTGCTGGTCTCAGCCGCCGCCGCCGCCGACGACGTCTCGGCGTCGGTGCTGGAGGTCGAACCCGCGGAAGCCGAGGTTACGCCGGACGGGCCGGCTGATCCCGACAGGCTGTTCGAAGGCGCGGCTGAGGAGGCGGGGACGGAGTTGCTCGCCGTCGTCGTCGGGTGGAGCGTGATGATCTCGGAGCTCGTCCTCGTGACGGTGATCTCCGTCGTCGTCGTCGCCGCCGCCTCGGGGGTGTGGGGCGGCGTCCCCCAGACGATGGACGGCTCGTCGGGCGGCTGCGGGGTGTGCCGCGCGCGCGAGGAGGTACGGTTCGCGGGGTGGTGGGTGGTCCAAGACGAGGAGGAGGAGGAGCTGGGGGCCGCGGTCGAGTTGCCAAATGTCGGGGAGGCGCCCGGGCCGGTGCTTGACGGTGCTGGGGTGCCTGTCACGGGTTCCGCGGAGGACGCTGCGGACGATTGGTCGGCGGGGGTGGAGGACTCGGGGGCGCTAGAGGTTGGGGCCTCTACGCTGGTGCTTGGTTCCGCAGTCGAGATGGGGTTGGGCTCGGTGGACCACCACCCTGTTGTGGTGTACGACAGGCTCGGCGTGTATGGGCCCGTGCTGCCGAGGGTGCTGGGCCCGGGCCCGGAGGAGCTTGGGCCAGTGCCATCGGTCGTGCTCGGGGAGGATGAAGACGAAGGAAGGGGCTCCGTGGAACTCGGCTCAGACGATATGGGTTCTGCGCTGGAAGACTCGGGGCTGCCGGTTTCGGTCGCCGAACCAGTGGAGTCCGGAATGGCGGACTCCGACACCGTTTCCGAGGGTCCCGAGGAGCCGAGACTGGTGGACGAGAGTGCCTCGGAGCTAAACCACGAACTTGGCGCCGATCCCCACGAGGTTGGCTCAGCTCCGGCGGTTGAACTGGGCGCCGTGCCTTCGGATGTGGTGTTCCCGTTTGCGGATGTGCTGCTCTCCGGCGCGGTTGGCTTGGTCCTGGACCTTGTGGCACATCTCTTCGACTTCAACGGGGTCGGAAGTGAATCCGTGCTCTGTAGTCCTGGTGGGACAGTGGGTGCGGTGGTTCTCGTTGTCTCAGCCGCCCCTGAGCTGGAGGTTTCCGTATCGGTGGAAGATACAGGTTCCTCCGTCGATGTGTCCGACCCTGCCCCTGTCGAGGTTGATGGTTCCGAGATTGGCTCAGCGCTGGAGGCTGCACTGGAGGCTGCGCTGGAGGCTGCACTGGAGGCTGCACTGGAGGCTGCGCTGGAGGCTGCACTGGATGAGATGGGCTCAGCGCTGGAGGTTGCCCAACCAGACGAGATCGATGACGAAGTGCTGTCTGGGCCATTGCTGCTGGCGCTCGGGGCACCCGTCGCATTCCCACTCGATGTGGCAGACAAAGGAGCCGCAGTAAAGGTCTCAGAGAACCAGCTACTTTGCTGCTGCTCTGGGGACGAAGTAGGTGCGTCAGAGGCGGAGCTTGATATCTCCGCGATACCGGTGCCTGGGGAGGAAGTCGTAGTGGTGCTTCCGGGAAGAGCCGAGCTAGATGCCGTGATATCAATCCCGGTGGTTCCAGAGCTCTCTACCGAGCTGGCGCTGGAAGAGGCAGGCTGGGGGGCAGACGTGGGCGTTTCTGACGCGGTCGTTGACCAGTACCCTGTTCCATTGGTGCCGGTCGTGGATGGCACCCCGGATGGCTCGGACAAAGGCAAGGTGCTGGAAACGAAAGACAGAGTTGGTTCCGTCGAAGTATCAGATGGCAGATCGATAGTCCCGAGTGGCGATGAAGATAGGGGCGGTCTTTCGGAATGTCCAGTGTAGATTGTCACAGTGGAAATCGTGGCCGGAGGAGAGATGCAGTGTTCTCCGCATGCTGTGACAGTGACGGTCTTTGTGTGACCATGACTCTGGCGAGCGTTGAGGTTGTTGGGCAAAGCGAAAGTAAGGGCAGAGCTTTTGGCAATGTTAGCGTGGGCAGAGGGCACACAGATCATCGGTTGGCGCATACCCCAAGCTCAGAAGAGCCAAACGAGTGGTTCCGTACATGTTCTCCGGGAGATTGGAGGTCCTGAACGAGTGTATGGTCCTCCGAGAGTCACGGAAACACACAAAAGTGCTTGAGGGTTGGGAATGTGTGAGGCTACTGGGCTGGAAACTGGGCACAACTCCGTGTGGCCCTTATTACTTATACCCTTTCGCCTCTTCGCCTCTTCGCCTCCTCGATGTAGCAGTAGTCCTACAGCTTACGGTCTTTTGGCAGTGGCTCCTGTTTCTGTACGTTGCTACCTCTGCAGGAATCCATTTGTCGAGTATATGAATGGCGATCTGGCCGGGCTTTCTGCACCTTGCCGAGCTGTAATTACTTCAGGACCTCAACCCATCGCAGCTCCCCTTCTCTAATTTGCCTCCGATAAGAAGGCTGCACACCCATCGCGGATACTTGAGAGATCGTCGGCGCCCCTCGTTAGACAACATCTACACCGGACCCTGCGGCCTTTCTCGTGTCTCGGTTGATAATTGATTCAGCACAAGCCACAGTGGGCCGTAATCGTCTCGATCACATGGGAGAGATAGTAGTAGTTGGACTGCCCCTCCATCAGGCCACCCGCCCGGCTTGCAAGCATCGAGGATACTGTGTACTGCCAGGCAGAGTCCATGCCTGACCCCTGTACGCACCTTCGAAGAAGCTGTGCTCCAGTAACACGAACCAGATTGCGGGCATCGCACCACGGGCCATGGGTTTCCGGTTTCCGGGCCATTCCCTCACTTGGGCTATCTTATCAGGACCGTCTGGCTCAAACGGCATAACATCCATGACTGCTTGACTAGAACAGCCCATATCGGGACTCGGCAACAGACGGAATGGATGGTATGGGGCTCCGGGAAGGATCTCTAGGATCTCTTTGGGGGACAAGTCCCGGCCCAGGGTTGAAAAAAAAGGGAACTCTGTTCGTATCGCATCTTCGTTTCTCGCCCACCCTCCCCGGTTCCTGCAGCGGCTGACCTGCATGTTCCCGACGGTTTCACAAAGAAGGAGGGCAAACGCAGCTGGCATCCTCGGACGGAGCGCGGGTTGAGCTCCTCTCCCCGATATCATGCATACGACCCTTCGTAACACGGACGGATGCTTGTTTCGGTCGCCAGTACCCGGGAATTGCGCGACGATGGACGAATGAGTCGTCAGTTGACTACACGCGGCCTGGGAAGCAGGAGGCCATAACCATCACGATCGGCAGGTGTTTGCGGTTTGTCTGCAGGTTTACATCTGGGCAGGGCGTAGCGTGCAGATCAAGTTTGACCCTCCTTTGTAGCCACGGCATGACATCCGCGGGTAGCCCGACCCAGTGGGCTGGAAATAGCAGACGAGACGGTCCGAGAGCTATCAATAGGGGCACCACGGGATCCTCCCTGATTCGCCGAGCCGGTCCCACGTCCACGCAATTGGAAATGGGTTCCAGTTTCTTACAGGCGGGCCACACCTTCAACGGGATTGCGTACAACATGGACATGAATGGGCCACTGGCGAGGGCTTACGCTGCGTTTGTAGGGCGGCTGGACACATAAGCTGGCGAGATAGCGGGTGCATGTTTCATCCCACTCTTCTCGAGATACCACATTCCCAGGGGCACGCACATTTTCTCTTCACCCATCCATGCCATTGGCCCAACTTCTGGTGGCCACCGGAAGTCGTCATCCAGCGCAGATTTCCGCTTGATGTTTCCGCTTGATGAAAACGGAGGTTGATGGTTATTACTGTTCTGCTCGTCGATCTGGATTTGCTCAGTTTGAATTAATCTCTATATTATGAGCGGTATCTGGATCACTTCGCTCTTCTAGTTCCTCATCTGTCGACAGTTCGTAGTTGGTTCAACGCTTAATTCATCACAACCATCCCGTCAATTCCAACGATGCATCTACGATTCTTTTCTCACTTTTCCCTACGCCATGGCTCACTTTATAGCCTCACTTTTGATTCATCCCAGCACCGCAAATCACTCGAGCAAGATCCCACTCAAAGCGGTAAGTTCGCCCAAAGTGTAAGTGCCAGAATCGTAGCCTTAAACGGGCGACTCGAGGGCCTCGTTGATATCGACCATGGTGGTCAGATGACGCTTGCGATAGTGGAGTCGGATTATAGGACAAAAGTCATGTTTCGGGCTAGCAGAAGTCGAGCGATTCAACTCAAATGTGCTCAATTGCCCAAAGAGGTATTTTGCGCTAGATTCTCGCCGTCTGATTGGCTGCACATGGCCATTAATTCGACCTCGCCACTTCCTGAGCATGGGCTGAAACATGACAAGACTACACTCTGTGACCGAGTCAAACACGCATTCTAGGCTTTTAGTCTTGTAGGTATATACCTAGGTACCTTGACGGCCACCACGACTCTCTACTTAAAGTGTGCCAGAATTACCATCTCCCCGTCACCCGACTGCCCCAATATCTACGTCGACAACTAATTACATATAAACTCATCCCCAATCCGCCCTCAACCCAAAAAGCATCAGCAAACCCCCCAACAATGTGCGGCCACGACACCTCGACAACCCCCCGTATCGGCGCCCGCGTCGACCTCTTCTCCCGTGCCACCAGCGGCCCCCTGGGCAACCTCATCTTCCTCGACCCGTCCGAGCCCGACAGCACGGTGGCCACCCACGTCAGGTTCACGCCCGAGGACGACGGCCTGGACGCGGACTCGCAGATCCTGGTCTCGATACAGTCAGTTCTATATGGTTTCCTGCACCCACTGCGTTTGTGAGTACAGGAAGCTAACATGGGGGGAAACAGCTCGACTGGGGATTTGACAAAGTCCGTTTGTGATAGCGGGCTGTTTCGACAGTTCCGTCTACCGGCGCGGTGGCTGCGGGCGGATACCCTGGAGGTGGCCCTGGATAGGCCGGTGTCATTGATGGTTGGGGGAGATGGCATCATCGGGCGGCGGGTTTCGATGCTCGGCGAGCGGGGGTTGGCTGAGGAGACGCTGCTGGCGGATGGGATTGTTGGGTTCAACTCTATTTGATGATGAGGTGTCTAACGATTCTTTTGGGTCTGGAGTTTGGGTTGCATAGCGGATATGGACGTCGGTCATCGGGCGGCAAGCATGGGAGTTTGGGTATGGTTGTTGGCTTTTTACCTCGACTTAAGATATCAAGTCGATCATACCAGTCAGCAGGGTTTGCAAGAGCAATTTAGAAGAGAGCAAGGGCCACGCATTATCATCGTCAAGGTAGCCAGATCATATTATTGCTCTTACGCCACTGCGTCCCGAGGCATGTGTCGTTAAACATAGAAGGTCAAAGTCTCGCACAAGCACTGGGATCTCTTCCAGCTTTTTGTTATGAGAGGGCTTATACAGTCAAAATTTGCCGGTTCCGGTCAATATACCGCCTCGCACCATTCTTATATACCGCGGCGGTTATGTACAGACTACCTGGATAGACGCTTCACCTCATCCCCGTTTATCCCCGTCTCGCATGTATGTATTGTATTGTATTGCACATACATACAATACCCCCAACAATAGCCATCTACTCATGCCAAATTACATGGCTCAGCCCATCCTCGTTATTCACCGTCCCAGGAGTCCCAACCTGGAGTTGAGCAATCAGCGGCCCCAACCGGCCAGTGGTAGTGTTCCTCGCCACAACAGCAACGGTAGACGACGTCTGTCCCCCAAAGGCGACCATATCCCCCGCCCTGTTGATCTCAAACGTCCGCGGGAAGAATGTGTACGCGCTCGTCGCCTCCACAAACGCAACGGCACCCGTGGCCGGGTCGATGGCGTACGTCGCGACCGAGTCTGTCGTCGGCCCGAAGGACCGGTCGTTGCGGTTGGCCGCGTACAGCGAGTTCCCCGCGACGCGCACCTCGGCCGCCTTGGAGTCGCGCGGCGCCGCCTGCCCGGCCGGGTACGTCGACAGCGACTGCGTCTTCTTCAGCTCCAAGCAGTTGCCGCCGGCGGGGTAGCCGACCGTCCACACGGTGACCGAGTTGGCCAGCTCGTTGGCGACGTACAGCATCGTCGTGCCGCCGGTCGACCCGGCACCCGGCACCCACCAGGCGCCGTGCCGCGGGCCGTCGCCGGGCCCCGTCGCGACGTTGGCGCAGCTTGTCAGCTCGCCAGTGGCGGCGTCGATGCTGAAGACGCGGATCAGGTCGGCGCCGAGGTCGGCGCTCAGGAGGAACTTGCCCGTCGGGTCCGGGAACACCGAGTGCGGGTGCGGCTTGTTCTGCCGGGAGGGCACGGGGCCCGGGCCGCTCATGGTGAAGGTGAGCTTCTGTGTTGGCTGGCTGCTGGCGGATAGAGGGAGCTTCCAGGTGCTGATCGAGGACGGGTCACTGGGGGCATCTTGTTAGCTTCGGGAAGGGGTCGATCTCTTTGGCATTGATGATTTACTATTCAGCCCCGGCGATGAAGCCTTTGCCATCACTACCCCCGTACAGGGTGCTGTGAAGATCACCTCCGCTCACCCTCGCCGTGGCCACTGGGGAGATTGTGCCATCATCCGCCACCGACAGCTGACTCAGAATCGGACTTCCCCATGAGCTCTCGTCAGTGACGTAAAGGGAGCCCGACTCCGAGTCGAGGGTCAACCAGCTGGGCCACAAACCCCCGGCCTTGAGCGTCTGCTTGATGGCCAGCGTCCCCGTCTCCCCGCTGGTCGTCAGCGACAGCGAGTACAGGTTGCCGCTGTAGTGCGAGACCAGAAGGTTCGCCCCGAGGGCCGAGGGCAGGGCGCACAGGAAGGCCGATAACGATAGCCTGATTGACGCCATGGTTTTGGGAACACACTCGCTCTAGCTGGTGGTGTCCCGGGTTCGGTTCGTGGCTTGACGTTGTTATTGCCGGAAAAGCAAGCCTTGCTGCTGGGCTGAGCAGCAGCAATATGGCATCATTATGGTGTGGAGGGAGGAGGGAATAATAGCTCGGGATCGGAGGAGGGCGGCCAATCAGGCCCTCCGCAGTTTGTCCTCCGAGATTGTATCCTCTGGGTCAGTGGAGGCATCAGAAGAGGCGCGGCACCATCCGATGCGTGGAGGTTCCGATCGACCTGAAAGAGGAAAACGTGTGCTGCGGAACGCAGATCCGCTGCGACGGTGCCAGGATGCGACTGCTCCAGCAGCAGTGCTGGTGTACAGGGGACAAGGGGGGATGAGCCCCATGGCTAAATGTTGGGTTACCATCTGCCCTCCTTTTATCCCGACCGCCATATTAAAGGAGCACTATAGGTGTCGCAACGGCCCCCCACAAGTTGAAACGGGCCAAACCTAAGATAAAGATTAAACCAAAATAAATCCCCCGTTCCTGTTGTCCGAAAAGGATCTTCACTGAGGTGATTGATTGGTGAATTATTCGACTTGGAAAACAGAAACAAGGCAAGCAGATCCAAGCTAATGCTTCAGTCGGGCCGTCAGCAAAATCCAGCAAGAATGCAACTCCAGACTCTGAATTGGAGAAGTCGAGGGCCCGACACTAAACAAACGATCCAATGTTGCCGGCGTTCCGGGAAATCGTGCGAAGCAGCGATATAGCAGACAGACTTTGCGGTATTATCGGCGTTCACGAATGAGTCCACGATTCTCACGGGGCGTGTCCAATTCGACCGACGTTCATGCGCCGGCCCCGGATAATACGTTGTGCCAAGGTCAACGTTAAATCGGGTACTTATCGTATTCCGCGGAGACACCGTCCATATCATCTATCATAATAAATCCCAGAGTCCTGCACGGCCAGAACACGGCATATAGCGAGCGGCGTGGAAGCCAAGTAGCGTTGTCGGTAGATGCGTCGGCGAGGTTTCCCTGCTCCGGCGCAATAACGCATTAGTCGGTGTATCGAAGCACTCTATGAGAGGCTCTCAGTAGCCGCATCGATCTCACATGAGACTGCATTCGCTTGTTCGGTTCGTTTGAGGCGATCATGCTTGGCACCAGGGCGACAGAAAGTCGGAAACCCGAAGAAGCTCGAGACGTCATTTACGGGCCTGATATAGCCTGTAATTAGTGTATAGACCGAATCCAAGAAGCCTCAGCTATCGGTGGCGCCACGGCTGCGGGAACGTGACCTCCCCCTGACATCCCACGGGATGCCGCCATCTGATGTCGGACAATACCGCTCAAATAAACAATTATCTTGTTTCTCTTCGGCTCAACCTCCCGAGGCAAGCTTACAAGCCAGAGGAGCAGTGTTCTGGGCCGGGCTCTTCGTCCCCCTTGTCCCAGCACAATGCCCAATTCCCGGACTCTGCCGTCCACCCAGTCGATGATAGGGCGACTAATTAATGGCAAAGCTTACCATGACCCCATGGAGACAGGCCAGCAGCTCACTTCCCGCACACATACGCACACGGGGGAATTTAAGTATGGGCTGACCTCCGGAGAATCGGGCCACCCCGGGAGGCCACGAGAACCATCACTGTCGCTATCGTGAATACCTCGGCGAAGTGTAGAGGACGCGCCGCCGAGCTTGAGCATCTTGTGGAGTAATAATTATAACTTTGGGACGGGATTCCCCAGATCCCCAGATCCCCAGATTCTCTCCCCAGATTCTCTCCCGAGAGCTTCCCCAGACTCCAGATCTCACCTCCCGGGGCCCCAGTCACACACCCAACCCCCACCCCAAACCATGCAAGCCACACTAGCCGCGGCCCTCCTGGGTCTAGCCCTCAGCCCCTCGCGCGCCACCGGCTCACCCCTAGACCGACGCGACGACGCCCTAGCCGACTGCCTCGCCGCGGCGGGCGTCCCGACCGACATCCCCGGCACCGACGACTGGGCGCAGGACGCGGCGCCCTTCAACCTGCGGCTCAGCTACACGCCCGCCGCGATCGCCGTGCCGGCCACCGCCGACCACGTCCGCGACGCCGTGGCGTGCGGGCGCGCCCTGGGCGTCAAGACCAGCGCAAAGTGCGGCGGCCACAGCTACGCCTCGTTCGGCCTCGGCGGCGAGGACGGCCACCTCGTCGTCGAGCTCGACAGGCTCAACGCCGTGGTCTTGGACGCCGCGTCGGGCGTCGCGGATGTGCAGGCCGGCGCGAGGCTGGGGCATGTGGCGGCCGAGCTGTATGATCAGGGGAAGAGGGGTATTAGCCATGGGACATGTCCGGGGTAAGCTCCAAGCCAGTGTTTTTCTCGTTTTAGAAATTTGGAAAAGTTGGTTTCTAACCGGACCCAAACAGCGTCGGCGTCGCGGGCCACGCGCTCCACGGCGGCTTCGGCATGAGCTCGCACACCAAGGGCCTGGCCCTTGACTGGATGGTGGGCGCGACCGTGGTGCTCGCCAACTCGACCGTGGTCGACGTCTCGGAGACGGAGCACCCGGACCTGTTCTGGGCGATCCGCGGGGCCGGCAGCTCGGTGGGGATCGTCACTTCGTTCCGCTTCAAGACCTTCGAGGCCCCCGAAACGGTGACCTTGTTCGTCGCCTCGGTCCCGTGGAAGAACCAGTCGGTGGCGGCGGACGGCCTCAAGGCCGTGCAGGACTTTGCGCTGAATAGCATGCCTGCCGAGCTGAATATGCGCGTCTTTGTCACGGGCCACTTCGTCAACTTGGAAGGCTTGTACTGGGGCGACAACGAAAATATGCAGGCGGTACTGCAGCCGTTGCTGGACAAGACGGGGGCGAAACTCCAGTTGCAGCAGCAGGGCGGTTGGATGGACCAGTTGAAGCACTTTGGCAACGGAATGCCTCTCGATCAGGGGCATCCGTACGACTCCGTAAGTTCCCAACCCCCTGCTTGCCCCTGGGAGCGACACTGACAAGCCCACGTCCCAGCACGAGACATTCTACTCGTCCAGCCTGTACACGCGCGAGCTGAGCGACAAGCAGGTCGAGGCCCTGACGACGTACTGGTTCAGCTACGCAAAGTCCAACAAGCGCGACTGGTACTTCCAGCTCGACATCCACGGCGGCAACACGTCGGCGGTGACGGCGCCGGGCGTAGACTCGACGTCGTACGCGCACCGCGACTACCTGTTCATGTACTCGTTCTACGACCCCGTCGACGGGGGCAGCTACCCGGCCGACGGCTTCAGCTGCATGCAGAACTTTGTGTCCAACATCACCGCCGGCATGGGCCAGTTTGGCCAGTACATCAACTACCCGGACAGCGTCATGACCCAGGAGACCGCCCAGGCGAGATACTGGGGCGCCCACCTCCCCAGGCTGCAGGCCATCAAGGCCGAGGTCGATCCCGATGATTTGTTCCACTACCCGCAGGGTATCACTCCAGCTAAATCTACGATTCTTGATGATTAGAAACACACGACACGACATGGAAATGGGAATGGGAATGGCGAAATTGCGGGGAGGCAGCAGGTACGGGGTTTGCATGGCAAGGGACATGGATAGAGACCGGCTTGTCGCGTACGTAACGCAATGCAGAGCAATAATAAGTCAATATTTATAATTCATGGTCGCGAAGCAGAGCCACCAGGCGCTCGTCATTCCCGTATTCATTTCCTTGACCAGGCACAAGTTGCCGGTTCAAGATCAGTTGAACAGCCTGCTGCGCAGGCATTGCGTGCTGAGCCTCTCGGTTTGAGCCAAAATGGAAAAGGCATCTTAAGAATGGGAGGGTTGTAATTATGTCAAGGTCGCTGCGTAGAAGCACGGTACCGATCTTCGGTGAGTCCGAGCTCAACGTCTTCTTTTGTCAGGAGCCCGGTAAATCTGTTACTCGATGGATTAGGATAATTCAATCCTCGAGGGGGGAATACCACCCACCGCATGGTCAAGTCATGACTGATGGCGTTGCACGCTCGACGGTCTTATGAGAGACAGACCATACGAGCATAGAAGTAATGAACGAGGGGACAAACACACTCGAGTAATTTGTCTCATTGACTGTGATAAAACATAAACTTAGGTGTCACAGCTCAATGATTTTAAGTGCCCCTTGAAAATGAAGCCTGCATGTGGCGCGGTATCTAGCGGGACGTAGCTCACCATAGGATCATCAGGCACCGCGCTCAGCATTTCGAATTACAGTATATACTAGCACCCGATAATGACGATGGAGACGGAAGATAGAAAGGCTGGGACAGTGGAGAGGAAGAGAGAGTTAAAATAACGCAGCAATGATCCACATTAAGCTGAGTCTTCGGGACTTTCATATCAAATCCCCAGATACCCACCGAAAGCCTATGTTGACAATTACCTAAACTATCTCGTTGCGTCTATGGGTAGTATGGATGGCTTCAAATCCTTTAAGTTTTATGGTACGAACATACCAAACCCCTGCAATAGAGATCACACTGACGGAAAGAGATTTCCTTACTTGTAAAACTGTCGTTGAAAATGAGAAGTCTGAATATTAGTGGACAAAGTTGTATCAAGAGATTACATTTGGCCAAACTGGACCGTACAGAGTTGGGTCTTTGTCCTCAAAGATACGATGTTCGAACGAAAGTTTCCAAGGCCTTGATCTACTTTAGATTTCATGGTCTTCTAGGGCTTTAGAGTGCGAACATCCACTCATTCCTTCGTGGGAAAGAGCTTTGCCCTTTTTTTCCGACCTGGAGACTCGTGATATTCTATGCTGCCCTATCCGAAATGAGCCCTCTAGACTTCCAAAGCTGCCCGGCGTCTGTGGATACTACACAGTTATGGGAAGTACTTACCATCCACCTCCGTCTTGGACTCGACCAGGACCCAAGGCATTTGCTCGCGAGCTAGACTCGTTCTGCCTACCAGACAAACGTCCTTAACGTGAAGGATCCGCCGCCCCTGGGTTGATTTAGCGCAGTAGTAGGTCTTACCTAGGTAAGCACCGAAAAGTCGAGTCTTCTTCGAAAGGGCATTCGAGTCTACCTCAACTCGTCATTCCACAATAAATGTGGCGAAGAATTCTGGGTTGTTGTGGAAATGCAAGATGACTGCAAGTCACTCGGTCAGCTCGGAGCATTCATGAAACGACCCGGGCACGCAGTCTCTTGGTCGGTCCTTCTCGCGAGGCTTCACGTCGATTCTGGAATAGGAGGTTGGCGAGGTCCTGGCCGTACGTCAGGTGGCCAACCTACGATCTTGGAAAAGGTAGGACGGAGAGGTAGGCGAGGAGAGGGAACACGTAGGAGGTAGATGAAATGAAGGCGTGTGTTGAGGGAGGCGATGGGTTAGACTCTGACGCGGTGGCCGATGTCCAATCAGCGCGAGGACAAATAGCTGATTTGGACGACTTGGCAGACGGTGAGAGGGTAGATGTAGAGATAAATGAAAGGAGGGAGGACTTCGAGGAAGCGAGTGGAAACGATTCGGCGGAGGAGCGGTTGATATCCAGCCAGAACGGGCAGATATTGCTGATCCGGACGAGAATTGGGGTGCCATCGGTGCAGTCGCAGTCGCAGTCGCAGTCAGTTGTCATCGCTCCACGTCACATTACCAAGGCGAGCAGGATAGATGCCGAGGGTGACTTGACAGGGGATGAGGATGGGGGCGCAATTGGTGCCGACGCACTTCATTGTTATCACCCGGCATTCTCAGGTCAGTGACGACGGTAGGTAGGTATTTGAGCAAGTGTCCTAGTCCTGCTCGTGTAGTAGACGGCCACGCCGAACGCAAAAAATATGGATAATCAGGCCGAGATACACCACGGAATAGTTGCCATCTCTCTTTGCCAAAAGGACGAGTGAGTTATTGTACCTCCATTTTGTGTCGAGCTCGCACATCGGCTGAGTCTATCGACTGCATGCAACCCCCACTAGCCATACTCCAAAGCATCCCAGCCGTCACATCACATCTCGTTCCATCGAACCCCTCGGCTTGACGGAAGCCCAGCGCACCATCTCGCTATATCGATGAGGGGAAGAGCATGACCCGGAGGGAAGCCCCGAAGGACTTGGATGGGAGAGGGTGAGTGAAACGAGCCCGGACGGCGCCTGAGTTGCCTGGAGAGAGGTTATATCAGCAATGAGAACGAATAGTTCGGAAGTAGAGAATAAGTAATTACCGTGAACTCGAGCGACCTTGCCCCAAATCTGCAAAAATCACGGGTTAGAATGAATGTCGGAACCAGACATGGAGGTCGCCAAATTCGATTCAGGACCTCCCGAGCAACTTACAACGCGTATCTTAGATCCTCCTATTCAACGATGAGAGTTAGCAACAATCCAACGGGACGCAAAAGGAGACAAAATGGGTTCCAACGTACGAATCTCCTTCTGTGCCTTGTAGACAAATGCGACCTTCTTGCCCAAGTAGAAGCTGTACCGACGAGTCAACAAATCTCCTGCAAGAAGCCACGGCCAGTTTCTGGACGGATCCATGGGGCCACAAGGAGGCAGACACGTACTTGGCAGCCTCGACGTCGTCGACGCCCTCGATCTTGACCAGGCTCGTCTTCGGGTTAGTCGCGTGCCGACTCCGCTGGTAGCCCAGGTGCCGGGCCCTGCTCGCGATAGTCCTGTTAGCCATCTATCCATCTTCGCACATGCATTCGATCGTGGTTCGGGTCGGTGTTTCGTGGGCGGCGTCGTGAGATCCGCTTGCTTCGCGGCCGGAGGGGTTTACTAACTTTACGTAGACTGCAGGAAAGGAAAAATTAGCAAGTGGCGCGGCAGCAGTGAGAATTGAGCAAGGCGCATGATACTTACGTCTGTGACCAGCTTCGGTAGGCATCTTGACGATGTTTTGTTCGTTTACCGATGTTGGGAGGCGGAAGGGGAATTGTGTTGGTCGCAGCGCAGGTGATAATTGATGTAAAATTTTGTGGAAGCCACAAGCCCTAGGTGGGTGGTTGAGGTGTGGTTTGGCACGTGGGGCTTTTGTGGCTGGTGCCATGCGGAGGAGCCTGCCCTATTCACCCGACAAGCCTCACCTCACCGCCTTATTATTAGGCTTCATGATTCTGCCTGCAGTATTTTGTTTTACCGCTTTCAGCTAGGTCCGAGACTTTTGGCTATTGGTCCGCTATGGCCCGTGCACAAATCCTACCATCAACCATCCCACTCCTTAACACGTGATGAATAGCTGCACGAAGGAGTCCAGGGGTCGACTAGATTAATGTGGATTATCTAGAAATACTATGCTACAGACAGGATCCCCCGACAGAACGGATGGCTAGATTTCAAGCTCCGTACCAGCCACCTCCCCGCGAACAGGCACTCGCAACATTGTAGTCGGTATGGGTGGTATACTGGGTTTGACTAGACGTTCAACAGATTAGCAGCTTGCTCCGACAGGCGCATCAAAGGCGGTCGGGGTTTGGAAGACACTTACCCAACCCACTGGGTAACCACAGTCTGGACCGTGATATAAGACACATCGGTCTCGGTCTCCTGTGGCAATAGAGAAACAACCGTTATGGCATCACCCGGGTCCGCATCGCACACTGTCTGGGCTGGCGCAGTACTAGACATGCCAGGTCAGCAGCAACATCAAGGGCAAGCTTGGTCAGGCACATATCACTTACATGGTCTTTAGGACGCTGACATAGGCTGTTGTTCACCTTGTTAGAGAGAGCAACCAACGAGCAGTGTGTCTGGGGATGTACGTACATGTCTCGACAGTAGTTGTAGCCTTGGCAGTGACGACGGAAGTGCTGGTGACGGTATGCGTGTCGTAAACCGTGCTGGTGACGACGACAACGGCTCGTTTTTCGACTTCGGCTGATAATCACGTCAGTTGGTTTCTTCGCGTGAGAAAAGGGTGGGAGACGTACCACCCCCTCGTCCACCACCCCGTCCTCCACCACCCCGTCCTCCACCACCACGTCCTCCACCACCACCACCCCGTCCTCCACCGCCGCCTCCCCGTCCTCCACCACCTCCGCCGCCACGACCTCCTCCGCCGCCGCCACGGCCTCCTCCACCTCCACCGCGACCACCACCATTCCCACCACCACCACCACCACCCCTGGCCCCCCAGCCCCAACCCCCATTCCTAAACGTCGGCCTACACGTGTCACACCCATCCGGCCTAGACTCGGACGGCTGCGGCGGCTGCGAGTCGGTCTGCTGGGCAGGCGGGCCTCCCGCGGGCCAGTGGCACGTCGCGTCGACCTCGACGGTCGTGACGCCCTGGCTCGTCACCTCGGCGACGGTCGTCACGCGCCGCACCGTCGTGTACACCGTCGTCGGCTCCTGGCGGAAGTACTGCGTCACCGTCTCGGCGCTGCCCGCGCCGTCGTTGCAGTGCGCTGTTTGGACTTGGCCCACCTCGATTACGGTTTGGACTTTGGTGATGGTCGTTTCGATGGCTTGATGGGGGGGGTCAGTATGGACTTTGCTTGGTTCTCGTGGGGTTGGGGTTCCGTTGTGGATGGTTCAGGGGTTCAGGGGTACAGGGGTGAAACGAAGTCAAGCAAACGAGGGGGTATTACTTCTTCCCCGTGGGGTGGTCGTTACGCCCACCACAACGGTAGGGGTCACCTGGAAACGTTATCAGCCAGAGAACAGAGGAACCGTTGCTGCCTCGGCATAAACCCACCGTTATGACAGTCCTCTCCGGGACGCCGGAGTTGAGGCTGAACGACCGCTGCACCGCCAGGTCGACGTTGTCGGCTTGGATGATGATCGTCCACTCCCCCGACGCCATGCTGCTGAGGCTTACGGGACTGAGGCGGTACCATATCAGCGGCCCATACTCCAGCTACAGTTACGGGGACATGGAGCCATACCATGTTGACCGTTGCTCGCCTGACCCACTGTCGATGGTGGAGCAGGTATACTCGCTGCCATCGGGAGCGATCAGGATGGGTTGGATGGAATCCTCATCGCAGTCTTTTAATACCGAACAGTCAGCCAGTGGCCCCTGAGCGCCCCCTCCCCCGCCGGCATCATCAAGGATCCGCACAACGCTAACCTTGGAAAAGCGACGTGAACGCAAACTGCTGGTTCGACGAAGCATCGATCAGATACGACCCTCCATTCGTATAGTCCAGCCCCGTCACGGAACAGTCGGCGCTGGCGCGCAAGGCAAAGAGGCCGAGGCAGAGCCACGAGTAGCGGTAGCAGGGGGCCATGATTAGCGCGTGAACGAATCCTGGCCAAAAAAAGCGACGGGTAGTCATCTGTGCCAATACATCGCCTCCAGCTGCCTGGCTCGGGACTTCTATATAATATTCATTCCCTGGCAACCCAACCCAAGCACCGGGGGCTTTCCTGGGGAAGCCCGGAAGACGAACCCCCCTTCCCCCCCATGAAAATTGCCCGATATTGCTAAGCTAGAGTAGCATCCCGGTATGGGATCAGGGTTCATATCCACTGACCAAGAGAATGGCAGATGCAAGCGAAGTATTTAGATTGTCGTTTCTCCATCCCCCGTGGTGTTTTGGGGGGGGGGGGGGGGGGGGGGTGCGAGTTTCAGGCTGTTTTGCATGGCAGCGGACGCAGGGGCCAAAGAAAGAAAACAATGAGGGCGAATACGATATATAGGGTGAAATCAAGACGGGCCCCCTGTGCCAATGGGATGGCAGCGAGATATGAGGAATGACGATCAAAGCGAGCACACCTTCGGTACGGCAATATAAGTCGGCAAAGGTACGGCTCTTGGGGTCGTTTAATAGCTTAGGAACGAACCGCCAACCCTGTGCTGTGCCAAGTTATCCGGAATGGCACGCACTGCCGTGAATGTTTCTCAGGGGTTCGACGTAATGATATAATGAGAGGCTTTTTTCTGTCTGCTATGTCCTATGGATCTCTCCATAATACCCGGGGAAGAGGTTGAGATCGGCTGTTGCGGCAAGACACTCACCTAACACCAGCCAGCCAGTCAGTCAGTCAGCTTGACTGTCCTGCTTCGTAACCAAATGCAAACCGAGGTCATAGGGTGGATATAATTACAGCTATTCCAGAGAACTGTCCCCAGCAGAGACGATTCCATGTGAATCAGCGCGTCAATCAGGCTGCTCCCCGCTTGCAAGTGCACACCATAATCAGCTTCAAGAAGAGGCTCTCTTGGCGTGATGACCTGTATCTGCTGGAAGAGCACAGTGCAGCAGACGCGTAACCGGGCGCCATTCCCCTGGGAGTCCCGGTGATTGACGACCCAACTCGCGAGGTGCGTGATCTGTTAATGAAAACGGGGGAGGTAATTATAAACCCCTCAGTTATAGGAACCCGCGCATATTGCCGACAGAGGGAGGCGGATAATTGTCGAAGGATATAACCTCCACACCGGGTGACCTCACCACTGCAGAGGTGATGAGGCCACTGGGGTGATGCCACTGGTAATTGTGAAGTTCTCCTGATAGGGCCCGTCAACGGCTTCCCGGTGGTGGTCTGACGCCGCGCGCGCAGCGGGTGAGTTCCCTGGATGGCCGGCTAGGGTAACCCCAGCTGGGAGATCTTGTTTCCGGGCTGCATTGATCAAGACATCGCCATCGCTGTTGACGTCGTGCAGCGGTGGAAAGGAGCTACCCTCTGCACTTGGCAGCTGCTGCTCCTTCGTGCACTCTGGCTATCCGGGTGTAAGCGACGGGACCCCGCAAGATGCCGTCCGGCGGCGGGAATATCAACCCGGGAAGGGGTCCATATTGGTTCCAAGTGAACATAAGCAACTCGCGCCGTGGGCTGGTTGCCTGGGTCGCCATTCTTGAACCGAAGTGGCCATGAGCGCTGGGGGGGGGGGAGTGGGCCGCGGCAGGTTTTGGGATTCACGGCATCCCGACTCAATCCTGCAGTCAAATCAATCTGAAGTTAGCCACACTGATGATCTATTATATCAAAAATTACCATAGTCTTCTGTCGCTGCTTGTGTACACACGAAACTGAAAGGGAATATGCAACACCTCACCAACAACAGTCCGGAACTCCGCCGTATTTCCGTGCAAAGCCAACCCAAACGCTGCCTTTCTCCAGTTCGATACATTTGCCTTCGCCGTCACTTTCAGCCGGGTTATGTCTCTTCCCATCCTAGACATGATGTCATGACCATCACCATGGTCTAGGGCGCCGTCCGGTCGCTGTTGCGCCCGAGTGTGCTTGGACTGGCCAGCCCGGCATCCTCGTCGCTGCCGTCTTCCCTGAGCAGTTTCCTCCTCGCCGCCTGCTCTTCGTCCTCGTCCTCACTCACCAGGCCATCTAGTTCGAATTCCTCGGCATCCCTCAACTGTGTATCGTCAAGGGCCCTGTCGCCCGGGCGCACTCTGCCGTTCGCGGCGATTTTGGCAGCAGCGGGGGAGTTGGCGGCGCGGTCGTACAGGTGGATGAGTACGTGGGCGAAGAGGAACACCAGGAAGGCAAGGCTGTAGAGGATGAGGATGTATGCTACGTGGTCCATCGAGGATGAAGCGATGAAGGCCATCTGCTCCTCAGTAGCGCCCATGAAGAGGAACCCAGACGCGTAGAGAAGCTAGACCAATATTAGCAACGAAACGGAAGGGTGTAAGAGTCCAGACACGCCGTCGGAAAGACTTACGAAAACGGGGAGATACTGGAAGCTGTTGATCTCGTAGCCATCCTCGGAAATGCCGGTCTTGTCCTTGACCACAAAGGAGATCTCGATGATGCGCGTCAAGCCGGCGGCCATGAGGGTGTACCCGAACATGCTGTGGGTCGCGGCACTGGTGTGCAGTGCCTGGGGATGCGCAGACATGGCCCACCCGGTGATGAGGATCACAAAGCCGGGGATGAAGTTCCTCTTTGGCTGGCCGTCCCGTCCCTTGCTGAGCCACACACCTGCCAGGCCGGCGCACCACCAGATTATGCCCATGGTCGTGTGTTGCCAGTCATTCTTGACCCAAGCGGTGCCCCACCTGTGCTCGGTAAAGGTGTTGACACATCCCCAAGCCGCGATGACCACGCTGTCGAAGAACTCCTGCGAACGGCCAGTCCGCTTGAGCCACAGCTGCCCAACCAGAAGCAGGATTGTCAGCAGTATACCGTATGCGATGAAGGCACTGCCCATGATGAAGTGCGCAAGGCACTGGCCCAAATGGTCGCCCTGGCAGAAGCCCAGGGTAGTGATGCCGCCGAAGAGCATCTGGGTCCACGACACGACCGGGAACGCCTTGCCATTGATGCTGTGTAGGAGCCGGATGACGGGGCGCACGCGGCCGTGGAAGCCCCTCTCGAGATGGAGCCTGAGATAGACGCCGAGGATGATCTGGACGATGAGGATGATGTACAGGGGCGTCGCGAATTTGGAATGGACGTTATTCGGGACGAACTGTCTGCCCTTGTGCATGTGGCCGAGGGCATACCCGAGGAAGGCAATGATGGTGGCTAGGACTTGGAGAGGGACATGCCATCGGCTCTTGATCATCTGGAAGAGGCTATGTCAGCATCATCGTGAACCCCCTTTCTTCCGTAACCTTGCAAGACAAAACACTTACTCCTAGGACCATGCCAATTGGGTACAAGATCCCAAACGCAAGTGCCTGGATAAAAATATGGGCCCATAATGTAGCATCCTGCGAGTTCGTCTGTTAGCCTCCCGCGCACGCTCGGCCACCCAGCAGCAAACTTGTAATCTGTATGCCGATCCTCCAGGGGTCCGGAATACGTACAATCGGGTCCGCCGAGACCGTCGCTCCCTCCTCGATGTTTTCCGTCCCGTGATCGTGGGCCAGAGCAACTGGCAAAAATGCAGCGGCGACAATCACGACGGCTGCTGCCGATGCGGAAGGCGATTGAGGAAGGCGTTGAAGAAGAGACGAGGCCGCGTTGCCTCGACCCTCAGGCGATCGCATCATGTTGGATTTCGAGGGTGTCCGGTGGGTTCGTCGTCTCCGCAACCAGTCGGACAGGACGAGGTCGTCAAGATCAACCCCTTTGTCTCTGAGAAGAGAACAAGTCCGGTGAGTTGAATCGAGGAATACCTGGGCGACAAAGAAGAGGCATTGGAGAGAATGGGAAGGTGGCACCGGTGGTTTCGGAATGTCGGACATGTCCTCTGCTGATTCATAGTCTTGACACCTGCCATGATTGGCTTCAAAACCCCCATTGTGGGGTCCAATTCCTCGAATTTCGCCAAAATCAGTACAGGCACAATTACATTTCAAGGCACAAATTTATTGTTATACCAGGATAAATGTAACTATCAGGGTATATCTGGATTGAGAGAAAGGAAAAAAGGGGTGCGAGCCAGACACTCCCTGGAAGAGCCGAAAGGAGGCAGGAGGCAGTGCTGAAAGCTAAGTAGCGCGCTGCATGTCCGCTTCCCACTCCTTTTTCATCTCGGCTGCAAATATATCATCCGTCAACACTTTCCATCCCACCTGCGCCATGCCCTTGCCACACGCGACGGCCCTCTCGAGGGAGTCCTTCGTGCCCGCCACGGCGGTAAAACCCTTGGTGTGGTTCGCCACGCCTTCCTCCGTGTCGATGCCGAAGATGCCGTGGAAGCCGGGGCACGCGTACGTCACGTCTCCCATGTCGGTGCTCCCGCCGAAGAAGTCCGGGGCCGGCGGGTCGTAGCGCACGGTGCCGGCGGGCATGGCCTCGACGTAGGCGTGGCACAGGGCCGAGCTGGGCCGCACGTCCGAGTACGAGTTGAACTCCTCATACCTCATCTCGCAGCCGGTGGCGAGGGCGGCGCCCTCGAAGCACTTGCGCACCCTATCCCACAGGCGGCGGGCGGCGGCGCGGGTGTCGCTGCGGACGTAGTACTCGACGCAACAGTGGGCGGGCGTGACGTTTGGGCGGTCGCCGACGGCGCGGAAGACGCCGTGGATGCGCTCGTGCGGGCGGATCTGCTGGCGGAGCATGGACACGGCGTTGTACGACAGGCACACGGCGTCGAGCGCGTTGATGCCGTCCCACGGCGCGATGGCCGCGTGCGCCTCGCGGCCCGTGAAGTAGACGCGCACCTTGACGTTGGCAAGCGTCCGCACAAAGGCAACCTCGCGCAGCGGCTCGGCCGTCCGCTGGCCCGGCCCCGGGTGGACCATCAGGCTGGCCGCCGCGCCCCGGTACGCCCCCGCCGCGAGCAGCTTGAGCTTGCCGCCGCCGCCCTCCTCGGCCGGGGTGCCGAGCAGGCGGACCCGGCCCGGCACGCCAGACGACTTGAGTGCCGCCGCGAGGCCCAGGAAGGCGGCGAAGGACGCCGAGGCGATCAGGTTGTGGCCGCAGGCGTGGCCGATGCCGGGGAGGGCGTCGTACTCGGCATTGTACACGACCAGGCGTCCGCCCGAGCCGAACTCAGCCGAGAAGGACGTGTCGAGCCCGTAGGCACGCGGAGTCACCTCGAAGTTGAGGAAGCGGAGGTGGGTGACAAAGGCATCGTGGGCCTTGTGCTCCTCGTACGCCAGTTCGGGGTTCGAGTGGATCCTCTGGTTGAGCGATTCGATTTCGGAATGCCGTGCATCGATCTCCCCCTTGATGACGCTGGAAATGTTCCCAAGCGAGGGTCGGGTGGGTGATGATTCTGGGCTGGGTTCTGCCGCCGACATCTTTTTTTTATATCTTTTTTTCTGCTTTTGGTTTTGACAGGGCCACCCCAACAAGTCGTCGTCTTGACTTCTAACTGGCCGACTGGTTTGGCGCCGGAGATTGGCTTGGCTGCAATTGCTGCCGCCAAATGTTCTCCCTCGGGGTGCTTCCGGAGATGGACCGGGAAGAAGGACAACGATGTGCGGACTGTGGCACGGAATTTGATGGTGGGGGGTCCGATGAAGAGCAATTACACAACTACGCCGATCCTGATCTGCAGGCACAGCCCCAGCAACGACTCTATATTAATACAACAGTCAGTCCAATTTCAAGGCCATGCTTAGCTACCCCAGTCTCCATTCCTACCTGGTGCCGATTACTAGGCAGGCAGACTATCCGAAGCCTCGAAGCCTAAAAGGCGGGGGAAGTTTATTTGACAACCGGTGATTTGACAAGAGTAAAGGAACCCCGCTGTCGTCCAGTGGAGAATCTTACTTTCCAGCTGTAGCCCCGCCTGAACATCCACGTGACTAGGTAATCCTTAGCGAACCCAGCTGCTCCTAGAGTCTGAGATTGCATTCGTCTTTCCCCGACTTCTTCTGGAATGCTAGGGCGCTGGCAGTCACCCCATTCCATAGTGCGGCTGCATCGCCACCGCCGAAGGCGGCTCCGGCAGGGGACAGGGATCTACCACCCAGCCACAACGTGAGCCAAGCCAATACTTGGGAAACAGTCGCTATTCAGCTTTCAGCACTTCTCTTGGCTTTTTCCACTGCCGGAAGCAACAGTCTGTCCACCAAGATAAGTGGCAGCGGCGTTCTAGATAACAATATCTATCACCATTCTTCTCGGTTGCCATATCCGAGACACGGCACAGATCCCCGGGGAGATAATGTTTGGCGGTATCAACCGAGACCTGATCTACAAGGATACGGTGATGAAGCTCGTGCCATTAACAAGCAGGGTCGACGGGCTCAGCCGCCCGGTTCGAAACCTTTGCTGCCCATCCTTACGCTCCCGGATCACGATCTCTAATTATCAGGTAGAGGGGCTTCTGTGCGAAGATCGTGAAGAGCTGCCTGGGGATGACCTTTGTGTGTTCTCACCCTACGACTACATGCTAGAGGTCGTCTGGGACGACGGCACTCTGCCTGTTTATGGCCACGCCCGCCCTCGTGGCCTTAAGAGGCGCCGCAGGACTACATGATACTCGGGAGCCCGTTACTCAGAGGCTGCTACTTTGCCTTGGACAAGTACCAGGGTTGAGTTGGTCTGGCGAAGCCCTCATGGAAGAGAGATACCGCCACTAAGCGAGTAGTCATGGCATAGCCTTCTCTCCGTCAGCACAGGAGCTGGTTCACAGTAGGTAACTGAGAAACTCGCACCCTTTCCATCGAGAGGTATTGATTGGGACGGAGCCAGTCCTTGTGACCCAAAATGGGATGATTTTGAACCTGAAAAGGGGCATGGAACAGGCTGGTATTACTGACCCAAACCCGATCCGGTACCCCAACCACCGCGCGTACTGCCAAGAAGTGCATGTGTCTTGTCCAACCTTTAGCTCAGACCCAGGTGTACCCGTCTGCGATTGATGGATCAGCTCGGCAACGGAATGTTCTCGGTGATGCCTCCTTTTCCATGTATGCCCCAGTGTCCAAATTCTTTCCTATGCCAATCAACAACCAGGCAACAGGATAGATATTTCTGAAGGGAGCTAGGTACCAGCGCGTACTTAAGCGTGGCCTTCATTCAAAATCGGGATTCTGGGAATTAATTAATAATTATGTCTTAAATGCCAGAAGCATGATTCCCCAGCCAAGCGTCCGGGCCTTGGCTCCAGCAGCGCTCAGGTTAAGAAACGCATATTCAATTCCTCCACGTTCTCGTGATGGTGTCCTCTTGTGCTGCTCCTCGATTCCGATTGCAGTGATGCCTCGTTCCATTCCTCGAACCTTGGCAAAGTGCAGTGTAGACTGCAACTGGTTGAACATTCAATGGCCACACTGGGGCCACTATTGTGAGATAAGAGCAGACCTGCAGTCATTCATTCGTCTTCGAGGCCAATCATAATTATAGGTAATTGGTGAGCATAGCCTATTGTATAAATCTGTAACGTTGACAAAGGATGGCCATTCCAGCTGCGATTGCCTATCCCTCATCAACGACAAACCGGAGCTCTTAGCTGATGTCAGAACACTGGATATAATACGTTTATATTACCATTTAATGCCGAATCGTCTGACTATTGACGTAGTACCCCCCTTTCCAAACCCCACATGCTACGCTGGTATGGTGACAGAAGTATAAGTAACGTCTTTATAATGACAATGATGAAACAGGTTGATAGTTACCTGAGGCGAGGCTAGCAACTGGTTGGTTGGTCTACGATTCGGAGGGTACAGAAGGGCGTGGCTCAGCGCTTTTGCCTTTAGTTCATTCGTAGAGATACGGAACGCAAAAATTGGCAGCCATCCAACCTCATTGGGCAGGTATTGATAGTATACACCTATTTGAGTGCCCACGTCAGCCGCAGACGATCAGCCGCTCGCCCATGCTCTGCACGACATGAAATGGCAGCATCATACATCATCCGATGACAACTGATATCTAATATTACCTTGTGACAGCCTCACGAAAACTGATAGAATATTCATGGAGGAGGCTCGCCTTCACCGACGAAGCTTACTGTCAGCCTTCTGTAAGCGCCGGCGCGGAGGTACCTGGTCATATTTCAGCTGATGAGGTACTCGTTACTTCCGACTCCCCGCATGCCTCGTAGGGCTGGTACTGCCCCTTGTGTTGCGGCTCGCAGAAACCCGCCGCAGCGGGGCATATAAGACCAATGGCATCCGGATATCTGGCCCATCAATGCTTGACCGGCAAGCATGTCTCGCGCGGACCCTTCAGCCCCCTCTTGATTAGACCCCCTATTAAACCCTAGGCCAGTATCAAGCAAACACTCTCTCATCTTACCCCCACCCATCGATATGGCCAATCATCTTCTCCCCACTCCTCCAGCTTCCATACCGTGTTCAAGTCTAGACTCGATCCTTGAGCATGAGCCCGAGAAGGAGTTCTTGAGCAAGCTGCCGTTGAGTGTGCGCGATGCAATCTTGCCAAGCTACGATACTGGCGTCTTCAGCAACGAGCTCGTAGACTTGAAGCTCTATTCCAAGATAGACCCCGAGGACTCGACCAAGGCCGTTGATGCTGGCGGTAATATTACCGAGGGCACCTACGCGGGTACTCAAGTCGCCCTGACTCAGGTGTACTCTCAAATCGAGCAGAGGTGGGAAATCCCCCCTTTCAAGCCATGTCAGCCACTTACACGTGTTTTCTTGTCCACAGTTTCGCCACATACTTTGACGTGCTGGCGGTGGAGCCGACGCTGCCCCGGTATACCAGCCTCGAAGAGAAGAGGCAAGCGTTCAAGTTTACACCGTACCCAACGCTCCCAGACGGAAAGCCAGCCCAGTACCCGCCAGCCCTAGCTCACATCCCCGCCGAAGATGATGTTGCCCAGTGGAAGATCTTCAACGTGCTCGGCTTGGCCCAAGCCCAGGTAATGTTGCAAAAGGTCACCCCGGACGAGTTCCTGGGGAGGACGAGGGAGTGGATCCTCTCCAAGGCCAGGGCCGTGGTTGGTGGCTGCCCGCAGCAGGGGTTGACGATCGACGACGTTGTCGATTACAACCAGCACCACCGCAAGTCGGCGGTCGACATCGCGAGAGGCAAGAACCTGGGCCATCTCGAAGACTGGTACAGCGACCGTCGGTTTGCAGACCAGCAGTTTAGCGGTACAAACCCGACGACCATCCGGCTTGTCTCGGATTCCTTCCTCGGCGAATTCGTCGCGGCGGCCAGAGCTGGCGGTTACGACAAATGGGCAGACGTCCTGACAGAGGCAGACCCGAAGTCTCTCTTTATGCAGGACTGCAGCTACTTCCGCGAGGCAGCAGGTGTCCCGGATCCCGCCGGAGAACTGCACAACAAGCAGCCTGGAAGCAACGACAACTGGACCTGCTGCGCGGTCAGTCTCTTCCGCCTCCATGAGGATGGAAAGCTGCACCCTGTCGCCATCTGCATCGACTACAAGGGCTCGATGGACAAGTCCGTCACTATATTCAACCAGCGGATGCTCCCCACGGATTCCACGGCTGGGGAGAAGGAGGACTGGCCTTGGCGATATGCCAAAACCTGTGCCCAGGTATCGGACTGGATCCGCCACGAGCTCGCCGTTCACCTGACGGAATCCCACCTCGTCGAGGAGGCCATTATTGTTGCGACGAACCGCACAATCCCCATGGAGCACATCGTCTACAAGATCCTGTCCCCGCACTGGTACAAGACGCTCTCCCTGAACGCCGCGGCAAGGGCCTCGCTTGTCCCGCAGGTCATCGTCGAGCTCATCGGCCTCACCCCGGACCAGGCCTACAGCTTCATCCGCCACTCATTTGACAACTTCGACTTCCAGGCCCGGTATGTCCCCACCGATCTCCACGGCCGCGGCTTCCCCGCCGACGAGGAGTCCCTCGAGCACCCCCGCTACAGGAACTACCCCTACGCCAAGAACATGCTTCTGATCTGGAACGTCCTCCGCACCTACGTCGAGTCCATGCTGGAGCCGCACTACCCCGACGACGCCGCCGTAGCCCGGGACCGGCACATCCAGGCCTGGAGCGCCGAGGTGCAGACCAGCGGCCACGTCAAGACCTTCCCCACCATCACGACGCGCGCCCACCTCGCCGACGCCATCACCATGTGCATCCACGTGGCCTCGCCCTTCCACACGGCCGTCAACTACCTCCAGAACTTCTACCAGTCCTTCGTCCCCGCCAAACCGCCCATGCTCTGCAGCCCCTTGCCCACCTCCCTGACCCGCCTCCTCTCCCTCGCCGAGCCCGACCTCGCCGCCGCCCTCCCGCTCGGCCGCCAGCGCGAGTGGCTGCTCGCCGCGCAGATCCCCTGGCTCCTGAGCTTCCGCGTCGAGTCCGACCGCACCCTGCTCAACTACGCCCTCAGCCAGTACAGGGTGTGCCGGGTGGGCGGGCGCGACGCCCGGGCGAGCGAGGCGTTCTACCGAGCGCTGTGCGGGCTTGCCAGGAGGTTCTACTATAATAGCGTCGCGCAGGATGAGGGCGCCGTGCCGTACATGGTGCTGGATCCGGGGCAGACTGCTGTTTCTATCCTAATCTGAGCTGAATGGGGGTGGACGAAACAACCCGTGTATGATAGGGGTGTAAATCTGTGGTTGGGGGGGAGCGTGGGTGTGGCCTGCGTCGGAGATAGGCCGCTGGCCGGCTTTGCGCAGCGTGTCCGGAGGTTTAGCTGTTGTAAAGGGTTCGTTAGATTGGCTGTAGAATATTCAGGCGTTTGTCATCTTTGGGCAAAGAGTGATGATCTCAAAGACCTGAATCCTGGCATCGGAAGTGTTCTGTTTGACGGCCCCTATGACTGGGTAGCAGTTGGTAACAGCTGTTACACTTCTAACCCCGCCATCGATAGTTTTTTTTTTTTTTTTTTTTTTTTGTTTCAATGTCCACCACTCACACCCCAAGCCAACAGATTCCGCCTCGAATAAAACCAGTCCACCACAAACCCGAAGAAGAAAGCGGAACCCGAAAGAAAAAATGCCTTCAGTCAAGAACCCCAACAAGGCGTCGAAAAACCGCCTCGCGGCGCGCGCGAACAAGACCCGCAAGCTCCGGCAGCAGCAGTCGGAGGCGGGCAAGGCGGGCGTCGTCAAGGCGGCGGACAAGCGGTGCGGCGCGAGGACGGGGCTGATGCCGACCAGCGGGCCGAGGAAACCCGTCAGCTCCAAGAAGCAGAGGAAGCTCGAGCGGAAGATGGGGTACGCGCTCAAGCGGAAGATGGAGGCTGACGGAGAGGTCGTCATGAAGGGTACGTTTGCTCTTTGCTCCTTTTGCTCCTCCGGGCGGAGCGATTGACGGATGGACGGATGAATTGCTCACCAAGACTTGCTTGTAGATTCGTCGGCGGTTGATGCTTCAAAACAGGACCCGGAAGCGAAAGCAGAAGAGAAAATGGAGGTCGACGATATATCGTGAAATGGCCGGGCCACAGGTTGAGTTGCCGAGGAGGATAGACGAGTCAGCTGGCCGCGACATGGTTTCTGCCCGCTTCGCACAAGAGACAGCCGGTATCGTTGGGTGTTGGAAAGCGGACGTCGAGCCTGTTCCCAGATTGGCGGCGTGGATCGAGGGTGCCAACCCCAACAGCACCCAGGCTGTACAAAAGTTAAGCCTGCCGAGGAAGAGCTCGGTCATGCCAACCTAGCGAAACATGATCTTGGGGACCGTTGGTTTTGGTTACATAAGTCCTTCGAGGGTCGAACCGCTGCTGCAGAATACAAACCGGAACTGGGAATTAGAAGTTCCCCACGAGTGCACAGCGAAGGGAATTGTGTTGTTCAAGGAAGACCCATGTTTGTTCTTGAACCGTCTTGGGCTCTGACATGGCGGCTTTCAACCTCAGTTCCTTACATAGATACAGGGAGAGAATCTGAGTGGAATAGTACAAGGGTTTATGCCCGTCTGGCTTCCACACCGCCCCGATATTGTGAGGCCTTTGGCAGCGGGTGGTTAAGGTTAGGTTTCTCGGAGCGGAGAGCCTCGTACGCCTCGTATTGGATTGAGTAGTCCAGAATTCGGCCTCTCTCAGAGTTAGATACCATTGAGCAAAGAATTTCCCACAGTCCCAAAATCTTTCGTGGAATCCATCAAATTATGATCCAACCTGTCTTGTTTTGCGCTCGTCTAGAGAATGCGCAATTCAAGAGTAATGCCTTGATAAAACTTCGCAGGCCTGTGATCCCAGAGAGGATACTAAGTTTATACTTGGCCCATGATGACCTCTGTCAGGCGTCGTTTATGGAGCGCCTCTTTGGCCGACCGGCGCAAAACATCGGCCGTTATCCCGTCTGGAGGCAAAGTGGAAGACAAGACCAGGTAGAAGGGCTCTCCCGGGAGTAGGTGTGAGAGATGGGAGGGCCTCGGGCTGCGAGGGAGTCAATTGGAGATATAAAAGGGGGAGGAGGGCGAAATTGCCATCGGCGATAGGGAAACAGATTATCAGCCATTTGGGTGGGAGACGGGGAAGGGGGGGTTTCGTTTGGAGATGGCATCAGGTGATATCCCGAAACAGGCAATGAGGTGGTCACACCCAAGGCAGACGTAGCATTGCTCATAGACCGATGGAAGGCATTGTGATACTTAAATGAAGCGTCATAGTCTCGCAAAGAAGTCCCAGGAGGGACGAGTGGATGATGATCAGAGAAAACACACCACACACACCAACGTATGGGTCGGATATTCCAACGCAGTGTGTGACGAGAGAAGACAACAAATGGTCCAGAAATCTGGCTTCGGGGTTTTCTTTTTTCATGCCATGCAAGCTCATCTCCATTGGGTGTCTGTGTTTATTTTAGGGTCCCTGCCGAGGGACACACAATGTGATAAATAGCCATTGCCCATCCCCATTCCAACGCAAATGAAGTTGATGATGCCCTGAAACCACCACGCCAATCTAGAGAGAAAACGCACAAACGACAGAAAAGGGTCGCCGATAGCTACATTTAGTAGCCATAGGCCTCGAGGGCCTGCTGCGTCTTCTTGTCGACCTTCGCGCTCTTCTTCGCCTCCGACAGCTGGCGCTGAGCCAACTTCTTGCGCTCGTAGTAGGCAGCGCCCTTCGCCTTTCTTCGCTCCTCGAGTCTGCCACACAGAGTTAGCAAACACAATTCGTCCTTCGGCGGCGCAACCAAGCCAAGCGACCAGTCTCCTAGCCACGGCCGCCCGCCGGTATGAGGTCCAAACGCACCTCACGACCACGTCCTGGTACTTCCAGCCAACCTCGTGGCTCAACCGTCCAACGGTGCAGTACTTGCGGCCCGGCTGGAGTCTCAGGACTCGGAGAGCCTGGGGGACGACCATCTTCTTCTTGTTGTCGTACGGGGGAGGAACACCCTCGAAGACCTTAAGTCTCTCGAGAGCAGCCGCACCGCGGGCGGTCTTGTGGGGGATCATGCCTCGAACCGCCTTGTAGAAGATGCGGGACGGAGCGCGGAAGTGGAAAGGACCTGGGGATGAGAGTCAGCCAATCGCCAGCTCTGCACGGGTATGTCGTCGTAGGGGGGGAGGGAGCATCCGAACTCACCACCTCGTGTCGGGTTGTATCGGGTCATCTTCCGGAGGTAGGCATGGTACTTCACTATATCTCGGAGTCAGCTTCTCGTTCGTAACACCGGCGTCCCCAAATATCAATCCACCGCGTGGCCGTTCGGATCTGCTGGAGGGTAGTGTGACATACGCTTCGCACGGAAGAATTCGCCGGAGATGTTGAGGGCCTCGCAGCGGACAACGACGATCTTCTGGCCGCTCAGGAGTTGCTTAGCGACGATGCTGGCAAGGCGACCAAGAAGGTGGCCCTTGCCATCAATGACGACCTGGTGGGAAAGAAAGGTCAGCAAAAATAGTCTCTATATCTCCCGTTTTGTGCGTCGCCGCAGAATCATCCGGCCGCGACTCGTTGCCACGGTGCCGCCTTCGCACCGCCATCGCAATCGCATCCAGAGCTACCGGCCCGATGATATCCTCGATTCCATCATTGCGCTGCGCCAGAGAAGGGGACTCAATCAAGATCGCTGGGGATTACTCACAACCGGCTCGAAGGTCGACATCTTTGCCCGTCACCACCACAAATGTGGGAGAAAAGAAGGGAACTGAAGAAGGGGAAAAGATGTCTGGCGACTGCTCAGCAAACAAACTTCGACGATGATGCGCGACGAAGTCTGTAATCCGAGCTTACCTATGTTGCCCTCGTGGCGTTGTGATGATATCAAGTTCACTTGAGGTTGGAAAATAATTATCAATCCACAAAAGAGATGGTAGAGGTGTGCCCGAAGCCCAAATGGAGCTAGGGCTGCTTTTGGAAAGAGGTGGGGCTGGGAAGCGAGCGGTCAAACTTGGAGCCTCTGGGGCTTAGGGCAAGGAGACCTTGTCACGCTGCAAGTCACGTGATAAATTTAAGCCGGCAAACGCCGTCTTCAGACAGCATTACCACTGCCACTGCCACTGCCAGTCCAGAATGATGGGGAGGTAACTGGTGTATGGATAGAAAGTACGAAACGGAACATGTTGCATCTCTGCGATTTCTGCGCTGGTCAAGTGCAATCTACGGAATATACGATCGTCACGAGCTATGCATGGGTTCTCAAAATGCTGCTTCGACGCACTAGTTATTGCCCCAATGCCAATTAGAAAACGCTCTGTAATAGGTAACACTCATCTTGAGACGTCTTGAGACGGTAGTCTCTCATATCCCGACGTTGATCCTCGAGAACCTCGGCGGGGTGGTGATGGAGTGGCGCCGGATATCGTTTGCTAGAGGCGGGCAGGGCACGCAGGGCCTTGTCGAGAGCCGAGTGTCGAGTGTCGAAAGCCCGCGAGAGGCTCGTCATGTGTTGGGAGTAGGATGATGATGAACAGGTGCATTGGGGGCCAGCCAAGAGGGACAGGTTTGCGGAGAAGGCGATGGCGATGACAATGGCGCGAATGCGTTCAGAGGCGCAGACTTCTATCCAGCCCCTTCAGGACATCCTGAACTTTGCGTACGATATCTTTCCGTCTCATACGCACTGCATCCTCGCCCTCGGTATCAACCGCATCCAGTTTCAACAGGACGTGCTCCATGATGGTCTCGGAGAGCCTTCGGTGCTCATCCGCCCGCTTCTTGGAATCTGAGGGTGGGTTGGCCGTGAATTGCACACAGAACGGCAGCAGATGGGTTGCGAAATGCGCTTCGATAGCGTCGAGCTTCCCCATCGGCCGGCTTCGAACGGCCGATGCTGAACTGACACCCGAAACCCCCGATGCTGGCGATTGAGCCCGGCTACTAGAACCGCCTCGCCTCCCATCCTCCTGCGGCACCCCTAAGCCCGCGTTGGATCCCACATTGGATCCCACGTTGGATCCCACATTGGACCCAACATTGGAGCCCACGTTGGAGCCGCTGTCGTCGGAAGCTCGCTTCTTGCCTTTCCTCCTCTTCTTAGTCTTCTTCCCCCCTCCATCTTCATGCTCGACAACCACAAGGTCGTTTCTGCCCTCGTCGCTGCTCTCGTCGACATCATCAAGCACAGTCATGATTCTGCTATTATTCTTGACGCCGTACTCGCGTATGGGCGCTGAAAGCTCCTTCAGCTGACGCCCCTTGTACAATAACCTGATCCCCCTTGCGCGCCTATCCGACAACTGCATGACCAGCTTGACCCTATCCCTCACGTCACACACCAGCAACTTCCCATCGCCAATGGAGAAGGCAGGGAAGCGCGCGGGCTGAAAGTCGCCCTTGTTTTTCCCGATCAACAAGATATCGTCTTCGGGGACCTCGACGGGCGCCAAGCGGTCGACCCGGGCGCCGCTATCACGGGGGTCACGCTGGTACCGATGGCCTTCGTCATAGGCCTGGTTGTCGAGATCTTCGGAAGTGATGTAGCTGAAGTCGTCGTCCGTCACAGCAGGTACGCCCCCACTGCCGTCACCGAGGTTTGAAGAGTAGGGCGATAGCTCCGGACGATTAGACCAGCCGTAGCGAGACATGATGCCGCTTTTCCTCCTGCCCCCTTTGGCCTGGTTCTGTGTATTCCTCCGGACAACCGTCGGGACGGTTCCAAGAAGAAGAATAACCCCGGCGGTACTATAGAGAGCCGTCGGGGAGAGACCGGTGGCGGCCTGGAGGTACTCAGACGCACCGGACAGTTGGTCGAAGGCACCGTCCAGATAGGTCTGTAACGACGGGGGGAGCTTCAGGAGCGAAGTAGTGATATTGGCGAAGTTGGCAAGAGAGGCACCGGACGATGCCAGCACTGCTTGACCGGAAGCCACTTTGGCGTTCTTGGTGGTCCTGCGAAAGGACGCGTCCCAACCGGAAAGGCTGAATGGTCGAGGGAGTCCAGGGCTTAGGAGACGTGACTGCAGTCAGCCGCTCCACTTGGGGATAGGTCGTCGAGGGTTGCCAGTACTTCCAATCAGCGGGATCGCGGTTGCCGCGGAATGGACGTGCTGCGCGAACCGAGGGCGACGAAGGGGATGGTCGAATGAGAGCAAGGGGAGCGGATAATCCAGCTCTCGAGGTAGTAGGTAGGTACAGTAATACGGATATATGGACAGATATCACCTGATTAGGCCGAGTCAGGCAGGGGTTGTTTTTCAGACTTTTCCAGATCTCCATCTCACATTTAGTCACGTGGCTCTGCACGTTTCTTGATGAACAGATGGCACTAGGTAGCCCTCTACAGCTCTAGATTTCCTAGTACCTCTGCCCATATCTTTCCGTATCGACATGGAAAGATTCCAGTTCCCGTCTTATGACTTGTTCACCAACTTTGAGCTTCTGCAGTCCGTACTGCTCAAGTCGGATGGGCTGAGTGAGATAGAACCGTGACGACGCCACAAGGCGGTCAATGGAACTGCCGATACCACAGAAATCTGTAATCCCCCGCTAAATACATAACGGTCGAAATTCCATGCCTGTGATAGCCAAAGCGGGGTGCGGAAGACGGTAAAGGTTCTTTTCAGCCAGTCTTGAATCCATCTTTCTTCCTGTACCTTCGGCTCAATGTGCGTAGTAACTCGCAAAGTAGGTATCAAGGATATGCCAGAATAAAAGGGTTGAAAGCAGATCTGCAGCTCCCAGCCTTCCATTCAATCACTGACGTAGCTCCTACGATAGCAGGGACACTAGGCACTTATTGAGGCCGTCCATTCCCATTGGGAAAACGTGGATCCAAAGCCCCTGAGGCTCAAATATCCTGCATCATCATTACACTAAATCTTCCGTCACTTTCCGTCCGTTCTGCCTCAATTGCCTCCTGATTCCATTGCCGTCATCCCGCCCACACCCTTGACAAATCAGCCTCATACCGTAACTTGAGCCACCCCAGATTTGGATGTCGACATCCGACCCCACACGCACCCACCTAATTGAGCTTTAATAAACCCCTCGCTTGCCCCTCCACGTTGCGACGTTCGCTTCTCACATCAATGTCCTTTATCTTTCGAAGGTTATTCGGCACATCAATAGTCAACATGGACGCAGCAAAAGCAAAGACACAGAGGCTGATCGATGAGAATGCCGTTAGTACGTATTTCCCGACCCGGCGCGCTACTCTAGAGCAACTTTTGCTTAGATGCTTCGATCGAGAAGCGTCTGTAAACCGCCAACACTAACATATGGATCCTTCTTCGCCAGTGGTTTTCAGCAAGTCGTACTGCCCGTACTGCCAGAACACCAAGCGCATCCTCGACGGCTACGGCGCAAAGTATCTTGCCTATGAGCTGAACCAGGAGAACGACGGCAGTGAGATCCAGGACGCACTGCTTGAAATCAGCGGCCAGCGGACAGTTCCCAACATCTTCATCAGCAAGAAGCACATTGGCGGCAACTCGGACCTGGAGAAACGCCAGTCGAACGATCTTGAGCAGCTGCTCAAGGAGGCAGGCGCCATTTGAAGGGTTGGCCCGTCTGGAATTGGCTGGAGGGTGGTTGCGCTACCAGTGGATAGACTCTCCGGAGTTGTGATTTGTACAAGATAAGAAATAAAATACACTATATGCCACAACAGTGCTTGCACGCTCCTCCCTATACAACTTGGGAAGCAACTGTGCCGACAGGCCGCTCCACGAATTCCATGACACCTTCGACGATGTTCTTCCGCGCCGGCTCACTGGCCACCTTGCTACCCGCGAGGTAGTTGAGCCACAGCGCCCGCGATATCCTCTCATCGTCCACCGTGCCAAGGAGCTCTCGCCCGCCCGCCTCACCACTCCCCTTCGGGCCCCTGCCCGGGTCGTACACGATGGTGAGCCTTCCCTGGCCATCCCGGATGAGGAGGAGCTCCTTCTTCTTGGCCACGCCCCCGCGGTTGAAAATACCCCGGAAATTCCGCATCGCCTCACCGAAGCTGTCGTCGGCGGTGGGGCCCGTCGTCTTGGGCGACCTGGCCTGTATGGAACGGACAAAGCCGTCCCTGAGGTGGTGGAAGTCGGTGTCCCGCACGGGGATCACGCGGAAGACGGACCGGGCGGGTATGCCCCGCTGCAGCAGCTCCTGCCACAGCTCCTCGCCCTGGACGGGGTCGAGCAGGGCTGTGCGGAGCTCGTCCCGCTCGCCGGGCACCAGGGTCGTCGCGATGGGGTTGACCCTCTTGACCAGTGCGGCCTGCAGGGCGGCGATATCCGACGTCGCGACGTAGTAGCCCACGACGTAGACTTCGAGGCCGATGAAGGTGACGGTCCGCACCCCCAGGCCCACCAGGGTGTAGTGGACCGGCATGGACACGTCGCCGCTCATGGCGGAGGCGGCGGTCTGCGGCGTGGTCGGCGCGTAGGAGGAGGGTAGCTCGATGGTGCGGGGGAATTCCTTCACCGTGCTGTTGCCCGTGGGGACAATCTCGCGGCCATCCTCGTCGTGGATGACAACCTTGCGGCTGGCGGCGTCATTGCTGGCGAGTGGGTCGGTCGGAGGTAGGCCGGAATCGAGCTTGTTCGCCCTCTTGGACAGCTCCTCCTTCAGCCTCCACGCCGTGTAGAGAAAAGAGACGAGTCCTGCGAAGCTGCCACAGACCAGGAATATCCGCCGGTTCCTGTGGAAGTCCTCGGACTCTTGAGAGAGGCGCCGGATGTTCAGATGCTCGACTGGGCGCCCAGAAGATGAGCGCGGAGAGAGAAATGCCCGCCGACTGATGCGCGATGTGCCGGTTACGGGACGAGACAGCTGTCGGAGAGCTGATCTTCGAAACATGGTGATGGTGGCCATCCGGGCTGGACACGGCGTTGAGGGGTTCTTGGCGATGGGGAGTCCGTATGGATCGATCTCTTCGTTTGAGCGATCACTGCAATGGGGTCGAGAAACTGAGTCTCCCCATGGTTGTAGTCGTGTTAAGAGTCCAAGGCCGAGTACGTTCCCTGGATTGTAGGTGGTCTGATTCCACTGAATTCAATGGATCCCGTTCCTTTTTGGTAGGTACCCGAAGTTGTTCCGACGAGGTTCGAAGTCAATGGGATGCTGACTAACCATAATGAGGTCATATATACCTATCCAAGTCCAACGCATCTGGGGGACTGCAGAGGCGCCGAGGGAGGGGCAGTCAAAAACATTGCAGGTACCTACCTCTGTACTTACCTCTTGATGGAAATCCAAATAAAACCCTCATTCTAGACGTTATCTTCGACAGTATAAGACATAGATACCTAACTGAAGTGCACGCGTTTTCCTTCCCATTATTCACTCTTTTTTTTACTCTTTTTTTCCTGGGAAAATCGGCAACTTGGGACTTCAAAGGTCAGGTAGGCGAAGTCACCATCTTGGTGCTAGGAGGTCACGAGCTAGCTGCATTCCACTGGGCACCAGACAACACCAAGCCCGCGTGAGAGCTTACAAGATGACGGCTGATTGTTGATTGGAATGATGGACCTTTGTCTGGCGCTTTATACCTAAAGTTCCGTTGCCCACCCGCAGGTCTCTTGTCTGGGCAGGCTGTTTTTTGGGCCCACGTGCCTTACCTTGGTGTCTTGCAGAAACCACCCGCGCCCTGCCTCGCCTCGCAAAACGCACAAGCACAAGCCTGTCCGGTCTGCTGTGACCTTGGCCCAGCCTGCTCTAAATAAAACATCAACCCTGCAAAGTATCAGCCAGTCCCAAAAATTCACCAACAAAACAAATTCACCATTCCATCCCATCCGCCGTTCACGGGTACCTGCTGAGGCACCTCCCTGCCTACCCACTTAACATCGGATTTTTCCTTTGGGGCTGCTCCAAGTTTCCCTTCTTCATCTTTGTTGGACGGAGATACCCAGCCAGCCAATTTGATTTCAACCCCGCAGCCTTCTGCCATCCCGCCTTCCGTCTTTGACCCATCCTTGTGCAGCGCTCGCACTTCAGGCTGGCCCCTGCCCTGCTGACAATTCGACGGATCTGGCATCGATCTCCTCCCGATATCCCATCTCCATCAACAAAACCCGACTCCTCCGTCGTGGCCGAAGACGACGACCCACCCCACGACCCTGGATCCGCAATTTCCGCCGCCTCGCGCCTCTCTTTCCTTGCCGTTTCGCAATGAGACAGCATCCCTCTCTCGACGTGCTTGCCGCCCAGCGGGCTGCCCGCCGGTCCCCGCCCGACACCATGACCGCTCCCGCCGGTGATGCCGGTGATGCCAACACGAGCGCCCAGGAGGACTCGCGATCCTCGTCATCTGCGAGCTCGCCCGTCCCTGCGGACAACGAGGAGTCCGACTTCTTCCTCGGCGCCAATGACTCCCAGTCTTCCCTCGGCGTCCCCAACCTTCAAGATATGCAAGTCTCGGACGACGAGTGCCTCCCACCCATCAACCGGCTTCCCAACGAGATCCTGATCAGTATATTCTCGAAACTGAACCAGTCGTCGGACATCCTTCATGCCATGCTGACCTGCAAGCGCTGGGCCCGTAACTCGGTCGACATCCTCTGGCATCGCCCTGCCTGCACCAACTGGCAGAAGCACTCGTCCATCTGCCAGACGCTCGGCTTGGAGGATCCATACTTTGCCTATCGACACTTCATCCGGCGCCTTAACCTGGCCGCTCTCGCCGACAGGGTTAACGATGGCAGCGTCATGCCCTTGGCCGCCTGCACGCGTGTCGAGCGGTTGACTCTGACAAACTGCAAGGGCCTCACAGACTCGGGCCTCATTGCCTTGGTGAAGAACAGCGGCCACCTGCTCGCCCTGGACATCTCGAATGACGACCAGATCACCGAGGCCTCCATACTTGCCATCGCTGAGCACTGCAGGAGACTGCAAGGGCTCAACATTTCCAACTGCACCAAAATCTCCAACGAGAGCATGATCAAGCTTGCCGAGAGCTGTAGGTTCATAAAGAGGGTATGTACATAAAACAAAACCTCATTTCGGCCTTATCCGGCCTTGCCGTTGCCCGCCCCAGATCCCCTCCCGGGTCCCCCGGTCACCCGGCTCCCTCAAAACACGTCAAGTACATAACATGCTAACCGCTTGCCCCACCTGGTCCAGCTCAAACTGAACGAGTGCCGGCAGCTGACGGACGAGGCGGTCCGCGCCTTCGCTGAACATTGCCCCAACATCCTCGAGATTGACCTCCATCAGTGTCGCCTTGTTGGAAACGACCCTGTCACGAGCCTGCTTGCCAAGGGGAGGTCGCTCCGCGAATTACGCCTTGCAAACTGCGAGCTTGTCGACGACGGCGCGTTCCTCTCACTACCTCCCAACAAGACATACGAGCACCTCCGAATCCTCGACCTCACCTCGTGCGCCCGATTGACCGACCGCGCCGTCGAGAAGATCGTTGATGTCGCCCCACGTCTGCGCAACATTGTCCTCGCAAAGTGCCGAAACATAACCGATGCATCCGTCTTCGCCATCTCCCGGCTGGGCAAGAACCTGCACTATATCCATCTCGGCCACTGCGGGCATATCACAGATGACGCCGTAAAGCGCCTCGTCCAGTGCTGCAACAGGATCCGTTACATTGACCTCGGCTGCTGCGTGCACTTGACTGACGACTCGGTCACCCGGCTGGCGGCCCTTCCCAAACTGAAGCGGATCGGACTAGTCAAGTGTGCCAACATCACCGACGAAAGCGTCTATGCACTGGCAAGGGCAAATCAGCGGCTGCGGTCGCGCAGAGATGCGGATGGCAATGTCATCCTCGGCGAGCACTACCCCTCCAGCCACAGCAGCTTGGAGAGAGTCCATCTGAGCTACTGCACCAATCTCACGTTGAAGGTACCTCATACGTCCTCTCAGTGGCCCCTCCCCTCCTCCCCCACAACGTGGTGGTGGTATCTAACATTATTGCAGAGCATCATCAGACTCCTGAACTCGTGTCCTCGCCTGACCCACCTCAGCCTTACCGGCGTGCAGGCCTTCCTAAGAGAGGATCTTGAGGCATTCTGCAGGGATGCCCCGCCAGGTACGTTGTCCCGGCTCCCAACCTCTACCCCCTTCCCCCCACTTGCAAGTGCTTTAGCTAACAAGGTGCACGTAGAATTTACCGAGCATCAACGCCAAGTATTCTGTGTCTTCTCTGGGCAGGGCGTCCTCGGCTTGCGACGCTATCTCAACAACGAGCGTGACTTCGCCCATCTACATGATCCGCTCCCGGGAGAACTGCGTCACCGGGGAGCCCATGCGGCGCTTCCCGGCCCAGCCAATGGAGCCTCTGTTACCGTCCATGTTCCCGTTCTGACTAACGACGGCGGAGCTCTGGACGATGGTGAGCCCGACGTTGTCGATGACGACGACGGACTCGAAGACGGGAGTGAGATGGCGATCGATACCCAGCCACTTCTTGGCAATAATCCTGTTGCTAGTTTGGGGGTCGGCGGCCCAGCGTCGAATACCATTCCCGCCCCTCCTCCAGCTCCGGCGAACCCGTTCTCCAACACTCCTGCTCCTCCCCATGCTCCTGTTGTTCCGCAACAAGCACAGTTTCACGAGGACCCGATGGCATTTTCGCAGGCACTGCCATCACCGCTGGGGGTGTCTCACCAAGGAGCCGATGCCATGGATATGAGCCCAGCTGGACCGTCGAGCGGCGTTGCGAGCACAGCTGTGGGTGGGAATCACTCACACCAGGCTTCGAGAAACCGGCAGGCCTCTGGTGCTCGGGGTGTCCCGGCCGAAGCTGGCCCAAGTACAGCTTCGATACAGGCGCTGGCACCAGGACCTCACGGGCCATTGACCCCTTTCGGAGGGGGTGCGAATGCGAGCCGCAACCCGAGTCGAAGCAATGGCAACAACGGCCCAGCTGGTCTCTGAGGCACCCGGCCGACGGTTTCTCTCCCCCCCTTTCGTATCATCAAGGCTCTACCCGACTCGAAACATTATGGTATGTCACACCGTGGTGGACCTTGACGATATTGCCCTCCTTACAGATCCCATGAGCTAAGCTGATTTCCCGTCCTAGTAGGATAACAAACCTATGGCCGCACGGCTGCCACATGTGCGATTGCTCCAAGCCTCAGCTTTGGAACAACAAGTTTATCGGACGAACAAGCGTCCGGTCCAGGCCGAGTGCACCAGAAATTCCCTAATATCAGTCGAACTTCAATCGTCATCCTTACGGGAGCCATCCGGGAGATTATCTTCCCTACGGTGGCTCACCATTGATACCCAGCTCGGGCGTTACATAGACGAGACTTTACAAGCTGCTGGTTCCAGCCTACGACTCATGTTATTTCTGTCTTGTCCATTTTTCGCCTCTCGTTCCCTGCATTAATCGGGAACTGTTGAGGCTCGTCTCATTGAAGTCTTTTTTCGTTGTTTCAGCAACCCTGCGGGTCTCCCTCGAAGACTTGGGGAACCTTTTTATATCTTGGGGGTGTCGGAAACAGAATTGACCCAGCCAGGGTGCTGTTGGTTTGCTGGTTGGCATCATCAGTTTTGGTTGGCATGGACAAAAGATAAGGGACGGGAGGGTGGAAATCATGTCATATCAGGGTCCCGAGAACTACCTCACCCATAATGATTGTTGATGACAGTTAGAGCGACGGGGTAGCATTATCCCCCCGTCATGGCTTGTGTTTTTTTCAGGCAACACTGCAGGCAAGCAAATGTCCTTCCTGCCGGGGATGCAACGAACAGGTCAAATGATAGACATGAAATACAAGACCTGCCCAGACTATTAGTGCTGATCTTGTGTGCGCTGAGAACCGGCTACTGCCTAACCTGACACTAGATAAATAAACAGTAATACAGGGCTTCAAACATGCAGGAACTTGGTGTGGCTTCCCGTGCAGACGACGGCGCCCTTGGCCCCATCCTCACCGACCACGGCCTTCCGGATCTCGACCTGGGTGTAGGCCATATTCCTCCCGACGCGGCTCACCCACGCCTCGATCTCGACAACATCCCCGGCCCGCGCGGCCGACACGTACGACACGTGGATGTCGGTGCTGACGCCCGTTCGCTCCAGCCCCGTGCTCGCGATCGCCAGCCCGCCCGCCCAGTCCACCACCGTCGCCGACACGGACCCGTGCAGCGTCGAGCTCGAGTTCAGGTGCACCGGCTGGAGCTCCAGGCGGAAGGCGACGCGGCCGTGCGAGGCCGACACCAGCGTCGCGTCCGAGAGGAGGATGCGGTAGATGGCGGAGCGCGCGCGGATCCGGTCCCATACCTTGAGGACGTGCGCTTCTATTGCGGGGGTTGGCATGGTTTGGCCGCTTGCGGCAGTGGGGGCTGGTGGGGGCCTGGTGGTGTTTTCTGCCATGTCGGGCGGGGGGAAGAGGCGCAAATGGAAAAGTGGATGTCGGTAGGTGGATTGCAGTGTGACACGAGACGGATGCTGTGGGTGGCTGGCTGGCTGGGTGGCTGGGCAAGATGAAGTTGACGGGTGCCGGGTCGGTGTGGGTTGACGGTACGGGAGCCGACACGGGAGGTTCAGAAATTTTTGGCTTGCAGATCTTTTGGACATCACCAAACACCATCAAAGAAAGTATCTCCTCCGTAATCGGATTCGGATTCGGGTGATCAAATTGGGGCCCCACTCCACCAGCGAACAGGGGCTACTATTTCTATTCTGTGTGAAATACTTCTCAGCCCTCCGTTCCGGCATCTTTTCCTTAGAAAATGGCCAGGGCGTTTGGCGGAGAAGCCACGAGGCCGGGGTGATTCAGAGGCACCGAGCTCAGCATGAAGCTGTACCGCCCAGACTTCTTGCAATGCGCCGACAAGGCCTTGAGATCCCAGAGCTCCCCGATGGGAAGCCCGAACATGACTAGAAACCATTGGTGAAGCACTATCGGGGAAATCATGTTCAGCCATGCCGCTCCCTACTTGGGGAGGCTTTGAGTTGCACTTACCTAGATCCGACATCCCCGCCACGCTTCCGTCCGGTTTGACCGGCGGGATCGCCTCGAATCCGTGAGAGTCGCCAGCAACGGCCGCAAACCGGTGGTTCCACACCCAGCGTGCCGTCTCCTCGGTGCCGTGCACCCCGGACAGTGTGCCCTTGCTAAGCTGCGGCACGAGCGCTTCGGTCGGGCCCTCGAGCAGTTCCGTGTATCCGGTGCGGACAATCAAGATATCCCCGGGGCGGAACTCGACGCCCTGATGCTTCGCGACGGCCTCGAGTTCCTGCACGGTAATCCGGTGACCGTCGAACGGCGAGTACGGCACGGCGCCCGTCTGGGCCGTCTCCTCGGCGTATGCCTTGTAGTCGACCAGCACGCCGCGGCCGACGATGCCGCCCCGCGCGTGCCAGTGCTCGCAGGTCGGGAGGCCGTTCTCCTCGGTCGACGACACGCTGAGGCCCTCCTTAGTGGGCTTGGCGCCGTTGTACGCGAGCCCCGTCGCCTGGTCCGGGAAGTGCGTGAGGCTGTCCCACTGGCTGCTGCACTGCGTGTTGAACTCCAGCTCGTCGTCCCACCCGTCGCTCTCGAGCCCGGCCTCTCGTAGGTCGACGACCGTGTGGGTTGGCGATCGGCGGAAGGGGAGCGGGATCTTGAATGCGTTGAGGGGCCAGCTGCGAAAAAATACAAAAGGTCAGTCAGTGTGTTCGGCTGCTGCTCAAACGTGACGGGCGATATTTCTTCCTCTTCTTCGTCTTCTTCTTCTTCTTCTTTTGTACGTGCTTTAGTGATATCGAGACGCCGGCCTTGACCTCGGCCGCGGCGGCCTGGACGACTTGGGGCGTCAGGAAGTTGAGAGTCCCGAGGAGATCCTTCTTGCCATCCTTGTCAAAGACACCCCAGGCACACCCCTGCGGCATCCCTTCCACCTTGGGGAGATCACCAAAGTCTGGATAGCTGCCGGGCTCCATCGTGTCGAGCAAAGTCAAACAACCTGGCCCTGAGTCATTGTTGCGGGGGACGGCGCTCAAACCCCCGTCTATCTATATTTGTGTGCGTATGTACTGTATAAGCGCTGGGATGACTGCACGCCCCGCTGGCTGCAGTTGCAATTTACACTCTCTCTCTGGCGATGGTGTGTGGGCCCATCACTGGATGGCGGAGTGCCGGGGCCAAGAGCGGGTATCTTCCCGCTGCAACCCCAGCCCCTACTGGCGCCCACATTAACGGCCCGTTGCTCGCTCCTCCCCAATCGGACCCTGGATGATATGCGCATCATGCACGTATATCTACGTAATCGGAAATGTCGACCGCCAAAGATCAGGATCCGAACACGAGCCGTGCTGACTCGTCTTCGCGTTCGGAAGCTGAATGGAAGATGGCCCGCAATACGCATTCGGGTGTGCCATGGAAGGCGGAAAGGGGTGTCTGCCGCCAAGACCACATCAACATAAGACGAGGTCCATCAGCGGTTAGTGGTCAGTCAACGTGTGTCGGTCAGATTATAGCCCCTACATCTCGAGTCCCCGTCCTCGACATCATTACGAACAACCCCCTGAATAGCGAATAATGGCCACCGCTGCGGACAATGGCCAGGCCATGCTTGCCCTCCAACAGAAATACACCGAAGAGGCGGCCAAGCGTCTCCGCTCGGACGGAATCGCCCAGTTCGTCGAGCTCCAGGACGCCGAGTCGGACAGGTTCAGAGCACTGGGAAAGGACCCATGGGCAGACCATGAAGCGCTGAATTCGCAGGACCCTCCAGTCAAGAACGGTGGGAGGTACAAGTTCGTCATCCTCGGCGCAGGATTCGGAGGGCTGCTCTTCGCCGTCCGCCTGATCCAGGCGGGCGTGGCCAGCGGCCCCGACGACATCCGGCTGGTCGACTCCGCGGGCGGCTTCGGCGGGACCTGGTACTGGAATCGCTACCCGGGTCTCTGCTGCGACGTCGAGAGCTACACGTACATGCCCCTGCTCGAGGAGACGGGCTACATGCCCACAGCCAAATACGCATCCGGCCCGGAGCTCTTCGAACACGCCAACAGGATCGCCGACAAATGGGACCTGCGCGACAAGGCTCTCTTCCGCGCCGCCGTCACGAGCGCCGCGTGGGACGACGCCAGCAATCTCTGGACCGTCAAGGCCACAGAAGACCGCGGGCCGGGCGAGAAACCCATGGATCTGCAGTTCCACGCTCAGAATGTCCTGATCGCCTCCGGCCTCCTCACGCGCCCGCAGATCCCCAAGATCCCCGGGCTCGACTCCTTCTCGGGGGCCATGATCCACGCCGCGCGGTGGGACTACTCGGTCACGGGCGGCAGCCCGACGGACCCGAACCTGACGGCCCTCGCGGGCAAGCGCGTCGGCATCATCGGCACGGGGGCGACGGCGGTGCAGGCCCTACCGCACCTGGCCAGGTCGGCCAAGGAGCTCTACGTCTTCCAGCGCACCCCCTCGGCCATCCACCGGCGCGGCCAGCAGTCGACGGACCCGGACGAGTGGAAGGACAAGATCAGCGCCAAGAAGGGCTGGCAGAGGGAGCGCATGCTGAACTTCAACTCGTACGTCGAGAACGCCGCCAAGCCCGGCCAGGAGAACCTGACGGGCGACGGCTGGACCGAGATGCCCGCGTACAGCGCCATCGTCGGCGGGCCCTCGTGGGGCATCGTGGCGCCGACCATGGAGAGCATCGGCGAGCACGTCGGGAAGCTGCACATGCTCGACGTGCCCCGCAGCGAGGCCACGCGCGCGCGCGTCGACCAGATCGTCGAGGACCCGGAGACGGCGGCGAGGCTCAAAGCCTGGTACCCGGTCTGGTGCAAGCGCCCCACCTTCAGCGACGACTATCTCCAGGCCTTCAACCGGCCCAACGTCCACCTGGTTGACACGGACGGCAGGGGCATCTCGTCGGCCACCGGGGCGGGGCTCGTCGTCGACGGGCGGGAATACCCCCTCGACGTCCTCGTCCTCTGCACGGGGTACCGCACCCCCGCCGTCGCAAACGGCAGCCCCGCCGCCCGCACGGCCATCGAGATCCTCGGCCGCGGGGGCCGGTCCTTCGAGGACGGGTGGCGGGCCCGCGGCGCGGCGACCCTGCACGGTGTCTGCGCAAACGGGTTCCCGAACTTGTTCCTCGCGAGCACCACCCAGGCCGGCGTCGCCACCAACTTCGTCCTGGTCCTGGACGTGCAGTCGGCGCACGTGGCCCACGTCGTCGCCGAGGCGGAGCGCCGCGTCGGGGGGGCCGGGGAGCGGCCCGTCGTCGAGGCCTCCGTCGAGGCGGAGGAGGCTTGGTCGGCTGAGTGCATGAGGCGCGCGCCGTGGTTCGCTGCCGTGGCGGGGTGTACGCCCGGGTACATCACCTCCGAGGGTCAGGCGATGGCTAGCCGTGACCCGGAGGAGATGGCGAAGCAGAGCAGGGCCACGCCGTGGTGCGAGGGCATGACGAGCTACGTCAGGGTCCTCGAGGAGTGGAGGGCTGAGGGGGGGTTGCAGGGGCTGGGGATAACTGCGGTGCCGGCCCTTTGAGATTCGGTCACTTTTTTGCTTCTACGGAAAGATGTCAGTATAGATATATAGCGATGGCAGCCAGGGGTTCTCGCGCCTTTGTGGGGTGATGTTGTGAATGGCCTGAAGAAAAAGAGAGTCCGGCCGAGGCGTCAAATCGCTGAGAGCGGACCATAGCACATACAATATCTTAAATCCCAGAGCCATCTCGTCCATTCCAAATTGTCTCTCGCAGGTACCTTGGCCGCTCTGATGCAAAGGTGATAGCGTCTTTGGTTATGGCGCCCTTGGTAGTCAAGAGTCAGGACAGGAGGAACCTTGACCTATGAGGCCGAGTACAAGACGCGGTAACTGTCTGGCCTCCACCCGCCGGATTACCCCCGAGGTACCTGCATGGAGATTGCCAGCCTCACCGTTGGGTCGTCCCACAGTGGGAAACCTGTACCTCAACGTTGGCTTTTCCACCTCGGTCACTGGTCTTGTGGTTTCAAAGTTAACTTGGCAAGGATTGACCGGCCCTGGGCCTCGGGTTTCGATTCTGTGAACTGCAGATCACTCAGCCCAGCCTGCTGCCGCAGCGTAAGCAGATGACTTCCGCGGTAGACAACGAAAGCATACCATCATCCGTGTCTGCCTAACGTTGGTTGGGGTTGATAGGGCGTAACAAGAGAATTCGCTGGCTGGGGTATCATGGGAATACTAGGTCATGTGGGCCTGATACGATGCCTAGGCAGCCTCCTTATACACCGGTTTCTTTATCTGCAAGTATGGGCTCTCCTATGTGACCAACCAGCCGAGCCTGCCTGTCATGCCTGCTGTTTCCGGGCCTAGGGGTTGATGGTAACCCCGAAAATCTCTCTGCATTCACCTCCGTGCAGTCAACGTTCCAAGTTTACCGCCTAATCCTCCTTCAACGCCTCCAGAGACCCTTTAGGCTTCTTCTGATGCAGATAGTCACCACCGGTTATGGCCTTATAGACACATACAGATCCAGCAGAGGCCAAATACCCCAGAAGACAGCCAGCAGCCAGTCCGCCCACAACGCGCGGATCGCCGCCTCCTCGGCGTCCACGTCGACCTTGACCTTGTTCGTACACACTCGGCAGGTGCGCCGCCGAATACGTGGCCCGCAACGCGTCGTACGAACCCCAGTCGTAGTTCTCGTCCTCGGTGTAGTAAGCGTGCGCGTAGAGCCACTTCTTGCCGCCCAGCTGCTGCACACCTTCTGCTCCGGCGCCCAGCTCAAGTGGACGACCTCGCGGTGGCCGAAGGAGGCGGGGCCCCATACGCCGAAGTTGAGGAGCTCCGGCGTCCCGGACTCGGCAGACTCGGAGTGGAGCCCGTGGCGCGAGTCCGGCAAGTCCCGGCACGTGCGCAGCGGGCAGAGCTAGAGTGCAGCGGGCAGAGCTAGAGTGCAGCGGGCAGAGCTAGAGCTTCACGTGGTTGTCGAGCCAGAGCGTGAACACTGCTTTGTCGTGGGGCACGCCGACGTCCTGGACTAGGTAAAAGTCCGAGAGCCCGCTCTGCTGCATGGCGCGGTACACGACGTGCGTCTGCATGAAGGGGTCGAGGAGGAACCTGGTGATACGGTTGAACCGCGTGATGAATAAGTTGAAGGCGTACCGTGCGGTCCAGAACACGCCACGGTTGTACCGGAACAGAGAAGTCGGTGGCCGTTCCCGACGTCTTCACGGGCGCTTCTGGTTTCTCTTGGCGTGGACGTAGAACCACAGATCTCGGCTGTGTAGGAACTGGCCTTGCAAAGTTCGATCTGGAAGAGTGCCGACCAGGCAGCCGGTGCAGATAATGGTCGAGTCTAGGGAGAAGACGATAGCATCTACATATACATACTCGTTTGTAGTCTCCTTGGAAGTCTCTGCCTGCAACATGGCAGTCACCTCGGCAATATCGGACAAATGATGATACGTCAACTGGACATATTGTTTGGCATCTCTGAGCTGGACTTCCAAGAGCGTGACGACTCCCAGGGGGCGTAACACGTTGGATTGCTAATTTAATGTGAAGTTCAAGTGCAATGGAGGCAAGCTAAGTGTGAACGTATCCTTGGCCTCCTTGTCAAACATCTCTCCGTCATATCCAGGAGGAAAAGAGATGGTGTACCGGAGTGCAATACGGCTGAGAACCATCCGGAGCTCCATGATGGCCAGGTTCCTACCAGGGCAGCTGAACTGGCCTCGGGTGAAAGGTATCCAGGGTGCCTTCTCTGGTGACACTCGCTCCCACCTCTCTGGCATGAACTCGGTCGCATTATCCCAGTAGCGCGGGTCTCTGTGGACTGTGTATGCCGGAACCGAGACAATCGTGTCACCGGGAACGAAAACCCCGTCTATTTGTAATCCTGTCGGAGGCGTCAACCGAGATAACCCTGCTGGAACAGACGGCTTCAATCGAAGGGTCTCCTGGATGATGTAGTCCAGATACGCGATGGTTTTGACCTTCTCATAGGCCCAGTCCTTCTCTCCTCCCGGGAATTCTGCTTGCACTAGCTGTTGGAGTTTTCGGTAGCAGGCGGGATTCTTGGTCAAAAAGTAGAGGCTGCGATGGTTTAATACAAGCAACAGAGAACAACGGACACGAAAAACTCACCTATTTGCTAAGGCGGCGCTTGTAGTATCACTATTCTCTTTTTAACCAGGATATTCCGAGAGAGAGAAGCTTGGAGTACTTACCTGCCAGCGATGATCATGAGGCGCGAGTCTTCCTGGAAGGCGCCCTCACCCGGCGGGGCAGATTGGTCTTGTTCGTCTTCCGCCCTGAGGAGCCAAGACATGACATCCTGGGGCTCCTGGTCCCCAAGAGTTGCCTTTTCGCTTGCCACAACCTTTGCCCAATTAGTTTGCTGCATTGAACTCATACACACCACACGCCCACAACTTACTAAACGTTTTGTCTTGAGCTCCTGGCCGCACCAATCCGTGAAGCGTGAGTAGCTCCCAGTGGCACCCGGTATTTTGGACAGCATAGACATTAGCCATGGCACTGTGCCAAGCACACCAACAGCCGCCATATTGTCATGCAGCCCGCGGATGGCAGCATGCTCATGCCCGGATTCAAGCATGTGGAAATCCTTCGAGAACCCTGATTACATGTCTTAGCATGGCTAATCGGTTAGGTAAGGCAGGGTAGGCTTGATCAACTTACCCACGTCTCCCATGACATCAAAGCCGAAAAACATGGCATATTTGGTCATGTCAATTGACATCCCTTTACAGGCCTCGATCTGTGATAGCAATAGATCCACCTTCGCCTCCACGCGTGGTTTGTATACCGCCAGAGCTATGTCGCGCTGTGAGTTTATCTAAGGACAAATGAGGAGGAGGCGGCCTTGATCATTTTGCATACCTCTGAAGCCCAACCCTCTCTCCCAGGCCCTCTTCCGGAGCTTGTGAAGCTTCACATCCCTGGTGGAATTGATGGAAATCTTGCTCACATCATCCGACACCTGGCTGTACCATGGAGACCTTGTGCATTGAGTTGGATGCTCGTAGATAGCATGGATGGCAGACAGTCGGTTGATGGAGATCTCGCGGGGTCCTACGCAACGGTGAGTTGTCATTCGTGAATATCAAGTTGCCACAACTATGCAAGCAACATACCAACTCGGACAAAGTCCCCGTACTTCTCGTGGAGCCTCTGGATGTCGATATTGGCCTGTAGGTTCTTGGCTGCCTTGCTCATGGCATAGAACCGTGAGAGCTTGGCTGGGAAAGGGCCAGGAAACCGATGCAGCCGGTGGAAGAAGGCTCGATAGAGCAGAGTGCTACAAGCCAGGCCGACGCTGAATGCATTCGCTACCATGATCGTGCGTAGGAGGCCATCCAAGATGGTAAACCCGCCGGCTTTGACAAAGTTCACGAGTAACATGGCGAGCACGCCGAGGTACGAAAACAGGAGAGTCCATGCTCTGCTATCGATCTCAAACGGTCGGACAGTGAGGTGAGCGACAACACCTAGCAGGAGCGAGACTCCTGCCGTCACCTCCCATGAGGAGTCGAGGGCGGAGCTTAGGGTCGCCATTATTTAGAAAGTGATGGCTTTGCAGGTCAGACAGAAGCGGAGCGGCGGTGAAGTCAAGGTTGTGCGGGGAACACTCTTCCAGGTCCTCAGGCCTACTCTTCTGGGGGGAGGCATCCCTCGTGTAGTCTAGCGTGCGGCTTGTCCCGCGACGTTGCAGTACTAAGCAAGTACTCCGTACCCAGCCCTGTTTAGCGGATTTTCCAGGGCCTGACAGGGAGGGTAACACTTTTGCCCATGTTGTGAAAAGGCCTAAAAACTCTCGGCACGTGTTATACAACCACATACCCTTTTATTCCATTTTTTTGAATATACGGTCTGGGACCACGTACACTTCTTTCTGGGCCGCTGATCAGCTGGCCCAGATCTTGCCCCTGTCGTTGTTTTGTTGTTTGTTTTGCCCCTAGGGGGAAACCCATGACTTCGCCTTGTTTCAATTGTAGAACCGCAGGGATTGAATATAGTGACTTGTCACTTTGGGGGATTGCGGTGCAGGGTCCATCCTCTCCTAAATGTGAGGAGTCAAGTGGAAAAAGCGCTGCACCACACTAACGTTTGACGTAGCGATACTCGCCAATAACTGTTAGCGGTGTACGATGGTGCCCCTATTTTTATTTCCACTGTCATGGGTGGCTGAAGCACACCCCCAATCGGGGAACTCCCTCTGTGCCCAGGCTGGTGCCTAGTCCAAAATAAGCAAGATCTATCCCACATGAATGGGAAGCCAGACCCTGTCAATATACGCCACAAAATAAAGATCACCACCTGCAAGCTGTCGAGGGTAAAAACAAAAGCAACGATGCGCTGGTGGCGAGCAGCATTGGGGGATGCTGGATGACAGGGGACGGCGGGGGATATATGGCAAGGGGGGTTTCCCGTCAAGCATCATCCTCTTTCCACCAGGCACCGACTGGCTCGCCGATTTCCTTCACGGTTTCCCTTCGATTCCGCAGCCGACCCGCCCGCTGGCAACGAAAATGGAAGACCTACGCCCCCTCTCGCACGCCGTGATCACTTTGCTATATATCATAGCCTCCGTTAGCATCGCGATGCGCATCTATGTTCGCGGGTTCACCATGAGGGCCTTTGGCTGGGATGACTGGGCCATGTCTGCAATGTTGGCACGTCCGAACCGGGACCCTCCAATCCGAGCGCGCAACCAATGCTGACGATGTGCTTTCGACTAATTACTAGCTATTTAATTCTTGCCAGCAAGGGTTGCTTTATTTCTTTCTCCACTTCGGTGGTGGCCTGTAATTGAGTGCCCAACCCGCTGTGACTCGCCCTGCAGGCATGGCTAACAACAACCATACAGTCATATCACGGAAGTAATGACAGAGCATCCCGAATGGCTGCCAATTCTCCTCAAGGTGCGTCTTGTACTCGACTGTACGCACTCCGCTCCTGACTCGGCATCTCTTAGGGCCTTCTAGCCGAGGAATTCTGGTACATCTGGATGCAGTTTAGCATCAAGATGTGCTTTCTCCTCTTCTATTTCAGGCTCTCGGAGACACTCACCTTCCGCCGCGCCCTCTGGGGAGTCATTGGCTTTCACGTCGCCACCACTATTGTCATCTGGCTGCTCTACGGGCTGCAGTGCAGGCCGCTGGCAGCATTCTACGACCCGGCGAGCTATCCCAACGTCAAGTGCTTGGACACGGACATGTAAGTCTCACCCGTGTTTAAGTTTGGCTTCTAGTTACGGTGGCTCACAACGGCCTGGCAATAATTAGAACATATTTTGTTCCGTACTCTCTGGTGAGTGCACTCCAAACCACATATTTCATACTGTAAGCAGTATGGGAATGAGTTCTCTGCTAATACCTATTACTCATGGTGCAGAACATGACCACCGATCTCTTCATCCTCGTCTTGCCTCTCCCCGTGATCTGGACTCTCCAAATGACGCTAAAGCGCCGCCTCGCAGTCCTTTGTGTCATCACGACGGGGGGTTCGGCCGTGCTCACGAGCGGGCTCCGCGCAATCATTCTCTTCGAATTTGCCACCTCTCCTGACTTCACCTGGTCGCTGGGCAAGATGGTCATAATCTCCAACGTCGAAATGCAAGTGGGAATTATCGCGGCGAACATGCCTTCCATGAAGGCGTTTTATACCTGTTGGCGCCAAAACAAACTCGGCCCTGGTGGGGGGGTTGATATTGATTACGGCAGTGGCTCAAAGAGCAAGAACTCGAAGCCGTCCCAGGGTGATATCGAGATGAATAGTGGGATAAGCACACCTAGACCCAGGAACAGGGGCAAGACTCCGGATCCTGTGTGCTTGACCATTACGGAGAGTGAGGAGATATTGTTTCAGGACCAGAAACCGGGCCAGAAGAAGGTGGAGTATGAAAGCTCTATGCAAAGCGCGCAGAGTGGTAGGGCTAGTCTCTAGAACCAAGTGGATTGTATATTGAAGGTAGTCTTAGACTCTCTCTCTCTCTCTGTTAGATATACCTTGAATGCCACTTGATCAAAATTGCAATTTCTCATGTTCCGCGTTCCCGACAGGCTTTGGCAGTGGAGGGTCCTAATCGTTGCCAGTGTTGATCATAATATAACTTGCACTGCTCAAGCAAACGGGAACATACGATGGAAGTTGAGTTTCGAATAATTAATTACGATGGACATGGTTCTCGCAAGTTATCTGCAGGATTGAGGTCGTCGTTGTGGGTTCAATTAAACTTTGAATGTCACGTGGAAGGAAGCTGCTAATTACTCCTAGGCGACGCTAACATTACCTAGTGCGCGAGATCAATAGATACCCGCGGCAACAGAGTTTGTCGCGACATCCGAACTGAGCACATTTTAATGCAACTTTGGTACAACTTTGGTAGTTCCCTGACCTAAGCTCCCAACAATGAATGGCAGAAGCACAGCAGCTCTCCAGAGCGTGTTATCATCGGCCTGGCAGCAGCCCCCTCGCCGCATCTGCCATATCCGACGAGTCCGGCGAGTGCCGCAACTAGCCGGCAGATGGCTGTGCAGCACGCCGGCCCGGCACACAGACGGCGTGTTCCGCGGCCTGACAGACACCCGGTTGTCAATACCCTGGATCGAAGCTTGGAGACTCCAAAACGAGGGCAAGAGCCTGGCTTCGCTCGAGGGGCTACCCAAGGAACGCGATCTCTCACCTAAGAAGATGAGCGACAGCTATCACCGTGTGGTGAGCACCGGATGGGGAACTAAGACGCCGTTGGATGACACGCATCACTGACCGTCAAGTTGTAGATCCTCCCTCTTGGGCGCGATCCGTGGCTTTCTGACACCTACATTAACTCATCAGGCCACATTCGGTATGTCTCACCGCCTGACGCCGCGTGACACCGTGTGGCGGTGGGCCAGCCGCACTCTGACATGGGCTGTGTAGTCTTGGGACAATCTTTATGGACCTGGACGCCTTGTCGGGCATCATCGTGTACAAGCACACCGGGCCTGGCGTGACTACAGTCACGGCCGCATTGGACCGTATCACCATCGCTCACCCGCTCACCGAGATCTGCGATCTGGAATACAGCGGCCAGGTGACGTATGCAACGGGCAGGAGCAGCGTGGAGATCACCTGCAAAGTCGCCAGGGCGAGAGGCGAAGGCGAGTCGAGCAAGCCCGAAGACGTCCTCCTAACGTGCACCTTTACTATGGTTGCCCTGGACTCCGTCACCAGGAAACCCACCAACATCCCGGGACTGATCTGCTCCACGCCCGAGGAGGAGAAGATTTTCAAGACCGGGGAGGCAAAGTCTCTGGCGATGAAGCAGATGGTCAAGAACTCCCTCCTCCAGCAGGAGCCCAATGACGCCGAGTCGACTTTGATTCACAACATGTGGCTGAAGTCGCTCGAGTACCACGACCCCAACAAGCCGCTAAGGCAGCCCCAAAACGTCGTAGCCATGGCTGCCACGAGGCTGTCGACCGCCTCCATCATGCAGCCGCAGTACCGCAACCGGCACCAGACCATGATCTTCGGCGGCTACCACCTGAAGCAGACCTTTGAGCTGGCCTTCTGCTGCGCGTCCAGCTTCGCCCACGCTCGCCCCACCTTCATCAGCGCCGACCCCTGCACTTTCCACAACCCTGTACCCGTCGGCAGCGTCCTCTACCTGACCGCCACCGTCGCCTACACGGACCCGCCGCTGCTCGAGGACGACGGCAGCGAGCCGCAGCAAAAGGACCCCAACAAACCCATCACCCGTGTCCACGTCCGCATCGACAGCAAAGTGAGAGACGTCGAGCACGGCAACGCTAAGCCGACCGGCCAGTTCAACTACACCTTTTCCGTTCCCAAAGACCTCAAAGTTATGCCACATACGTACCAGGAGTACATGGTGTATGTTGATGCGAGGCGGCGAGTGCAGGCCGGCGACCTGCAGAAACGCCAAGACCCTGTCGGTCTTAATGAAGACCAGGAACGCCTCGTGGGGAGTGCTAATATCACTGAATAGATTTGCACTAGTCTCTTTACGTAGAGGCTGCAGTTGAGGAACTATGACCTAAGTTTAGCAGAAGTGTTGCCAAACATTGTCGTTCTAGGTCTTCGAAGAGCGGAGGATGAAGGAGTGACGTGGTGAATGGAAAAGGCACGGGCCGCTTCAGGCTAGGATGAGTCAGCTTCGGACCGGATTTTCTGCGCTTCCATATAAGAGCGTGATCAGGGCCTCAAATTGTAAGATCATCATCAATTACGCAGACTTACACGGATTTACAAGCAGCACTCTTTACACCTTAGTTATTTCGAAGCTTTCTACGTAATAATACTTGATTTACCGCATTCCATTCCTTCCTTACGCCTTCAATTCAATTGATCACGCCACCGGCGTTTTCCTACCTTACTTACACGACTGGATTTGGGCACTACCGCGAGACGTATTGGGGCTGATCAGGGTCACCTGACCAGTCACGTGCGCTAGAGGTAAGGAAGGGGCACGATTCTATCCGCCTGCCAGCCAATCACGTGGCCACTGCCGTTGAGGCCTACGCCTCAGCAGCAGTATACTACGTTGAGAGGTAGGTAGGTAGGTGGTTTTGTGTCTCTCCTCCTCAGGAGGAAGAGGGAAGGAGAGATTGACATGCCGCACTTACAAACGTAGTTAGACCTAGTATAAAGATTACTTGATAAGTCTAAGCGGTTTGCTAATTAAGCATAACATGTGACTTATTTATATGACTACAAAGTAGCTAAGTTACGTAAATACTTGTTACTATATATTAAGGTAACTACAATAGTGATGACTAAGCAGTTTGCTGATTAAGCATTATAAGTGACTTATTTGTAAAGCTATTGTAAGAATCTTGAGATACTATAGTGTAGGTGGAGCACTATTGCGGCAGGACTTATAAGGCGCAGAGCGTGAAGGTTTTGAAACGTAGTGCTGAAACTGCTGAATCTTTTAGTTTATCGTGACTTAGTTGATTCGCGCGCTAGGTCTCACAGCTATAAAGTAGCTAAGTCACGTGATAACTTCTTGCGTTATAATTTGCATTTAAAGTTAAAAGACTTTCCTATCAAAGACTCTAAGGACAGGGTAGTCTTGCAAGTTTAGGGTAAGTGCAGAAAATCAAACTACGTAAAACTTTCAAACTATAAAGATTACGTGATAATCTAACTCCAAACCTATATATTAAGGTAACCACAATAGTGATGACTAAGCGGTTTGCTGATTAAGCATCACATATGACTTATTTATAAG